AATTTCTATATTTCCTTTTTACCATATTTATTCCTCATCTATTTTTTAAAAAAACCAATATTACCCTTCATCCTCATCTCTAATCTTAATCAAATTCAATTTTTCCCTTCTATTCTATATTATACCCCTTCGCATTGTCATCTATTTTTATATCCATCCTCACATTGGTTAATTATGTAATACAGTTGTTTAATACAAATTCAACATTTTAATATAAATCAATTAGTTATATAACTATCTTTTTTGTATATTAATCAATATGAACATGAATATTCCAATTATTTCCATGCAATCCAATTTCTTACAAATCAATTAATTATATTTACCAATAATAATAAACCAAATAATTTCCCCCATATATTCCTCCAAACCACAACCATTTCTGCTTTCAACACAATATACAATTAATAATATCTCAATTATTACAATTCCCTAGTTAAATAGAGCTTTTTTTCTTTTGTGTTTTAAAATCTTGAACCTCCTCTTGCCCTAAATTTCCCATTGTTTGCAGTTTTGTACCTACCTTTTTTGGTGAGGAAAAAGAAAAAGAAATCTCTCTGCCTCATTTTGTCACGTTGCAGCTAAGACCCTTCTTTCGCTTTCTCTTTTCAGCATAGCTAGGGGGAAAAAAACTTGCTCCAGGAATTTACCTCTTTGCAGCTAGCTCTTTGAAGCCCCGCGGCAAGAAGTTTTTTTTCCCTCTAGCCACCAGCTGGGACTCCGGAGGCAGCAATGCATTGGGGGTCGGCGGGGTAAGCGAACGGCGACCGGGCGATCCAACAGAGGCAGAGGGTGAGGGTGAGTGAAGGCATGGGGGGGGCGAGAGAGGGCTTTGGCGACCCCTGTGAAATGGCCGTTCGACCCCCAAAGGGGTCGCGACCCCCAGGTTGTGAACCGCTGATCTACATAATCATCTGGAAATTTCTGTGCGTATCCTAGGGCAACTAATCTGGTTTTGTATAATGATTTTCCGTCTTCTAACTCTTTAATTTTAAATACCCATTTCGTTCCAATTGGTGTCTTATCTATTGGTGGTTCTGTGGTGGTATATACATTCAATTCCCTTAAACTATCCATTTCTTTCTTTATTGCTTGTCCCATTTTAACCTTTCTTCTTGTGGCAATTCTAATATTTCTTCATATGCGTTAGGTGTTATTTTGTTGCCATTTATGGATAGTATGTAATCTTCAAATCTTTGGGGTATTTTGTTTCTATTGTGTCTAATGGGTCTATTGGGGGTAATTCAGTATCGTGCATGTATTTAGCTTCTTTTTCTGTTAGTCTGTCTACTTGAATGACAGGATGATTCATTTTCCATTCTTTAGTTGTTATTTCATGATGTTTGGGTTTTTCTATTTTTTGTGCATTGGATTTTGTTGTATGTGGTGTGTGTTCTCTGTTTGTGTTGGTTGTGTTCTTTGCTAAGGGACATAAATCATTTAGGTGAATTTTGGACCAGTTTGCATGTTCATGAAATACAGCTGATCTTGAAATGATGAATTTATTATTTTTGTCTATGAATCGGTATCCTTTGGTTTCTGATTCATATCCCATAAATCTTAATCTTTTTGATACTTTCTCACCCTTACGCCTTAATTGTTTTGGGACGTAAACATCTGCAGTAACTCCAAAAATATGCAGGTGACTGATTTTGGGTTTTCTGTTGTACATGACCTCGTATGGAGTTTTACCAATTACACTAGACCATAACCTGTTTAAGATGTAATTTGAATACGTTAGAGCTTCAGCCCAGAATGTTTGTCCTAAACCAGCATCCTCTAGCACACATCTAACCATGGTTTGCAACAAACCATTTTTCCTCTCTACGACGCCATTTTGAAAAGCTGAGAAAGGACAAGATTTGAAATGTATGATTCCTTGTGATTTTAACCAATTGGAGAATTCCTTTGACAGAAATTGTTCCCCTATCTGTCATTATTTGTTTAATTTTTATGTTGTGTTGTGTTTCTATTCTTTTGTGGAATTCTTTGAATTTCTTAAATACTTCACTTTTGTGATTAAGTGTATATACGAATCCAAATCTGCTGAAATCATCCACTATAGTTAAAAAATATCTTTTTCTGTATTTGATTGATGGTTTCATGGGGCCAACTATGTCCATATGTAATAATTGGAATATTGAGTGTGTGGTGCGAGTGACTTTTTTAGGTCTAGATTTGTTTTTACTTTTAGATGATTTGCATACAGAACACTCTAAGTAATTTTTGCAACTCTTTACTTTAGCATCATCAGTACATTCTAACATTTTCTGGATAACTGGGAAACTAGCATGTCCTAGTTTCCTGTGAAGTAGATGGGCACATTCATCGTGAATTGGTTTACCACATGACACCTTCTTATTGGCAGTTTTATCATCTGTGTGACTTTCGCGTATGTTATTCTCAAATTTTTCATGTGTGTTAGCTTTATTTTCTTTGTTTTCTAATTCTGTGTTTGTACATGTCGACTTATCATCTTCTGGTAGGAAGTATGTTAATCCCCCTTTGTTAATGATTTTACCTATGTTCCTTTTGTCTTTGGTTATATGCACTTTCCCACTTTTGAATGTGACTTTTATCCCTTTTTCCTTACTTAGTTTATGTATAGCTAATATATTGTGTGGGATTTCTGGTATAAAAAGTACCCCCTCTATTCTTCCTAAGCCTTTGATGAAAATGGTGCCTATTTCTTTCACTAGAACTTTACTTTGGTTGGCCACTTCTATATAGTAATTCTTTTCTGTGAAGTCGCTAAGGTGTTTTTTTTCATGAGTGGTGTGATTTGTAGCTCCGGAATCGATAAGCCATGCATTATTAGATTCTGTTTTTGATTTTTCGTTGTTTCCTAATCCAAATAGTGAACCGTATTTATTTTCTCTAGAATCATCTCTGTATTTTCTTCTATCTTTAGGATTGGGGGATTCCCTACGTTTATATCTATAATCTGGTGATTTTCTATCTGATAGATTAATTTTCTTACCAGTTCTTTCTCTGTGATATGTGTAGTCCATGTCTCTTATTTTTTGGACAGTCTCTTTTGTAATGGTATTTGGAACCGCATGTGTGACACTCTGGTGTATATCTATTTTTACTTTGGAATTCTACTCTCTTTGTGTTTCCATTTTCTCTGTGACTCAAGGATCGCTCTCTCCTTAGTCTATCCTCTGTTATGAGTTTGCTAGTTAGAGTTTCTAAGCTGATGTGCTCTAAACTAAGACTATCTAATAAGGTGATATAGTTATCCCAACTTGAATCTAGTGAGTTAATTATTATGCTTTTCATGCTGCTTTCAGAAATGTATTCTCCCCTTTGGATAAGGTCAGCCCTAGTTGCGTTTAGATTTATGATGTGCTCACTCATGGTGGTCCCACCTTTTAATTTAGCAGAATAAAATTCCCTAGATATTCTAGTTGTTGATGCAACGCTTTTGCTATGGAATAAATTAAATAATTTTTGGAATATTTCATAAACTGTCAGATGGTTTTCGATACTGGGATATATACTAGGTGATATAGTGGCAATTAAAATATAATACGCCTTATGGTGTATACAATCTACTTCAATAGTCCAAGGCCTGTTGGGAGGATTGGCAATTAGGAACAACATATTTTCTCTTAAGTATATCACCTGGAGCTGTTGGCTCCATTCCAACAAGTTAGTCCCATCTGATTTTAGTTTTATGTGATCTGCTGGTAAAACCCCTGAGTGATGTGGAAAACTATTTACAGTTTATTACTGTCCATGGTCTAAGTCATTATTGTACTCACAATATGGCATTGGTATGGTAAGTGTATGTCTATACTGACTTATCTCTCTGTACTCTCCTTTTTTTGTAGATGGAGACTGCGCATGCTCAGATCTTATTTTTGACTCGCAGTCGCCGTAGAGCGCTCCCACGCCGGCGGCTCTTGTTTGGAGATCCCAGTCGACCTGCTGGCCTCTTGATCTCATCCCGGTCGGCTCCAGGTGCTCGGCGTTCGTCTGGGAAGTCACCTGGATCCTCGGGGCATCTCTGTAGTCCCGATGGTTTCCGCAGTCCTCCAGGAAGGCTCGGCGATCCCGCTCTGCTGCTCGGCCGCGAGGCAGGGTCCATCCTGGGTCGCCATCTGTGCACATGGACTGCGTAGATCGTTCTCTTCTTTCTGGTAAGTATGATTCTTTTTTTACATCTTCTTGGTAGTTTCTGGTGTTCCTTGGGTGGCGGGTTTCCGCTGGGAATGGTCTGAGTTTACTTTCATAGAATGCGGTTTCTTTTTCAAGGCAGCTTAGATCATTTGAAATTTCATTTGTATAGAATATTAGTTTGGTGTGTTTTTCCGGGCTTTTAGGTTGTGGGCTCGGTAGTTTAATTTTCTTTTTGAATGCTGCGGTTAGTAGCTGTACGTCATCGTTTATCTCTGGCTCTGGAGGTGAGTTAGATGAATAGCTTTTTATTCGTTGGTCGGCCATTTTTATTGATGTTTCTTTCAAAAATGGCCGCCATGAAAAAGGCGCGAAAATGTCGCCGGCTTCATCAGCTGTCATATGTTTGCTGCTTGACTCTCCCATTATATTTTTTATATCTTGACAGTATTCAGTCTCCTTTTCATCCGTTGCTGCTCCGTAGTCTTTTATGACATTGTGGAGTTTCGCAAACAGTTTAGGATTATTTGGAGCTGTTTCTATTAATTCTATTATTTTCTTTTTATTGTCATCTATGTTTTTTTTGATGACTGAGGGAGTGTCTTTATTTTCAGTCTGTGATTTTTTTACTTCTGACAGGATATTTGTGTTAAGTAAATGCCTGTCTTTTATTATATTTTCTGTGGGAGTTAATTGAGCTGCCATTCTTTTATTTAATAATCTTGTTATGGGTCTTCTTTTTACCTCAGTTGTAGTAGGTGTCTCTTGCATCTTTTTGATAGATCGGTCCTTCTTCAACCATCCTCTTGCTACCAGTTTTGTTGCTTATAATTCTTCTTTTAATTATAGGCTCAATAATTAGTATAGTATGCGAGATATGAGAATTCAAAACACTGTTTTATTTACATGTTTCTTTTCACAGGAGATCATTAGGCAAGGCAAAAGGATTCTGACAGGAACAGCTGCTTATATATACAGTGGGCGGAGTCAGAAAAGGTAAGGAGGAGTCAGGGGGGAGGAATGTGGCACACTTCATATTTTGACTTATATATATATACAAGCTTAATTATACAAATGTATATAGTTAGGTATTTTTCTTTGTAACAAAACTAGCCATGCCCAGTTCCTATAACTGTTCTTGTTTTAGTCTTCTGTCCTTTAATCAGTTTAGCTACTCTTCTTTGCACTTTGTGATGACCCAAACAGAATGCGGTATTCCAGGTGTGGTCTTACTAAGACATCATGGAACGGTACTAATACTTCATATGATTTTGATTCTATGCCTCTGTTTATACAACCAAGGATTGTATTCGCTTTTTTGTCTGCTGCCGCACACAGGTGATTCATGCTTAATTGATCATACATTCCGACTCCAAGGACCCTTCACAGTTACTATTTTTGAGCCAGGTTTCAGGTAATCTGTTTTTCCTGCTCAGGTGTAAAAACTTACTTTTCTCCACATTAAATTTCATTTTGTTGGATTCTACCTTGTCTCGTTTGGATCCGAAAGGCACAATATGCATACAGATCAAAATCTATGGTGGTGGATCAGCGTTTAGAATGCAATACTATAGGCTAATTGCACACAGCGAGAAGTTTGATTCTGACAGGGTCATGATTGATTCAGCTTTCATCCTTCTGCGGTGGGTAAAATGAGGACCCAGATTGCTGGAGACCATATGCTGATTTTGTAAACTGCTCAAAGAGTGCTATAAAGCATTGTGGACTGGTATATAAGTCTAAGTGGAATTACTAATGCTATACAGTTTCTCCTGAACGTGGATCCTTTTATGAGAAGTAAGAATAACTTTCCCAACAAAGGCCTTTCCACACTCCATGCATTTATATCGCTTCTCCCCTGTGTGGATCCTCTTATGGGAAATAAGACTACCTCTTCGAGCAAAGGTCTTTCCACACTCCATGCATTTATACGGCTTCTCCCCTGTGTGGATCCTCTCATGGGAAATAAGACTACCTCTTCGAAGAAAGGCCTTTCCACACTCCATGCATTTATACGGCTTCTCCCCTGTGTGGATCCTCTCATGGAAATTAAGACTACGTCTTTCAGCAAAGGTCTTTCCACATTCCATGCATTTATACGGCTTCTCCCCTGTGTGGATCCTCTCATGGGAACTAAGACTACCCCTTTGAACAAAGGTTTTTCCACACTCCATGCATTTATACGGTTTCTCCCCTGTGTGGATCCTCTCATGGCAAATAAGACTACCCCTTTGAGTAAAGCTCTTTCCACACTCCATGCATTTATACGGCTTCTCCCCTGTGTGGATCCTCTTATGGGAATTAAGATGATATCTTCGAGCAAAGGCCTTTCCACATTCCATGCATTTATACGGTTTCTCCCCTGTGTGTATCCTTTTGTGAATAGTAAGTCCATTACTATAAGCAAAGGTCTTTTCACACTCCATGCATTTATACGGCTTCTCCCCTGTGTGGATCCTCTTATGAGAAATAAGATGACCTCTTCGAGCAAAGGCCTTTCCACATTCCATGCATTTATACGGTTTCTCCCCTGTGTGTATCCTTTTGTGAACAGTAAGTCCAGTTCTATAAGCAAAGGCCTTTCCACATTCCATGCATTTATATGGTTTCTCCCCTGTGTGGATCACTTTGTGAATAGTAAGTCCATTACTATAAGCAAAGGTCTTTTCACACTCCAGGCATTTATATGGCTTCTTCCCTGTGTGGATGCTCTTATGGGAAATAAGATGACCTCTTCGAACAAAGGTCTTTCCACATTCCATGCATTTATACGGCTTCTCCCCTGTGTGCAGCCTTTCATGTGATCTTAGGACAAATCTGCGAGCAAAGGTTTTCCCACACTGCATGCATTTAAATGGCTTTTCCCCTACGTGTATTCTTTTAGGGGAAATAAGATTACTACGTCTTCTGAACCTGTTAGCAGACTCTCTGCATTTGTATAGTTTCTCCTCAGTGTGAATTCCTGTAAGTAATTTAGCATTGATCACTTGGAACAGTTCACAGGAATCCTGACTCTCCTGCCCATTATTACCTTCAAAGCAAAAGAGAAATGAAAATAATAACAAGGTTAGAGAAAAAGATCAAACCGTACAAGTGAATTTCCTTCTGAAATTTCTGAAATTTTCCAGAATTCTTTTACGTTTTATGTTTGCGTGCTTACAGTGGCATGATATAGACAGGATGATTTCTATATTCCTGAGTCCTGAAAGCTTTAAAAATATGTAGAAAACATCTCTTTCTTTACAATTATCTATATATGTGCAAATCTCAATCAAAGTCTGATTTGAATCATGAAATGATCAGGGGAAACACCCAAGGATGAACAAGGAGAAAACTTAAGATTTATTGTGCTGGGTTAATTTCAGCAGAGACCTGTGAGAACTGAAACCATTTTGAAAAAAGCTCCTTTCCCGGTGTACTTTGGAGCAGCTACTGCACGGCATCTGTCTGGCAGGCAGGACTCCCGCTCGGCCCGTTCCTTGATCCCAGGGATGAGACTTTGGAGCGAAGTCCCTTCCCTGAAGTCTCCCGTTGGCTTGTAAACGCTCATCGCGCTGAGACTGGAAAGTTTGGGAAGATTCAACAATGACTATTTTGCTGCCCCAAAGTCTCATCGGCTTCCAAGGGTTTTTTGGCCAGATCTGGTATAGGCTTCCGATTGCAGAGAACAGAGGCCTAAAATACTTTACCGCGAGATCACAAAAAACCAGAAGTGCAAGATCTCACACTAATGATCTTGCAGGATCTCACGCTGCAGTACTTTAGGCCTGTGTTCTCTACAAACTGAGGACTGCACGAGATCCAGAGCAAAAGACTTTGAAAACAAAGAGGCCTCCCCTTTGTTTCCAAAGCATTTTGCCCTGGATCTCCTGCAGTCCTTGGTTAGCAGAGAACAGAGGCCTAAAGTACTGTAGTGTGAGATCATGTGAGATCAGTACTGCTAGATTTCCCACTGTTGATCTTGTGTATCTCTCACTACTTTAGGCCTCTTTTTTCTGCAAATGCACCCAAGCAGGCAAAGGAACCGATGGCTCGCTACATCCTCGTAACGTAAGTCCGAGCAGGGTGGGGGTACAGGTAGTTGTTGTTGCAACGCCTCTGCTGTCATTTGTAAATGTGAATGAGGGCTGTGGTGCTGTAACATTTGTAATTTCAGCACTGGGTCTTAAGTACTTGGGAGACGGCTAGGTAGTAACCTGAAACAGTCGCTTAGTGAACTGTTGTAACTCAGGGATCAACTGTATCCTAGGATACTCTGAGTCATACTGCATGAGGTCTTTGTTCTTGAATTGAATTGGGTGAATGTTCTTCCATGGCCTGAGTGTGAAAGTTCTGTTCCCACACAATTTGGAGAGGTTTCAGAGGACAAATGACAACATAATCTTATCACATGATCTCCAGAGGACACATAAAAGCACACCCTATTCTTCTCAGCCTCCATAGATAAGTTCAAATAGCAATGGAAAAATACAGATAAGGAATGCCCCAAAAGCATCTCAGCAAAGACACTGACTCTTTCCTTTCTTGGAGTATGAGAAGGCCAGATCCTTCCCTTCTCCCTCCCGGGAGACAATATCTGATTAGTGATTTTTTAATAAAGAGTAACTATAATCTGTCTTCTTGAACTCTCTGATTTGGGACAAGAAAACTCTTACCGAGAGAGACCACGTTCCTATGGGTTTCAAGCATGACTTCCGAATGCAGCGCTTTCTGGTCAGGATCCAGCTGAGACCATTCCTCCTCAGAGAAATACACAGCCACCTCCTCGAAGGACACAAGACTCTCCTGAACACGGAAAAAAGAACAGAACAGGACGATTTGCAAGATCTGTTCATCATCATCAATGATTTAGACAAGGGGGTTGAAGGGGAACTCATCAAATTGGCAGAAAATATCAAATTGGCAGGAATACCAACACTGCACAAAATAGGCTCGAGATATAGAGGGATTGAGAGATTGGCGATGTCAGCGTCTCAGCATCGAAGCTTGACAGGCACCTTCTAACAAACTGAAATTCAATGGTGAGAAATGTAATGTGCTACATTTAGGGGGAAAAAAGCAAATGCACTGCCATAGGATAGGTGATGCTTGGCTCAAAAGTAGTATGTGGAACAGGGATCTTGGCGTCCTAGTGGACAATCGCTTAACGTGTGCTACAGTTGCCAAAAAACTATCAACAGAATCATAGACTGTATTATTTTGGAATAGTGATATTTTGGAATATTATTTTTTATTTTCTGTGTTTTCTTTTTGTTCTTTTTTTATTCTTTTTTTGTAGAAGTTTCTTTTCTACAGAAGTTTTAGGATTGGCATGGTTTTTTCTATTGTTTAATTCTTTCTGGGAGATTATATTATATACTTTTAAAAATCTTTTTATTGCTTGGTTGGATATTTTGAGTAAACACTTTTGCCTTAAATTTTTTATCAGTGAACTTTATTTTTGTTCTGATCTTGTTTGTTCTTTTCTCTTTTTTTCTCTTTTTGTTTTTTTTTGGGGCGTCGGTTGTTTTTGGGGTTTTTTTGACACAACCTTTCTACCTTTTTCTTTTTTATGGATTTAGATTAAACCTATGTGGATTAGGGCAGGGGTCAGCAAATGTAGCCCTTTTACAACCTGTGGACTTCAACTCCCAGAATTCCAAGCGCTGTCTCAGGAATTCTGGGAGTTGAAGTCCATAGGTTGTAAAAGGGCCACATTTGCCCACCCCTGGATTAGGGTATCAAGAACCTGAAGAGTCTGATTGGGAAATTTGAATTTGAAGAAGTCGATTACTTGTATTATAAATTGGCCAGTAAGACTTGAAAAAACAAGATAAATAACATAACATCTATCATCACCATCAATATCATCAGTGCCTGGTACCACAGGGCAAAAGACAAAAGAACCTACAGCACAGCAAGAGAAAATCAACACAGAATTAAAAAATATGCTATGAATACCTGAAGACAAGATTTAGACAAAGTAGATGGGAGAATGGAAAAAAATAGAAGGAGAACTGAAAGAAGTTAAAGAGATGATAGGGAAAAATGAACAACGATTACAGCAAGTGGAAGGAAAAACAGAAGGAACGGAGAAAAAAGTGGAAGAAATGGATTATAGACTTACAATTACTCATAAAAATCAGGAAAAAAAATTATAATTCTGGAAATGGATAAAGCTGATTATTATTTAAGATTCCAAAATATTGAAGAAGAAAAGGGAGGAAATTTAGCAGAGAAAATTGCAGAGATATTAGCAGAAGCAATGGAAGAAAGCAAGGAAAGGATATTAAATGGGATCGAGGAGTGCACATAAGATACGCGATAAGAAATAATCTGCCTAGAGAAATTCACGTCATATTTACCAGGAAAAGATTGAGAACAGAGATATTGCAATTGATGAGAAACACGACGATAAAGCACAAAGGGAGAGAAGTAGTGGCATTGAAATAAATTCCAAGAAGAGTGACAGATCTGAGAAAAGAATAGCTCCGTTGGAGCTACTGAGGGCTCGATGGGGCTGCCCGGGAGCGCTCACTGTTGCCGGTGAGAGACGCAGTGAGCGCTGGAGGGAGACGCGGGGGCCAAATGATTGGCAGCAAACGAATGGAGGCAAGGGCGCGGCCGGTGCAGTTGGGCTGGACTCCTGCTGGGCCACACGAGGAAGACTTCGTGACTTCCTTTCATTCCTAGACCACCATTGACCACCATTGACTCTATATGTGATCTTCTGGCAGCTAGAGGAGTGGAGGCTACTAGGCCCCCCCTCCACAGGAATATGTGGAGATGGGAAGGGGTTGGCTGGAGTTGGAGAGGTTGGCTCCTTACTTTGTCTATCTGGGCGCGTTTTCTGATCCAGGATTGCCCTTTATTGCCCTTGGGCGCACCACTTTGCCTCCTCTAGGCAGCTACCAGGGATGGTGTTGCCGCACTGATGGAACCTTCCTGTCTGGCGGAAGGACTGGGACATTAGAACACCCAACATGGCTGGTGTGAAAGAGCGGCGCATGCAGACCTCGACCTATGGATTCCCCCCATTGCAGTGAGAGGGCAATGGGGGAGGGCTATGGCTTCATCATCCGGTACCGTCTCCCTGGATTTTGTCATCAGTTGTGTAACCTCCCCCCCCCCGCCTTGTCGGTTCTCTCGGACTATGCAAACTTATACCGCGGTTGAACTATATGCCCTGAGGGGGTTCTCCCTCTCTCAGGGCTGGCCATCTGGACTACCAACAAACTTCCTTGATGACGGATTTTGGACTCCAGAGAGGTGGCATCGAAGGCAGCAGAAAATCAGGGTTTTTTTAGAGGGTCTTTTTATTCGTTGTTTTAAGGGAAGGGTTAGGGGTAGGGGGGAAAGAGGTATTTGTATGACCAGGGTGGGTTTGGGGGACAACCCATCAGGGTCAGGGCCGGCCCAGATGGAGGGCTGCGGCATCGGGGGTGCGGGGTTGGATGTCAGGGAGGGGGCTAGATTCTATCGAGGGCTATTCAATTAGTACAGTGGGTGGGAGGAGCAGATATGGCGGTAGCAGGGGGCCATATCATGTTATGGGAGTGCGCACTCGCTGTTTGCGAGCGATTGAGCACTCCGGCCCCCAATGTGGTTCTCGTTCCCCGAGTTGTACAGATCCTCAGGGCCTGGGCCTGGGCCTTTGGCTGATGTTGTGCAATGCCAGGTCTGTGATAACTAAAGCCCCTCTCATTTGTGATCTTATTCAAGAGGGGAGAGTTGACCTGGCGGGTATTACGGACACGTGGCTGGGCTGTGAGGGGGCGTGCCCCTAATTGAAATGTGCCCCCCAGGCTACCATACATTCCATCAGCTGAGGGCCCAGGGTAGGGGCGGGGGGGGGTGGCTATTGTAAAGGAGGATCTTTGTCCGAGGGAGGCCACTGTACCTCAGGTAGCCGGATGTGAGTCCCTCCTTGTGAAATGGGGTCGGGCGGTTCAGATGGGCTTGCTGGTTGCGTACCTGGCTCCCTGCCACGTAGTGGCGGCCTTGCCCGAGCTGCTCAATGTAATAGCCGGGGTGGCGGTGGAGACCCCTAGACTTATAGCTAGCTGGTTCCAACGCTGACTATTGGGGACGAGACCCTGACCCCCAAAGAGGGCCCGCAACTTGAGTATCCTCCTGGATATGCGGCTAGAAGAGCATTTGACGGCTGTGGCCAGGGGGACTTTTTATCAGGTTCACCTGATTCACCAGTTGCGCCCCTTTCTGAACCGGGACTCCTTGCGCATGGTCACTCATGCCCTCGTCACTTCCCGTCTGGACTATTGTAATACTCTCTACATAGGGCTCCCATTGAAGAGCACTCGGAGGCTCCAACTGGTCCAGAATGCGGCCGCGTGGGCGATTATGGGAGTGACTCGGCGCACCCATGTAACAGCCTTCCTGCGCAAGCTGCACTGGCTCCCGGTGGTCTTCCAGGTGCGATTCAAGGTGGTGGTGACCATCCTTAAAGCGCTCCATGGCTTTGGACCCAGGTACTTATGAGACTGCCTTCTGTTACCGATAGCCTCCCACCGGCCAATACGCTCCCACAGAGAGGGACTCATCAGGGTGCCGTTGGTCAAACAGTGTGGACTTGCGGCCCCCAGGGGGAGAGCCTTCTCTGTGGGGGCACCTGCCCTCTGAAATGAACTGCCCCCAGAGATACGGAGAATCCCTGACCTATGCACCTTTCCCTGACCTATGCACCCTCAAGACGGGACTGGCCTAGACATGATTTTTAATTGGGGTTTATTTTTAATGATTAGGCCAATGGCTTAATATGTTTTTTAAAATGTTTTTTAAATTTTGTATTTGGACTTGTTTTATTGTTGGCTGTGCACCGCCCTGAGTCCTTCGGGAGAAGGGTGGTATAGAAATTAAATAAAATCTAAATCTAAATCTAAATCTAAAATTAAAATAATATCTTTGAAAATAAATGGATACTTACATGGATACTTCCAGAGACATTGTGTAAGGAATGGCTTGTTAGCAGTATGGGAGAGAGCAAAAGAAAAACATTATATGGAAATACGAATGCGGCTTTCAACAATAGAAGCATTAATACATCCAAATTTGATTAATATGAACAATATTGTAAGATACAAGGATATTTTAACAGAGAAGGGAGAACTAAAACAGAAACAAGATTTAGAAAAACAAGGGATTGAAACTGATAGGGTTTTAATTTGGGGGAATCAGAGTTGGATCAGATAATTATTATTATTAGTTCAATTTATATGCCACCTTTCTCCGGAGACTCAGGCGGCATATAAAAAAAAATTATAAAAACTTTAAAAACATTTAAAAATTAAAACATTAAAATATTAAAACCCATTCACACCATTCATGGCCGGATCTCACAAGATCGCAACAGCGAGATCAACGGCCCCAGGCCTGCCGGAAAAGCCAGGTCTTCACTGATTTTCGGAAGACCAATAGGGTGGGGACCTCAGGAGGTAACTGGTTCCAGAGAGCTGGGGCAGCCACAGAGAAGGCGCTTCCCCGCGGGCCACCGATAATGATTGGAAAGGATGAAAAATGATTAATAGATTGTATAATTACTTGTTGCAAATTAGACTAGAAGATGAAGAAATAAAAAAGAAAATGATAACATGGGCGAAAAACTTTGGTTATGCAACAGAATTAGAGAAATGGCAACAAATATGGGAAAGGAATTATAAATTGACAATGGCAACTGCATATCATGCCTTTGAGGCCTCTGACCCGGCTCAGACCCCGGCTTGTCCCTTGGTATACTGAGGAGCTCAGGGGGATGAAGCGCAGGAGGAGAGGTCTAGAGAGCTGTTGGAGGACTAGTCGCTCCAAATCTGACCGAGCCCAGCTAAGATCGTTCACACGGTCTTACCTGGAGGCGATGGCAGCGGCGAAGCATACATACTTCTCCGCTCTCATTGTGTCCGCAGATAATCGCCTGGCTGCCCTGTTCAGGGTGTCCTGCTCCCTCCTGTATCAGAGGGTGGGGGAGGACCCTTTGCGGGGGCGAGCCAAGGAGTTTAGCCAACATCTGCGGGACAAGATCACTCAGATTCGGAATGGCTTGGACTCTGACTGGGCAGGGTCGGATGGTGGGGAGGCGGCGGGTCTTGTTGTCTGGGAAGAGTTCGATCCTGTTACCCCGGAGGAAGTGGACAAGATCATGAGGAAGCTGAGTGCGACCACTTGCATACTGGGCCCGTGTCCCTCCTGGCTGGTTTATGCAGCTCGGGAGGTGACATGCAGTTGGATGCAGGCAGTGATAATGGCATCTATGGATGGAGGGAGTTTTCCTGCCGCCTTGAAGGAGGCGGTGGTTAGGCCCCTCCTTTAGAAACCTGCCTTGAATCCAACCATTTTGGGCAACTTTCATCTGGTCTCCAACCTTCGCTTTTTGGCGAAGGTTGTTGAGAGCATGGTGGCATGTCAGTTTCTGATGGCCCTGGATGAAGCAGATTACTTAGATCCATGCCAATCGGGTTACAGGGCCAGGTACAGCACAGAGATGGCATTGGTCGCGCTGGTGGATGCTCTCTGGAGGGCTCGGGACAGGGGTCATTCCTCAGTCCTGGTCCTATTAGATCTTTCGATGGCTTTTCATACCATCGACCATGGTATCATGCTGCAACGCCTCGAGGGGTTGGGAGTGGGCAGTACCTTTTTACGGTGGTTCACCTCCTACCTCTCGGGTTGTACGCAAGCGATGTTGGCAGGGGGGCAGAGGTCGGCCATGAGGCCCCTCACTTGTGGGGTGCCCAGGGGTCAGTCCTCTCGCTCCTTCTGTTCAACATTTACATGAAACCGCTGGGAGAGATCATTCGTGGTTTTGGGGTGGGGTATCATCAGCATACTGATGATACCTTTTAGATACCAGCTTTTTATATCCACCCCGAACCAGCCCAGTGATGCCCTCAACGTGATGTCCCGGTGCCCAGAAGCGGTATGGATCTGGATGGGAAGTAACAGGCTTCAACCTAACCCGGCCAAAACCAAGTGGCTGCGGAAACCGCCAAGCAAGAGGTTCCAACGCTGTCTATTGGGGGCGAGGTGTTGCCCCCTGTAGACAGGGCGCGCAAGTTGGGCGTCCTCTTGGACTCATGGCTGAGTTTGGAGGATCATATCACGGCTGTGACCAGGGAGCGTTTGTCCAGGTTCGCCTGGTGCACCAGTTGTGCCCATACTTGGACCGAGATGCCCTACGCACAGTCACTTATGTGCTAGTCACCTCCCGGATCGACTACTGCAATGCTCTCTACCTGGGGCTGCCCTTGAGGACCACCCGGAGGCTTCAGCTGGTGCAGAATGCGGCCGCGCGGGTTGTTGCACGAGGGACCCGATACTCCCATGTTACAGCACTCCTGCACGGCTTGCATTGGTTGCCGATTGCCCTCCGGGTGAGATTCAAGGTGCTGGTGCTAACCTAAAAAGCCCTTCATGGCTTAGGTCCAGGCTATTTATCGGACCACCTGCAACCAGCGTCAACTTCCCATCGCCCGGTATGCTCTCACAGAGAGGGCCTACTCAGGGTGCCGTTGGCTAGACAATGTCGGCTGGCGACCCCCAGGGGTAGAGCCTTCTCTGTGGGTGCCCCCACCCTTTGGAATCAACTTCCCTTGGAGCTCCGGCTAGCCCCTGAACTTCGTACCTTCCGCCGTGAATTGAAAACCTGGCTATTTATGTCCCCCGGCCTGGAATGACGGGGTAGTATATTTTAACTTTTTTTAAAAAAATATTTTTTGATATTTTTTATGTGTATTTGTTATTTTTACAGTCGCTTGGTCGATTGTCGTTGTGAGCCGCCCTGAGTCCTTGGAGATAGGGCGGCATACAAATTTTATAAAATAAATAAATAAATATAAAGAACATTTCTATAGAATGTTTAATAAATGGCATATGCCACCAGAAAGATTGGCAAAAATGTTTAACGATAAATCAGCCAAGTGTTGGAAATGTTGGCATTTGCCGGGATCATATTATCATATGTGGTGGTCATGTACGGAAGCAAAAAATTATTGGTCCAGAGGGTTGGAGGAAATGTTACATAAATCTATAGAATTAAAACCAGAGGTTTATTTTTAATTGGGTATTCTGCCAGAGAGATACAGCAAAGAAGAAGTGTATTTAATTATACATATAATAACAGTAGCAAGAATTGTATTTGTGCAAAATTGGAAAACAGAAAAAATCCCGTCAGAAGATGAAGTAATAAAAAAGATTTTAGACTGTGTGGAAATGAATAGATTAATTCTAAGAATAAAAGATAAAGAGGAATCGATGTATTTAAAGACATGGGGAGGGTTTTATGTATGGTTAGAAAAGAAATATGAATGAAAGATGATAGATAAATGATTTAGATAATAGAAAGTTAAATGAGGGAGAGGACAAAAAGAAATAGAAACCCAGATGACACCAGAGTAAATGGAAAAGGGGGATGGGAGGGGGGAAAAGAAAGAAGATTATACGTATAAATGTACCATTATGAGGATAAAAGCGACAGATTGGACCGGGGACAGGAGTAGGAGAGAAGGTGAGAAAGAGGGAAAAGAGGGGAGGAGTGGGGGGAAAGAAGGGAAAAGAGGAAAGAGGAAGAAGAGGAGGAGGGAGAAAGTAGAAGAGGAAAGGAGGGAGGGAAGGGAAAGAAAGGAGGAGAAGGTATGTTGTGAAATGAGGGAAAAGAAAGAGTAGAAGAGCAACCCCAAATTACTATTATTATTATTACTTATTTATTTAATTTATATACCGCCCTCCTCAGGGCGGTGCACAGCCAAGAATAAAAAACATACCAATACAAAAATTAAAATCAATTAAAAGAATTATACAGCTTTGGCCCACAATTTAAAACAATCCAATTAAGACCCAATTTACACTTAAAAAGCTAAAAAGAAGCTTAAAAAGGAGCTAAAAAAAGGAGCTAAAAATGTAATTAAAATGCCTTATTTTTATGCTTTCTTTATGAAAAATATGGATATGTGTGACCAATTATGTATAAGAGAATGTACATTTACATTATGTGTGTAAGAAATAAAAATAAAAAACTTTTTTTAAAAAAAGCAATCAACCAATGGAACAGAAGTTACATGGGAGCTTCATCACTGGGAGCTTTCAAGAACAGACTAAACTGCCACTTCTCAGAAATGGTGTAGTGAGGTTGGACTAGATGACCTACAAGGTCCTTTCCAACTCTTTTAATCTGTACCTTAGGAGGTTGATAAATTAAAAAAAGAAAGGTGGTCTAGCAATTCCTGCCACCGTGATACGTTTATTCCTAATTCTTGAAGGACTTTAACAGAAGTGCTTCTTGTAAAGGCAAATTTGGAGGAGCACCTAGCAGAACAAGACAACCAGAGGAAGCTATGCTGGCTGACAGCAACTTCAACCTGCTATTCTGCTCTCCATGTTGCGGAAGGACACAAAAATAATCCAGTCCAAACAAGGGGGGGAATAGAAGGAGAGAGAACTCTGCACACCCACTTCACTTCCTGAAGGGAGAATACAGATCTAATAACTCTTCCTTTTCTTACCTGATTTAGAGGTTCAGCCGCTGATTGATCGCCATCATGAAAACCAGAAAAATTCTTTCTTTCTTTCTCTGTAAGGAATAAATAATTTCAAAATAAATATTTAATTTATTTATTTTAGACATTTAGAAAATATTTAATTTATTTATTTTAGACATTTTTTTAAAGTATACTTTATTAGTTTTATGGTTAAAAACATCAAATCTCTACTAAAATCAGAGGTGCAGTGTTTGTACATATTTACAAAGTATACATCAGGCAAACTTCGCACTTAAATTGCAGGAAATAAGCATACCCTGACATCATGATTTAATCCTATTGTTTAACCATTCGTACCACTTTCCCCATACTACATGGTATTTTGATTCCTCATCGTTATTTAGCTCGTTCGTTAGTTTTGACATTTCTGCGCAGTCTAAAATTTTATTTATTAAAATTTCCTCTGGTGGTGTGGTTTTATCTTTCCAAAATTTCGCATAGACTATCTGGCCGCTGTTTCCCTCCCATAAAAAATTCCTAACACTTTTATTCAAATCTGGAAAGAATTTTTTGTCTAAACTCACCGGTATGCTTTGGTATAGAAATATAATTTTGGGGAGGATATTCATCTTAATTGCTATTTTACCCGTGAAAGACAATTTTAGCTTTTTCCATCTATCTAAATCCTGGTGTATTTTTTGTAATAGTGGGGTATAATTATCTTCTTTTAATGATGAATACCTCGAAGTTATCTAAATTCCTAAATATTTTGTTTTCTTCACTACCTGGAGACCTAAAGATTCTTCCAACGTTTTCTTATATGCTTCTGTTACATTTTTCACTATTATTTTGGTTTTTGTTTTATTAAGTTTAAAGCCGGCAACTTCTCCATACTTCTGTATTTCCTGAAGTAATTTTAGGCCAGTTTCTAATGGGTCTTCTGTTATTAGAGCCACATCATCTGCAAAGGCTTCTGTTTTGAAAATTTCTTTCCTAATCTTTAGTCCTTTGATTTCTTTATTAGATCTAATCTTCCTAAGTAACACTTCTAACGCCAAGATGAAAAGTAGAGGGGATAGGGGGCATCCCTGCCTTACTCCCTTTTGAATCTGAAATGTTCGAGTCTTCTCCCCATTTGTTAGTATACTCGCCCTCTGTTTGTGATAAATATTCTCAATCATTTTCCTAAAATTTGCCCCAAATCCCATTAAATTAATTTGATTAACCATAAAGCTCCAATTCAGGTTATCGAACGCCTTTTGGGCGTCCACAAACACTAGCGCCAACTGCTTTTCGGGATGTTGCTCATAATACTCTATAACATTTAATACCGTTCTCAGATTGTCCCTCATTAGTCTCCCTGGAAGGAATCCATTCTGGTCTTTGTGGATCCAAAGGTTTAAAAATTTTTTCACCCTCTCCGCTATTATACTCATAAACAATTTATAATCTGAATTTAGTAAGGAGATGGGTCTATAATTTGCAATTTGTTTCGGATCGGAACCTTCTTTCAATATGAGTGTGAGGTGCGCTTCCCTCCATGTATCCGGGATTCTTGTACCCACCAAGACTTCATTAAAGATTTCTAATAATTCTAATTGCAATGCTTCGTTAAATTTTATATAAATTTCCCCTGGGAGTCCATCTGGACCTGGGGTTTTATTCTTTTTAATTTTAGTAAGAGCACTTTTGAGTTCCTCTATTGTAATTTTATTGTTCAACATTTCCCTCTCTTCTTCTGTTATATGAGGTAGACTAGCTTCCATCAGATATTGTTCCACTTTATCTGGCTCAATCTCTTCCTCTTTGTATAGAACTTCGTAAAATTCTCTTGTTCTTTCTAATTTATCCTCTTCCTTCGTCAGGAGGTTACCCTTAGAATCTTCTAATACAAGAATTTGACTTTTTTCATTTTCTTTTTTTAATTTATATGCAAGCCACCTTCCGGACTTATTAGCGTTCTCAAAGTAGTAATGCTTTGTTCTTTTTATTTTTTGCGCTATCTCCTCCTGTTCCAAAATATTCAACCTATGTCTCGCCATCATCCACTTTTGTTTAGCCACCTCGTCTCCCGGGTTTTGCAGTAGTTTATTTTCCGCTTCTTCTAACCTTTTGATGTGGGCCTCCCTAGCCTTTTTTTCTTTATTTTTAAACGCCATATACGATATAGCTACTCCTCTCACATAAGCCTTCATAGTATCCCAAACAATTTCTCTAGCCGTACCTTGATTACCATTTTCTGTAAAAAATCGCTTTACTTCTTCATTCAGTTTAAATATAAACTTTTTTTCCTTCAGTAAATTTGTCTGTAATCTCCATCTCTGTTGTTTCCTCTTAGTCATAGAATGCCAATTTATTTCGAGGAGCTTGTGATCTGCCCAGGTGTTTGTGCTCATATCGATCTTCTTAATTTCCAATCCTAGTTTCCTGGTAGCCCATACCATATCTATTCTAGACCAGGAATTCTGCGGGTTCGAGTAGAAAGTGTATTGTCTATCAGAAGGATGCAATGTTCGCCACATATCAATTAGGTTTAATTCATCCACCAAATCAAAAAAACTTTTTGGCAAAGATGTCCTTTTATTTTTTTTAATTTTCCCACTTTTGTAATCTCTGTCTGGGTCTACAATACCGTTAAAGTCGCCTAACATACATATTTCATTGTGCGCCCATTTTCCTAACTGTTCATGTAATTTTCGATAGAATTGTCCCTGTTTTTTATTCGGGGCATATACCCCCCCCACCAACATCATTTTAGAGTTACCACTCGTTACCTCTATCATTAGGATTCTCCCTTTAGCATCTTTATATTTTAGTTCTGCCTCTATTCCTTCTTCTGACATACATAGCAACCCCCCTTTTTCTTTTCTCTGCTAAGGACACAAATACTTTGCCAAATTTAGTATATTCTAGAAAATTGGCCTCTTCTTTTTTTATGTGGACCTCCTGTATGCATATTATATCCGGATTATGTTTTACCAATTTTGACAGTATTAACTTCCTCTTTGCTTCTCCCCTTGAAGAGCACTCGGAGGCTCCAACTGGTCCAGAATGCGGCCGCGCGGGTGGTTATGGGTGCAACCCGTTGTGCCCATGTGACACCCCTCCTGCACGAGCTGCACTGGCTCCCAGTGGTCTTCTGGGTGCGATTCAAGGTGTTGGTTACCACCTTTAAAGCGCTCCATGGCATAGGACCCGGGTACCTTCGAGACCGTCTTCTGCCACCAATAGCCTCCCACCGGCCAGTCCGTTCCCACAGAGAGGGTCTCCTCAGGGTGCCATCGGCCAAGTTATGTCGGCTGGCGACACCCAGGGGGAGGGCCTTCTCTATGGGAGCTCCAGCCCTGTGGAATGAACTGCCCCCAGAAATACGTAAGATCTCCGACCTCCGGGTATTTCGCTGCGCACTGAAGACCCTGTTGTTCTTTTATTATTTTCTCAATATTTCTCCAAATAATCATTCAGTGGCACTTGCCACTGTTTTCCACTAGTAGTTACTTCGTGGAATCCTAATTGAGTTACTTGCTTATTAGGTAAAAGAGGCTTGTTTATTTAAAGTCTCTTCCTTAGGTTCCTATCCTTGACCTTCTTTAACTGGCCCCAATGACTTCTACACTTAACTAATAACACCATAAAACAATTGTCTCTTGACTCTTGTCTAATGTTTGGAGAGCTTACTAAAGCCTATCTTAGATCAATTGGATAATTAATTAGATATAGCACTTATTAATGAATTATTAAAGAAAGAGTTCAATTAATATTATCACACTTGTATAATTACCTACAATTAGAATTAATAAATAATTAATTAGCAAGATAATCACCTAAAGAACAATTAAGAATAATAAATTTAGAAAAATCAATGCCTACTTATAAATACCAATACTGTACTATCTAATAAAAGCAATATATATATGGGTAGTTTAAATATAAATAGATAAATATAAATAAGTACTATGCTACCTCATAAATACTATAAACGTGGATAATATAAGTTATAGGTATAATAAAAATATAAATATTTTATACAGAATTATGAGTAAAGAGATCTTACTAATTAATTTGTTAGTTTACCAATTAGTAGAATATATCTATATGTTCCACAAGAGGGTTTTGACAGGGAACAAGAGAAGAATATATATGTACGTATATATATATCAGTTTGCAACCAGTGTCAAATTTATTGTAAAAACGGGGTTCTTCCTCCTTTCTCCCCCCCTTTTTCAGATATCAAGTAAATGACGTTCTTTAGAGTTCTTTAATACTCAGCCTCCACAGACTTCCAAGTCTTGCAAATCAGTTATTGACAATGTTCTCTATGGTTTTCTACTGCTAGATTGTCCGACGTCAGCCTCTCCCGTTGTCTCCTGACTAATCCTTATAATGGCTGCACTTCCTGTTCTTCTAGGACGCTCAGACCTCTCTCCAACTAACACACTCTCCGATCAGTCTGTAACAGTAGGCAACAAAATAAAGGTTCTTCAAAGCTCTTATCCCTTTCTCTGCTCTCTCCACCAAACCTCTTCTCATGCCGTTAATCCCAGTAATCACTTTCTCCTCTCTGCTGGCTCGTCGGGTTCTCTCGTTTGAAGTCCGCTCATTCAGATCCAGTCGCCGCTCGCTCTCTTCTGAGACTTTCACACCCGACTCCACCAGCCCCTTCCTCCGATATCGCTCACACCGACAGGGAAAGATATGGTAATCCTATTTCGCCACTGCAACCTCCGATCTCCCGTCTTGTTGCTGGTTACCACCGCTTCAGGTCCGCCATTGACCGGCAGACTCATGCGTGCTAGGTTGACAGAGCCGCCCGGTCTTGCGAAAAGTGATTGCATTTTGAGTGGCAGGGAGCCGCAGCAGAGGGGCGAAAGAGCCACATATATCTCCAGAGCCGCAGATTGCTGACCCCTGTCCTAGGGGATGAGACCCGCAACATTCCCTGCCTCCACACTCTGGTGGGTGGGGCAGACGTAACCGGTAAGAGACGGTCCCTCAGATAATCCACAGAAAACACCGAGAGCCACAAAACCTGGGTGGGTGTGGCCAACTTGACATCACTCACCTCCAGCAGTCACATGACACCCCCTCAGCCATGCCTACCCAGCCAGTCATTAGGGCAGAGAACGAGTTGTTAAAAAACACTGGGAACAACAAAATCCTTTTGACATATCTCTCTCTCCTCTGCCTCCTTCCCTCTCCTCTCTCTCTGTCTCTCTACCTCTCTGTCTCTGCCCTGGCCGCTTCTCCACCACCCGCCATCGCCCTTACCTTCTCAGGTCAGGCGAGGAGTGACTGGGAGTGACTGGGGGGGGAGGGCGAGGCCAGCCAGAGGTGGGATCACCTGACAGGGAGCCACAGCAGAGGGCCCAAAGAGCTTCTTGTGGGTCCGGAGCCACAGGTTGCTGACCCCTGGTCTAGGAGAACCTCCAAATTAGGCACAAGGTCTGCTAGGGGTAGTGCCACCCCATCCAAGACCAGAAGTGGCAATTCTTCCTTGGCCAATGAACCCCAAACCCAGAGCTACTCAGTCTTGCCAGGGTTTAGTTTCAACCCGTTGCTCCCCATCCAGCCCCTAACAGCCACGGGTTATGACTACTTCAGCTTCAACCACAACAATACATGAGCACACAATAGATACAAAGTTATGGAAAACTGCACTAAACTTGATTGCAGTAAATATGACTTCAGTAACAGAGTCACTAATGCCTGGAATGCACTACCAGACTCTTTGGTTTCTTTCCCTAACCCCCAAACTTTAACCTTAGACCATCTACTGTCGACCTCACCCCATTCCTAAGAGGTCTCTAAGGCGAGTGCATAAGCGTACCAACATGCTTACCATCCCTGTCCTAATGTTCCCTTTTATATGTATCGATTTCATGTATTCATAATTATGCTTATACTTATATCTGTTAATTATTACATGCTTGACTATATATATATATATATATGTTTTCACGGGTACAGGTATGCAAGTCTTGGTGTATTCGGGTCTTTTCCCATGTAAGATTGACATCACTTTGGCAACGTTTCGGCACAATCTCATCTGCCATCATCAGGCTTATGCAAGGGGTCTTCTGCAGCAACAACCGCCTTCCCCAAAAAGGGAATATTGGGAGACAGGTTGGAAATTATTCAATAGGGTGGAATCCAGGGATGGCTTCTTAAGAAGAGAGTGGACCACAGCCTCCTGCAAGTGCTGGGGCACTGCCCCCTCCTGTACGGAAGCATTAATGACCACCACCGTCCACCCACCTGTCATCTCCCCGGAGGCTTTCCCAAGCCAGGCGGGGCATGGGTCTAAAACACAGGTGCTTGCACCCACCCATACTCCCTAGGGTCCTGTCCACTTCCTCAGGAGCAACAGGGTCAAACCGTTCCCAGATATCAGAGCAAGAACCTGCCTCAAAGGCTTCCATTGGGCCAGCAATCACGCCGGCATCCAACTGGGAACCAAGTTGAGCGATTTTGTCTTCCAGAAAAACCACCAATTCCCCAGCAGTCCCCTTCAGGTGGACCTCAATCTCCCCCTTACCCAAGAGGAGGAGGCTCACCTAAAGAGGGTCGCTGGGAAATTATCTGCAGATGCAATTAATGTGGAGAAGTATGAATAGGAGGAGGAATCGTATAGAAGAAAGAGCGAAGATAAGACAGATAGGTAATCAGGGGATCTTCAATTACCTCCTGAGGTGTCCTGACTTTGATCCTCCCAAGGGATCCTCCTGGAAAATAGCTCCTGGGGGGGATTTGATGGGTTCTTCCTTCCTTCAGGATCTCTGATCTCCACAGTGCAGCACTTCCAATAGGAAGAAGGAAAAAAGAAGCAGAATTAATGTACATCACATGAAGTAAAGTGAAATCTTATATTTGGAACACAATCTCAAAGCACCCGACATCCATCAGTGAACCTGCATGAGAAAAAAATGGAACAATGTCCCATAAGAATTGTGGGACATCTCCACATATTATGAATGTCAGACAAGTTTGGGAAGTAGGGGTGAAACATTCAAACAATTCTTTATTCCCTTTTGAGCTCCCTAAATTGTCTCACCTGCAACTCCACCTGCTCCTTCTGCTCCTCCACCTGGCTCAGGAGGAGGCCTTCCGCCAGGGCCACCGCCTGGGAGCTGGTCTCTGCTCCACACTCCCGCACCCAGCCCTCCATCTCTGGGGGCAGAAGGAACAGGAGCTGCTCCAGAACCACCAGGTCCAGCATCTGAGCTTTGGTGTTCTTCTCTGGCCTCAGCCATCGCCTGCAAAAACCATGGAGTCGGCTGCAAAGTCCTCGGGGACCCTCAGCCTCCCGGTATTGGATGAACTTCCAGGGCTGAACTTGTGAAGGGAGGATGGTTTCCTCCTCCAGGATCTCCTTCCCAGGCTGAGCAGCTGAAGGGCCTTTTCCGCTTCCCTCCTTTCCAAAAGGTTGTGTCTCCATCCTTTCTCTGTCCTGCAGAGCAACTGCAAATGGCTCCAAGGACTCTGGTGGGTCTCCAGATGCCTTTTCCTTCACGGGACCATTTCTGGGGCTGCAGGACTGATCCCTGCAAGGGATTCCGCTCTTTTTCTTCTTCCCCCAAGAGAAAAAAATTGCCTTGCAAAGATTTCAAATGCTTTCGACTTTGTGTATCTGAGATGGGAAGAAAAACAAATAGCAAGAATTAGAAAGTGGAATTCAGCCACTGAGCGACCTTCTGGGCCTCTGCAAGGCTGACCCTCCCCTCCCCCCACTCGGGCTCTTTGCATGGAGAGGGCGGCTGGGGAGCATGGGATCTGGGGTTGCAGCCAGAGAAGGGCCACGCTAGGGTCTCTGCCTCCTCCGCCTCCCTTTGACCGGGAAGAGCCCCCAACTCACCAGTGGAACTTCTGGATCTCCCCCCGCCAGACTCTCCCGCAGCCTCTCCGCCTCCTGTGGAGCCCCAGAGGTTAAGGAGAACGAGTGCGGAGTCCTAGAGCGGCAAGCTTTCATGATGTCACTTCCTTCCCGGCTACCCCTACAAAGCCGACCGTGACGTTTGCCGTCCAGTGGACCAATGGGAAAGCGCCGGGAGTTCCCTTCTCTTGGGGGAGGGCGCCCTCTGGTGGATTAGGGGCAAAGTGCCAGGATTGTAGAAAGGGCGGAAAAGAGGAGCGCGTCTGAGGGGAAGGGAGAGGGCAGGGATGATGGGCTTGGGAGTAAGAGGAAAGGCCCCTCTCAATGCCTGCCAGCCCAAGAAAAGCTTTGTGGTTTTCAGAGGCGGCATTTTCTCCATCTTCCTCTCTTTCCTGTCCAGGAACCGTCTGTGGAGACGAAGAAAAATCTCTATGGAGGATTTGAACTCGCTTCCCTCAAGAACAGCCGCCCTGAAGGCTCCGCAGAGATTGTGGGAGGCCTCCAAAGGTTCCAAATCCTGTCAGAAACAGCCGGGCGGTCAGAAGAGGAGGACCAGGAGGCTCTGTGGGAAAGACAGCTTGTGTCTTGCGGTTGTTGGGAACTCCCGCCTGAAGGGGAGGCAGATGGGACACAGGCAGGAAGGCCACAATTCAGGAAAATGATTTTATTTCTTTCTTATTTCTCTAATTCAATACATGCAGCTGCCCTTCCCAAACTATTCGCTCAGCCTCTCAGCAAAGGGCGGAGGAGAAAGGGCAGGGACCCCTCAGGTCTCTTCTGATGAAAGAAAAGGAAGATCTGATGAAAGAAAAGGAAGAAAAAAAGAAAAGGAATAGAAAGCTAAACTATGATGATGAAAACCATTTTTATATAGGCATTGAGTAGGAAATTCACCTCAAGAAATGTGACTAGGAAGCTTAAGCCCCTTGGAGAATTTAAGTCAGGGATATTAGACAATAAATGAAAAGAGAGAAAGAAAAGGAAAAAGGAAGAGCAAAACAAGAAAAGCTAAAGACTCCATTGCTATGAAAACATTTGACCAGATTTGGAGTCAACAATGACACACAGAGGTTAGCTACAGTGAGCAAAACAAAATTTAAAAAGATGGAAAAGTGGTTGAAAATCCATTTTAAAAAATGGAAGTAACGTCATAATTTTTAATCATGCAACGAAGAGAATTTTATGCATGTTTAACAAGTAACTACACAACTGATAGTTACTTAATTTTAAATTACCTTGATATTATGGCAAACCATAAAAAGACAAAAATATGGCCTTAATGCTTAAAAAATATATTTTCCCCATGCATTTGTTTCAGCTTCTGTTCATTCTGGCCCCTTGCTTGAAAGACAAATTGTTCACCCGGAAGCTTTTTCCACACACTCTACATTGACTCTCATTATTCCATCTCATCATAAGAAGTCTTTGACCGAAAAAGGTTCCCTGCTTCTACATTCATACTGGTGGACTCAGATCTTAATTTGCCAAAGCAGACGCAGTGGTGGGTTTCAAATGTTTTTACTACCGGTTCTGTGGGTGTGGCTTGGTGAGCGTGGCAGGGGAAGGATACTGTAGAATCTCCCATTCCCTCCCCACTCCAGGGAAAGGTTACTGCGAAATCCCCATTTCCTCCAGATCAGCTGGAAGGCAGAGAATAGATGGGGGCGGGGCCAGTCATAGGTGGTATTTACTGGTTCTCTAAACTACTCAAATTTTCCACTATTGGTTCTCCAGAACTGGTCAGAACCTGCTGAAACCCACCTCTGCTCTGAGGTTGGTTGGTGCACTGATGATGTTCCCTAGTTTGGCTAATGAAAGGTTTGCAACAACACAATCAAGCTCAGAGACCACCAAGGACCCCTCGTTTCAACTGAGCTACACATTTTCTCCTTTGTTGGCAGATTGGAGTATCTTGATACTCCATAGAAAGTTCCCATTTGCATTTCTGCATGACTCATCGGGAAGGACTGAAGTAAAAAAATTGAAGTAGTTCTTAATTTCATGATATTTTGGTCCCCGTTGCTTTCCAAAGATCTTCCTTCTTGATTGATCATTTGCAATGTTAGCTTGTAACTTCAAATGGTTACTTAATAAATTATTATAAATCAGGAACTGCTTGGGTTGGCCAGTAGGCTGCCTAGCTATGAGAACTTAATATGCATCCATATTTCTCTACCACTGCTTTCCCTTAATAAAACTACTTGTCATAGTTCCCAGTAATACTCCCAACCAATTCAAGACTCTGAAGCCTTGGCTTCCTCAAAAATTCGGTTTATTTATTTGTTTGTTTGTTTCTTTATTAAATTTGTATAACGTCCTACTCCCGAAGGACTCAGGGCGGTGAACAGCCAAATAAAATACATATAATACAAATGTTAAAAAACAGTTAAAATACAATTAAATAATTGGCTCAGAGAACGAAATTTAAAACCCCCAATTTCATTATTGGGTACATCATATCTGCACGGTCAAAGGTGAAAGCAAAATTGAATAATTCCCACATTTTAGGTATAAGTAAAAAATATATGCTGTCCAGCCCCCTTGTATCACAGGTTAGCCAAGAAAGCAGATGATGAACTTCTCAGCACTCCCTCCTGCCATTTTTGGCCACACTGATTTGGCCTTGGTTCTCAGGAGCCTTATCATTGTTATATCCGGCACATTGGAGGAAAATATTCTACATTCCACAAATTCCCCCTACCCCTACCCCTAAGTATGGCAACTAAGAAACAAAGCAAGAAAAATATGGCTTCAGCTCGAGTCGTTTTGAGAGTTGACACTACTTGCTTTAAGGCTCCCTCTGTGGAGGAAAGTTGGAATAGACACAAAGATATTTACACAATGCTAGAACTGTTTTAATAAATGAGTTCAAGCAGCACTTTTTTTAAACAACTATGTGAAAAAAGTTACACTGGCACTGAAAGAATGATAACTCCAAAAAAGTAAACAGTGTGGCCAGGCAGCTTTGAAGATACAACATTCTGGGATGCATCACCAGATGTACCACCATCAGCAAAAAGGAGCTCCTATCCCTCTACATAGGGCTTTAGTGAGACTCCATTTGGAATACTGTGTCCAGTTCTGGAGACTTCACTTTAAAAAAGGTATTGATAAGATTTTCTGAGTCCAGAGATGGGCAACACGAGGGAAGGCAAGGAAAGATCACCACAAAATAAGGAGAAAGAACCTATGAGTTGCATTTTCTAATTCAGCATCACTATAACCCCCTTTTCCTTATGGTTTTCTTTCTCAGTTGTTACTTGTGTTACATAATGTGAAGCAGGGTGGAAAAGCAGACTGTGACAATAGTAAGCAAAGGAAGAAAAGCTGAAACAATAGAAAGGGATTCAGGACTAATTGCATTTCTGCCTGCAACTCTGCTCTAGTGGCAATACTCATCAGAGGGAGTTACTTGAAATGTACCACTTAAATATTGGCCTCCACTCATCACTTTGAGGGCAAACGATAAACTTAATCTCCATTGATACTCATCTTTCTTTTAAAACCTCCTACTTAGCAAAAAAGCACCAGGATGGATTGAGGATTCCAAATCAAAATCAGAATAGAGCTGGAAGGGAACTTGGAGCTCTTCTAGTCCAGTCCCCTGATCAAGCAGGAGATTCTATATCATTTCAGACAAGTGACTGTCCAGTCTCTTCTTAAAAATGTCCGGTGATGAAGCACTCACAATGTCTAAAGGCAAACTGTTTCACTGATAAATTGTCCTCACTGTAAGAAAGTTCCAGGCTGCTTCTCTCCTTGATTAGTTTCCATCCATTGTAAGAATATCTTGTCCTCTGGTGGTCTGGGAAAAAAATTAGATATTAGATTAACAGAATTGGAACGGACCTTGTAGTTCATCTAGTCCAACCCCCCACCCAAGCAGGAGATCCTACACCATTTCTGAGAAATGACAGTCCAATCTCTTCTTGAAAGCCACCAGTGATGAAGCACCCACAGCTTCCAAAGGCAAGCTCTTCCATTGGTTGATTGTTCTGTCAGAAAATTTCTCCTTATTTCTAATTAGAATCGCTCCTTGATAAGTTTCCATCCATTATTCCTTGTCTGGCCTTCAGGTGCCTTGGAAAATAGCTTGTCCCCCTCCTCTCTGTGGCAGCCACTCAGATATTGGAACATTGTTATCATGTCTCCTCTGGTCCTTCTCTTCAGTAGATGAGCCATGCCCAGTTCCTCTAACCGTTCTTTTTTTAGTCTTCCGGCCTTTAATCTGTCAGGCCTGGGAGCCATCTTGGGGATTGGATCTTCAGGGCTGCCACATTTAGTGTTGTGGGAAACTGGGAGGGGGGATTGTATGGATCTGGGCGGATATGTAGTCAAAATAATATTCCTTTCTCCTAGTGTCAAGGACATTCTGCCCTGCAGCTGGAGGGTTTGGGTTAGACTATGTGATGGACATATGGGTGCTGGACAGGGATTTGAACTTTCTTTTGGGTGGGGAAAATCTGGAAGCTTTCAGATTTGGGTTTTGCCAGATGTGCCAATATGACATCTCAAATAAAATGAAACATTGAGGAACTTCAAGCCTCGGAGTCTCCTTTAGTTGTGGGTGTTACTTGGAACTCTGACATTAACCCAAATCTGCATTAAAACTCCAACCGGCTCCCCCATCCCCGGGGTGCTGTCCGGGGTCCTGAGCCCCGAATGTCGACCAGATACCAGGCGGTATGAAGACTCAGGGAAGATGGAGGAAGACAGCCACGGACAGAGTTGCAGGGGCTAGCTCGGCTATTTATGTCGAGACCATCTACTCCCCTTCCCAAGCTGTGGTGGAGATGGAAATGGCTGCAGATGTGGAGCGCCAGCTGGGTGCCTGGCCCACAGAAGCGGTGCCCAAACAAGCCGCTCAGCCAGATCTGACTCTATGGGATGAGGCTGCGGGAACCACACATTTATTTCTTAATACATCCAGTTTTTACTGCAAAAACAAGACCTGTCCATTTGCATTTATTGGTCATTGGACTTGGCTCATGTGAGTGAATTCTGTTTGCATTATGATCTGGCTGAAAAGAAAAACAAATATATGTTTCTGCACCGGATAGGCGACAAAATCATAAATAAATAAAACATAAAACAGATTCACCGAATTTGTCTGACCAAGAAGTCTGGAGCTTGTGCAACATTTTCTAGGATTGGACTTGTTGGACCTGAAGGCCAAACCTGTGATCAGGACAAAATCTGCCTGTGCCCTTTCCTCCTCTGTGTCCTGCTTGAGCAGGGGGTTGGACTAGAAGACCTCCAAGGTCCCTTCCAGCTCTATTGTGATTTGATTGAGTTTCTGAAAGGGGCCTCTGAGTTCTCTCCAGCTCATTTGGGGGAGGGAAAGGATACCTGAAAGGGAGACTGGCAAGGGGTGAGGGGGTGGGAGGAATCACCCTGGAGCTACTCTGGAAGGAGGGCCTCTTGGGTGATGGGAGGGGAAGGCCAGGATCCCTCAGAGGCAGAGGCTGGGAGGGCAAGGGGCTGCAGCTGAAAGAGGCCAAATCCAGGAATGGTTCTTTTCAAAGATTCCTAAGGGGAAAATCTAGTTTTTCATAGTCTTAGTATCCTAAGGATTGTGTGTGTATGTATGAATGGATGGGCGAAAGGAAGGAAGGAAGGAAAAGTAAAGGAAGGGAAGGAAGATAGGAAAGGAAGGAGGGAAGGAAAGGACTTGTAAGATTCAGAGAAGCACTTAAGTCAACGCCATCCCATAACGTACAAGCAAAGAGCATGCGGAGAAAGTCCACGCTTAAGGAAAGTACGGCGTCCTTTTCATATCTTCAGAGACATCAGTTTGGTACCCAATTCCAGCCCCCTGGTCCAGGGCTTCATTATCCTCAAAGCATTCCTTATGGCCCTGGGCAAGATGGATGCTTCCCTCATCAAACTTCCCTCATCCCTGGCTATCCCTTTGTTCTCTTCTCATCTGCTCCTGGGCCTCTTGATGCCACAGGGAACGGGGCTGGGCGCTTAGCAACACAGATCCAAAGGTGTAAGACAGAGCTGGGGCCAAAAGTGTAGTGGGGCACCCCAGATGTGCTGGCTGTGTTATACCTCATCCCTGACAGGCAATGATATATGCAGCTTCTAACCTGAGATATGTACCAGGTGTTGAGTGGCACAGAAAAACAAGATTCAGATTGACGGCAGGAGCTCCTGTTTTGCAGAGGCCAAATGCAAGTTAGAGTAATTCTACAAATACATAACAGAAGCAAATGTTTACAGGAGCCAAATGCAGATTAGATTAATTTTACGACTAGCACAAGCAATTCTTTGAAAAAGAGACACAGCAAGTTAAAAGTAATTCTACTGATTCGATTATTATGTCCCACTAATTCTACTGATTCGATTATTATTTCCCTAGAGCCTTGATGGTACAGTGGTCTACGCACCCTGTTATTAACACAGCTGCCTGCAATTTACTGCTGGTTCGAATCTCTCCAAGGCTCAAGGTTGACTCAGCCTTCCATCCTTTCTAAGGTAGGTTAAATGAGGACTCAGATTGTGGGGGCAATAAGCTGACTTTGTATAAATATACAAAAGTATGAAGGCTATTGCTTAATGCATTGTAAGCCGCCCTGAGTCTCCGGAGAAGGGCAGCATATAAATCAAATTAAAAAAAAAAATATGGGATTTATAATTTTATAATCCCTATAAGATTTAGGCCTGGCCTAAATCTTCTCCCCTTTTAAATATAAATTTTTGAATACAAATTTTAATCTGTTTAAAACTATGGGGTATTTTAAATTCAGCCAAATTATTTAATTCATTTTTAATCTATTTTAAATTTTTGTATTTCTGTGTTTTTATCTTCTGGCTGTTCACCGCCCTGAGTCCTTCGGGAGAAGGGCGGTATAGAAATTTAATAAAAGAAATAAATAAATTAGGATGTCCCTTCAAAGAAGGAAGGGAAGGAAGGAAAGGAAGAAGGGAAGGGAAGAAGGGAAGGAAGGAAGGAAGGAAGGGATTCCTGCTTCCTCCCCTCTGATTTTTCTGCTATTGAGATCCACAACAGCGCTTCTTGAATGGAACCCAACCTGCTATTTGCGGTGGGTCAGAAAACCCCACAGCGCTGGGGGTAAAACCTGTCGTCCGGCAGCCCCTTTGCCAGGGAGGGAGCAAAAGGCAGAAGCTGCTGGGAGGGGGGGTGGGCAGAACAGTTCTCTCTTCTCTCGCTCTGGGGGGGGGGGGGGAGAGAAGGCAGACTCTGCCCGGAGACCGATGACGCAAGGGGAAGGTAGAATTCTCATTGGTCCTTCCGCTTTTCTGGGCCCGCCCAATTCCGAAGTTTATAGGAAAACAATTAACCAGTGGAACAACTTGCCTCCAGAAGTTGCGAATGCTCCATCCAACACTGGAAGTTTTTAAGAAGATGTTGGATAAGCATTTGTCCGAAGGGTTTCCTGCCTAAGCAGGAGGCTGGACTAGGAGACCTCCAAGATCCCTTCTATTCTATTGGGTCAAAACTTCTCCTCCCCCCCCTCCCCAATCCAGAATTCTTTTTTTTATTGAAAAGTTTTACAAAAAGTTTACATATTTCCCCCCCCTTCCCTGCCCCAGTCTCCCCCCTCCCACCCTCCTCTTCCCAGAACAGATTACAGGGTATAACCTTCAACAATCATGATCAATCCTAGTCTAAATAATTATAACATTCCACATCTCTTGTTCCTTCAATTCCCTAATTATCCGCCTAACTTGATTACTTAAAGGCACACCAAATATCTATATAGTCATTCATAACCTATCTGCAATTTCTTATTCCGGTATTTATTTTGAATATAATCTATCCATCCTCTCCAGTCTCTTAAATATCTTTCATTTGAATGATCCTTCAAGTACGCCAAGATGTTTGCCATTTCCGCTAGGTTTGTAACTTCCATTGTCCACTCTTGGATTGTAGGTAAATCTTGCTTCTTCCAATATTGTGCCACCAACAGTCTTGCTGCAGTTATTAAATTCAAAATCAATTTAGTCTCTATAACTGGACAAACCGTAACTATACCCAGCAGAAACAGCTGGGGTGTAAATTTCAACCTCTTTTTCAGAATATTTTGTAAAATCCACCAAATTTTTATCCAAAACGCTTTAACCTTTTTACATGTCTACCAAATGTGAAAATAAGTGGCATCCTCACAATTTACATCTCCAACATTTTGGTTGTACATTCGGTTACATTACGAGATAACTTTTTTGGGTCTAGATGCCATCTATAAAACATTTTATAAAACCAGAATCCAGAATTCTCGATTCCGCCTCTGGGGCTGGAAGCATCCGCGCCTTTCCTCTCTCTCTTTGGGGGCGCTTGTGGGGCAGGAGCATCCACAGCGGGGGGGGGGGCAGTTTCAGACAAGCTGTGTTGCTTCCCCCTCCCTGGAAGAAACACAGCATCGTCGCCAGGAAGGAGGGGGGGGATCTGGGGGAGCCCTCCATCTCCCCCCCCGCCCCATTTCCTGCGATAGCCTCTGAATGGGAGGTGGGAGAGGGAAGGCTTGCATTACAAAAGATTCCACTCCAAGCAGGGGTGGGGGTGGGGTGGGGTGGGGGTGGGGGGAGACATCCACACATGTATTTCTGCTATTTGCAGGGGGGCTGGGGTAAAACCTGCCCTCCGGCAGCCCCTTTGCCAGGAAGGGCTCAAAAGGCAGAAGATTGGGGAGGGGCGGGCAGGGGAGTGACTCCACGTGATTGGGGGAGGGGCACTCCCACTCCAGGTAAGATCCAGCGGGGGCAAAAAGTCCACACTCCCCTCCGGGACAGCCATGAACCCCCCCCCACCTCCTTGATCTCTGTCCCCTCCCCCCAAAAGACTGAAGGGACCCCCCTCCCCTCCTACTTTCTCAGCTTCTCTCTCTGCGCCCAACTCTCCTCCGGTGGGTGAAGACAAGGGAGACTCTGCCCAAAGACCGATGACGCGGCAGAAGGAAGAATTCTCATTGGTCCTTCCGCTTTTCTGGGCCCCACCCAATCCCCAGGTTCTAAGAAAACTCCTCTCTCCCCAATCCAGACCCACCGTTTCCTCCCTGGGGGCTGGAAGCACCCACCTGTTCTGCTGGGCGAGGCCGCTGGTCCGGATCTCTGGAAGCCAAGGAGATCCCCGGTAAAGGAGCGAGCTCGTGGGAGGTGGGGGGGAGGAGAGGGGCTGGAAAGGGGCCACCAGCTCTCCTTGGGAAAGTGGGGGGGGGGGAGAAAGAAAGGGGCTGTGGGATCCCAGGCGTGGGAAGTGGGGTGTCTCTCTAGGATGGCCCTCCCTGTCCCTGGATAAAGCCAGGAGCGCCACTCGAGGCTGCGAGCGCTTCCAGCCCCCAGAAAGCGAAAGGGATTTAGAAGAGTACAAGAAAGTGAAAAATGAAAAGAAGAAAGCAAGACGTCTCTTTTCCGCCCCCGAACAATGTGCTTCTCCTTAAAGGCTTCTGGTTTGACGTGGCCGCCCGTTCTGCCTCTTTCCCCGGCGTCCTTCCCATTCCCGGGCTCCGTTGTCGGGACTGCGCGAGCGTGGGGTGGGGGCTGCCTTTCATTGGGGCGCTTGGAAGGAGACGGGGCTCCTCTTGCTTTCTCTCCTCCTCCTCCTCCTCTCCCTCTCCTCCGGCCGGCCATGGCAGGGCTTCCTGCCCCTCCCTTAGCCCCCCCCCGCGGTCCCCCATTATCGATGCAATTTGGGGGGTGGCAGATGGGGAGGGGTGGGGCTGGGGAGGAAGGTAACGAAATTAAATGCCGTCTTCAGTGTACATTATAACTATAAAAAAAAAAAAAAAGTACCACGAAGTCCAGGAAAAAGTTTCGCTACCGGTTCTCCCGAACCGGTTCCAACCGGCTGAATCTCACCACTGGACCTTGGGATTTTCAGATGCCACTGAAAGGTTGGCCTTTCTAGGACTTTGCCCCTCCCTCCCCTCTCGGGCTCTTTCGCTGCAACCTGCAGGAAAGTTTTGCAGGTAATAGGCGGGGGGGGGGCGAGGATTTGCAAGGGGGTCTCATCCAGTCTGGATTTCTAGGAAGGGGCGGGGCAAGGCCCGGGCCCCATGTTCCCCTGCCGTCCCTTTCCATCCATGTATGGGGGGGGGGGACGACAAGAGTTTCAGACCACCCATGTTGCTTCCCTCTCCCTGGAAGAAACACAGCATCATCCCCAGGAAGGAGGAAGGGATCTGGGGGAGCCCTCCATCTCCCCCCTCCCCATTTCCTGAATGGGAGTGAGCCAGAAAGGGCTCAAAAAGGCAGAAGGTTTCGGGAGGGGCGGGCAGGAGAGTGACTCCACGTGATCGGGGGAGGGGCACTCCCACTCCAGGTAGGATCTGGAGAGGGCAAAAAGAAATCCCACACTCCTCCAGGGCAGCCATGATACCCCCGTCCCCTTGATCTGCGTTCCCTCCCCCCCAAAAGACCGAAGGGATCCCCCTCCCACTTTCTCCTCTCTGATTCGAACTCTCCTCCGGTGGGTGAAGACAAGGAAGATTCTGCCCAAAGACCGATGACGCGGCAGAAGGGAGAATTCTCATTGGTTCTTCCGCTTTTCTGGGTCGAAGTTCTACGAAAACTCCTCTCTCCCCAATCCAGACCCACCGATTCCGCCTCTGGGACTGGGAGCATCCACGTGCTCTGCTGGGCTCCCCCTGATACTGTTGGCGAGGCCGCTGGTCCGGATCGCTGGAAGCGAAGGAGATCCCCGGTAAAGGAGCGAGCTCGTGGGGAGGAGAGGGGCTGGGAAGGGGCCATCAGCTCTCCTTGGGGAAGTGGTGGGGGGGTGAGAAAGGGGCTGGGATCCCAGGAGTGGGGAGTGGGGTGGCTCCCTAGGATGGCCCTCCCTTCTTGCTTGCTCTTCTCCCCACCCCCGGGCCCGCCATGGCAGGGCTTCTTACCCCTTACTTAGCCCCCCCCGTCCCCCTTATCGATGCAATTTGGGGGGTGGCAGATGGGGAAGGGTGGAGCGGGGGAGGAAGGTTATTCAGCAGGTTCCATGAACTCCAGAAACTGTTTAGTTACTGGTTCTGCCGAACCGGTTCGAACTGGCTGAATCCCACCACTGCTCCTCCTCCTCCTCCTCTCCCATCATCCTGAGCCCCACTTGCAAAAAAGGCCTCCTTCCTCCCATCCCTTTTGCAAAGGGGTTCCTCTCTGTGTGGCGGACAGAAGCCCCCCCCCAAGGGGGTGGAATCTGCAAAGAAAAAAAAAAAAACACCAAAGGTGGCCTAAAAAGTTTCAGGAAGAAACCGAGCATGCGCAGGAACCTCTGACCGGTTCGGTGTGTGGGGTTTCAAACCGTTGGGATTTTCAGAGTGGTGATGATGTCACTGAAAAGTTGGCCTCTCTAGGACTTTGCTCCTCCCCTCCCCTCTTGGGCTCTTTCCCTGCAAAGTGCAGGAAAGCCTTGCAGGGAATGGGCGTGGCCTAGTGAGGGGGCAGAAGCCACGTGCTGGGACTTTGCAAGGGGGTCTTTGGAATTCTAGCCAGGGGAGGGTGGGGGGAACAGTTTCAGACCAGCTTTCCCCCTCCCTGGAAGAAACACAGCATCAACCCCAGGAAGGAGGAGGGGATCTGGTGGGGGGCCTCCATCTCCCCCTTCCCATTTCCTGAGAAAGCCTGAATGGGAGTGGGGGGAGAGGGAAGGCGTGCATTACAAAAGGCAGGCAGGACTCCTCCCTTCCCCAAAATGCTGGAGGGGTGGGGGGAGCCGCACAGGTATTTCTGCTACTTGTGGTGGGCTGGGGTAAAACTTGCCCTCCAGCAGGCCCTTTGCCAGTGACTCTATGAGATTGGGGGAGGGGCACTCCCAAAGAGGAATTTTGTGTGTGTGTGTGTGTGTGTGTGTGTGTGTGTGTGTGTGTGTAGGCACCGAAGGACTCACCAGTGTAGGGAGGAAATTGTCCCCTGTTGGGTTTCTCCCAGCCGGGACTTAATGATCAACACTTTGAAGAATAAATTGAATAACGAAGCAGAGCTGCCGGAAAGAAGCTTTTAATGACAAGGAACCAAGATGAGTGAAATTTAGCAAGGCTTCTTGGCTAGCTAGGAAGATTGACATTCAAAAGTGATTTTATATACCCTTTCTGAGTTTTGGTCTAAAATTGATTTTTGGTGCTTGGTAATGTTTAATCCTGTGTTTATTGATGGGATAATTTCCCTATTCAGCTTTTTTTGGAAGGAAGAAAATTTCTCTCTGTTCCTGAAAAGAAGCAGGGTTGAGAAATCTGTCTAGTTCCTTTGTCTATTTGTTCTGATAATTAGTCTAACAAGCAACAGCTCTAGCAATGAGCCGATAAGGCTTTTCTTTTCTTGTGTAAACGTGTTTTTTTTTTATTTGATTTATATGCCGCCCTTCTCCAGAGACTCAGGGCGGCTTACAATGCGCTAAGCAATAATAGGTTGTGATTTAATTATTTTTATTGTGTTTGGATTATTTGCTGTCTTCTTCCTCTGTCTGGGGGAGGGAGCCTCCCTTGAATCAGCTGACTCAGAGACCCCCCCAAGTCCTCAGGGGCTGCACCTCCACATTGTTCATCCATTGAGCCCCCATCTCCAGATAGCATCCGGGTGGGGTGGGAGGCAAAAAGAAGTCCACACACTCCTTCGGGGCTGCCGTGAATCCCCCCTTGAGCTGCGCCCACCCCCAAAAAGACTGAAGGGACCCACCACCACCACCACTTTCTCCGCTTCTCTCTCTGCGCGGAACTCCTCCAGCGGAAAACATATAAATACATGTAATTAATAAATAAATAAATAAATAAAACAAACAAACAAGGGAGACTCTGCCCGGAGACCGATGACGCGTCAGAAGGGAGACGTCTCATTGGTCCTTCAGCTTTTCTGGGCCCGTCCCAATCCCGAAGTTCTAAGAAAACCCCCTCCCCAATCCAGACCCACTGATTCCATCTCTGGGACTGGAAGCACCTGCGTCTTTCTCCCTCTCTCTTTGGGGGCGCTTGTTGGGGAGAAGCATCCACGTGCTGTGCTGGCTCCCCTGATACTGCTGGTGAGGGCACTGGTCTGGATCCCTAGAAGCAAAGGGGGGGAAGGAGACCCCTGGTAAGGAGGGGGCTCTGCCTCTTTCCACGGTGCCCCTCCCATGGCAGGGCTCCCTTGCCGGGGCTGTGCACATGTGCGAGCAGGGGAGGGGGCTACCTTTCATTGGAGCGCGTGCAGCAGATGGGCGAAAAGGCCCTGGCCCCATGTTCCCCTGCCGTCCCTTTGCATGCACGTGTAAAGGGGGGGGAACAGTTTCAGACCAGCCTTGTTGCTTCCCCCCCCCTCCCTGGAAGAAACACAGCATCATCCCCAGGAAGGAGGAGGGGATCTGGTGGGGGTCTCCATCTCCCCCTCCCCATTTCCTGAGAAAGCCTCTGAATGGGAGTGGGTGGGAGGGGAGGCTTGCATTACAAAAGGCAAGCAGGACTCCTCCCTGCCCCCAAACTGCTGGATTCCACTTCAAGGGGGGGAGGGGTGGGGGAAACTGCACAGGTATTTCTGCTATTTGTGGTGGGTCAGAAAACCCCACAGCTTTGGGGAAAACCTGCCCCCCAGCAGCTCCTTTGCTAGGAAGGGCTCAAAAGGCAGAAGGTTTCTGGAGGGGCAGGCAAGATAGTGATCCCACTCCAGGTAGGATCCAGAGCAGGGGTGGGTTCTAAATTTTTTTTACTACCGGTTCTGTGGGCGTGGCTTATTTTGTGGGCGTGGCTTGGAGGTCATGTGACTAGGTGGGCGTGGCTAGCTGGTCAGAGTCGTTTCTGGAAGGTCCTTGCACGTACGACCAGTCCTCGCACTTACGACCCGGCTCATTTGTTGGATTTTAACACTGATCAGCTGTAGGACGGCCCTTTGAAGGCAAGAGTTTAAACAGTTTTTTTCCCTCTAGTCATCAGCTGGGACTCAGGAGGCAGCAATAGATTGGGGGTGGGACCAAATAAAAGGTAAGAATAACGGGGGTGGGGGGTGGGAGGGCGGGGGGAGGAGAACCGGTTCGGTGACGTCATATCGTCACCGCTACCGGCTCGGCCGAACCGGACCGAACCGGGAGGAACCCACCACTGATCCGGAGGTTGAGTTTCTTCCAGCTAGGACATAATGATCAAAGAAGCTTTTAATAGGTTTAAAAAACCTATTTTTTTCAGTTAGCCGGACTGTCCTGATTTTATGGTTGGTTTTAAAATTTGATACGGATTTTAAATTGATAAGTTTTAAATTACGGGCCAAATTTATTTAATTATTTTAAATCTATTTTTAACTTTATGTATAAATGTTTTTTATCTTGGCTGTTCACCGCCCTGAGTCCGAAAGGAGAAGGGCGGTATAGAAGTTTGAATGAATGAATGAATGAATGAATGAATAAATAAATAATGACAAGGAACCAAGAGGAGTGACATTCAGCAAGGCTTCTTGGCTAGCTGGAAAGATTGACCTTCAGACGTGTGATTTTATATACCCTTTCTGACTTTTATTCTAAAATTGGTTTATGGTGACATTTAATCCTGTGCTTGGTTAAATTTAATCCTGTGTTTATTGATGGGATAATTTCCCTATTCAGCTTTGTTTGGAAGGAAGAAGGTTAATCTCTGGCCTCTCTAGGACTTTTTGCCCCGCTGCCTGGTGAGTGGGGGGGGGTCTTTTCTCAGGAGGGGGATCTTCATGCTAGTGTTTGCAAGGGGGGTCTCATCCAGTCCTTGGATTCCTAGCAAGGGGTGAGGGAAGACCCTGGCCCCATGTTCCCCTCCTGTCCCTTTGCATGCAATTGCCAGCGGGTGGGGGGAGGACAGAGTTTCAGACCATCCGTGTTGCTTCCCCCTCCCTGGAAGAAACAGCAGCCTCCCAAGGAAGGAGGAGGGGATCTGAGGAACCCTCCATCTCTCCCTCCCCACTTTCCCCCAAAATGCCTGATTCCACTCCAAGGCCTGGGGTGGGGGGAGCCACACAGGTATTTCTGGAGAAAGTGTGGACCAGAGAATCCCCATTAGCATTGTTGATGTTGTCTAGTTGTGTAATGGACAATCAGCAAGAAAACAGCCAAGCTCAGAGGACATCAAGGACTCCACATCCCGTTAAGCTGGCAGTGTGGTTGGCGCATTTAATGTGAGCACAGACGTCGGTGTCCATTCATCTGGTTTGGGCGTGTTGTGTGAACCCATGCCCTTGTTGGGTCTCTTGAAAGGGGCGTTTCCGTCAAAAGGACTCAACCAGCCAGGGATTTCCAAACTTTGAGGATGCAAGAAAGCCATCCTACCCCACCCCACCATCACTGGGAAGAAGACCTGGGAGGATGAATATCAGACACTTAAAGGAGGGAACTGAAAGTGCCTACAAATGTTTAGTCTGAGATTCAGAGTTTGCTTCAGCCAATGTTGAACTCAAGCGACCAGTTGCTGGGTATTACTTATGTTAGGATATGGTTTGAGCCTAACAAGTTGTCCAGGCAATGTATGTGTACTGTGACTTTAATATGAATATGTATTGTGTGACTTTAAAGTTTTACTGCTGATTCATTGTAATGCTGAGTCATGCTGTAATTAGTTGTGAACGTATTTAAGGAAGGTACTGTAAAGTATTCAGTTGATGATAAGCTACCATTGTGTGAGGAGTTCTATCCATTGTTCTATCATCGTTTGATGGATCTGCTACCATCGTGGTTTGTGAACCGGAGTGAGTTTGTTATTCTAACCAACTACTGTTTGTGTGGAAGAGTTTCTGTATCACTGGACTGATTTAACTGGCAAAGATTTGGATTGATTTAAAGACTATGAGATTGTTTTTTCACTATAAAGTAAACTTTTGATAAACCAGTTTGCACATCTCTTATTCATTGCTCTCAGCAACGTTTCTCTGTGCTCTACACTCTGCTGGTTGGTAACACAACAACAATATCTTTAACAATTTCTTTCCAGAATGAAGAATTCATTGCTTGGAGAGATCCGTGAATGAGATCCGTTCCCTGAAGAAGTAAAGAGGGTGGGCTGTGAGGGAGAAGAAATTCAAAGTCCTCCTAAATTTACCATATTTTTTTGGAGTATAAGACGCACTTCCCCCCCCCAAAAAAGGGTGAAAATTTGGGTGCGTCGTATACACCGAATGTAGCCAAAAACATGAGGCATGGAGGAGGCGATGGTCTGTGGCAATCCCTGCAGCCTGGAACATCTGATTGGAGGTATTCCAGGAGGCTGATCCACCCACCAATCGGCTGCTTGTGCTAAATCAGGCTGTAATAATGTGCTGAAGCTGACCTGGCTATTCGCTATTTGCTGTAAGGACGTGGCAGAGTTTGCAGCAGCAATCACATCCAGAAAGCACACACAAGTAACTGATTCAGCAGGATTCAATAACTTCTCTTTATATATAATGTAACACATGAAATAAATATACAATACCAAAAGCAAGTTTTAGTAAATACAACCAAACACAAGCAGAGGAGAGGAGTATCAGTTTCAGTTTTAGTTTCAGAGATCAGCATGGCGTGCAGCCTTAGTACAGAACAGTTGAGCTAAGCCATGCCCAGGATCCATGGTGTCTCCTTGTTGCTCACACAGCAAATACTGTTTCAGTTTCCAAATAGCCCTCAACTCTCACACACACTGACAGGACGGTAGCCAGATGAATAGCAACGGATGCTGGTAGGCAGAGGCAGATTTTTTTTTTTTCCTCCACAAAAACTAAGGTGCGTCTTATACTCTGGAACGTCTTACATTCCAAAAAATATGGTATCCCTTCTATATTCTGAGTTATTTTCCTTCTACCTCTCCTACCCACATTCTTTCTCTGCTCTGGCCTAGGCCCACCTGGAAATGAAAAAGTGGTGTAAAATGCAACATTGATTCTGAAATCTTGTTTTCTTTTCAAACTTGCAGGTAGAAGTTGTTTGTGGACCAAACTATCTCATGCTTAAGGAAGCTAGCTGATGTACCAAGATTTGTCCAGGGCAATATAAGTCCGGTGGAGATCCATTAGCCCGTTTCATATCCTCGGTCTTGGAGATCCAAGCAGCTGTTGGCATCCTTTGCACCTGGATTAGAGAATAGAGAAAAAATGGAGGGACAACACCCATTAGATGCAGAAGTTGGACAAAGCCCTCCTGCTGCTCAGTTTGGGAACTATGTGGAGGTCAAGATAAAAACTGAACAGAAGAATCCAGAGGAAGAGTCTATCAGCTCAGAGGTCCAGCGTCAAAACTTCAGGAAGGTGTATTACCAGGAGGCTGAGGGTCCCCGAGGACTTTGCAGCCGACTCCATCGCCTTTGCCATCAGTGGTTGAAGCCAGAAAGACATACAAAGGCACAGATGCTGGACCTGGTTATTCTGGAGCAGCTCCTGTTCCTTCTGCCTCCAGAGATGCAGAGTTGGGTGCGGGAGTGTGGAGTAGAGACCAGCTCTCAGGCGGTGGCCCTGGCTGAAAGTTTCCTCCTGAGCCAGGCAGAGGAGAAGAAAGAAGAGGTCGAGCTGCAGGTGAGAGACCTTCATCTTCAGGGCTGAAAGGGGGTCTTAATATACATCTTAATATAAGTTTGTTTATTTATTTATTTATTTATTTAATTTGTATACCGCCCTTCTCCCAGAAGGGACTCAGGGTGGTGAACAGCCAAAATTAAAAATACATACAATACAAAAGTTAAGATAATTAAAAAGAATTAAATCATTGGCTTCCCAATTTAAAACCCCCAAGTCTATAAAATTTAAAATCCCAATTAAGAACCATTTAGGCTAGGCCGGCTTGGTGGAATAAATAAGTCTTCAGGGCCTTACGGAAGATAAGGAGGCCCGGGATCAGTCGTCAGCTCGTTCCACAGGGCGGGTGCCCCCACAGCGAACGCTCTCCCCCTGGGGGCCGCCAGCCGACCTTTTTTTTTTTTTTTTTTTAATTTGATTTATATGCCGCCCTTCTCTGGAGACTCAGGGCGGCTTACAGTGCGTTAAGCAATAGCCTTCATACTTTTGTATATTTATACAAAGTCAGCTTATTGCCCCCACAAACTGGGTCCTCAACAGACATTGCCTGACCGACGGCACTCGGTGCTGAGTGCTGGGTTTCAAAAATTTTTACTACCAGTTCTGTGGGCGTGGCATGGCTTGGTGGGCATGGCAGGGGAAGGATACTGTAAAATCTCCATTCCATCCCCACTCCAGGGAAAGCTTACTGCAAAATCCCCATTTCTTCTTGATCAGCTGGGACTTGGGAGGCAGAGAATAGATGGGGGCGGGACCAGTCGAAGGTGGTATTCATCGGCTCTCCGAACTACTCAAAATTTCCGCTACCGGAAATTTCTCCAGAACTGGTCAGAACCTGCTGAAACCCACGTCTGCTATGGAGATTCTCATTCATCCAGGTCAACATTTTATTTCTCACCCAAGAAGCTTCTTCAGTACTGAAGAACTGAAGAAGCTTCTTAGATGACAAGCGAGACATTTTTAAAGGGAAAAAAACCAAAAAAGTCTGGTTGTCTTTCAGAAAAAGCATCTTTGGGACATTGATGTATGTTTATGTTCTTAACTTTTTGGCATTATTAACACAAGGGCTTTTCTTCTGAAGATGTCCAGTTGTGTCCATTTCTTCAGGTGGTCTCTCTATTTCCTCTTCTGTGTTTCTTATCAGGTCGAAAGTCCTCTCTCGGGGGCCATTTCTCAACATCTGAATGGAAAGAGCAACCCCTTAAATCTTCCCCAGGAACTGCTTATTTGGAAGATCCCCCAGGGAAGTCCAAGTTTGTTGATCTTACCAGGTAAGGGAAGGTCCTCCTAAGCTGCACGAAGTTCTTTCAAGACAGTCCAGCTCTCTTTTTGTCCTTTGGATCCTCCTCTGTATAGCCTCTCCCTCCCCCTTATTCTTTGAATGAAATATGCTTTTAAAAAGTCTCCTTCCATCGCTTTTGTCTCCTACACAGAGAATATCATGAAGTCATTGGTATTCATTGGGCTCTCTCCCTCTTCTGGTGAACCCAAAAAAGCAACTAAGCCTCCAGTTCAGGTAGGAAGAACATCAACCAAAAGATAGAGGAGACCATTTGCCGAGCTTCCATTTTTGTTAGTGCGACTAGGATTTTACACTAGTTTCCACCAGTGGTGGGATTCAAATAATTTAACAACCAGTTCTCTGCCCTAATGACCAGATGGCTAGGCGTGGCTCGGTGGTCATGTGACCATGTGGGCGTGACCAACTCAATGTCACTCACATCGATGGGCATTTCACCGTAGCTGTTACAATGTAATAACGGTTAACCAGAGAGGCAGTTTCTATAAACAGGGCAATAAAGATTAGGCTAGAAACAACACCAGAATGTTACCTTCCTGCCTTCCTTACAGGATTAGCCCTGTAAAGTGGGAAAAAACAAAATAAGATTTCTTCCAACAACCGGTTCTCCAAACTGCTTAGAAAGTTAACAACCGGTTCTCCCGAATAGGTGCGAACTGGCTGAATTCCACCACTGGTTTCCACCAGCAACATGAAATAGAGAAATTTAGATTGATGTGATTGACATGAGCTTAACTTCTCAAAACTGTTGAGGTGTGATGCCTAAAGTATTTACACTGAAAGATTCTTACTACCGGTAGGAAATCAACTTCATTCTTGCCCAGTTTTGAATCTGGCAAAGAAAGAGCCCCCTTTTTCACTCTGAACTTTTGGGATAGGTCAACCAAGGCGAAGAACATAGACATTTTTCCTAGGTTCATCTGTTAATACTGAAACTTGCTTTTCTTCCTTTCTCAGGGTCTCGTCACCATTGAAGATGTCACTGTGTATTTCTCTGAGGAGGAATGGTCTCAACTGGATCCGGATCAAAAAGCCCTTCATAAAGAAGTCATGCTGGAGAACTCCAGAAATGTGGCTTCTCTGGGTAAGTTTCCCTGTTATTAGCTGAGACCCCAAGAAGAGGGATTCTTCCAGACTTATGGAAATAACCAGTTCTTGTGAACGTATCTCCAATCAAACTTATTTCCTGGGTTGGACAAAGAGGAGATCCATTCTTCTCCTCTTCCTAAGACAAAAGTGGTCAAAAGCAATCTGGTTAGATGCCCCACGTAATAATTTGCCATTTAATATTTGAGAGGAGGTCCTCCTTCATTGATTTTTTTGTTTGTTTCTCTTTAATTTTACCAATATGATTAATGACGCTCATTCTCACCTATCTATCTCTTGTTGATGGGAAAGTCCCTGTTTGTATTATTTAAAAATTGACTTTTCTCATATACAGTAGAACCTCTGGTCACGACCATAATTCGTTCCATAACTTTGGCCGCAATCCGATTTGGTCGTGACCCGAACCTAACCAATATTAATGCAGTGGCCACACACGGGTCGCTGTTGTTTGTAAACAAACAACAGGAAATTTGGCACTTACAAAAAAAACCAATTTGGTTGTGGTCAGAAACATTAGTGACCAGAGGTTCTACTGTAGGCTACTTGGTTAATGTTTTTCCTTTCTTTTCTTGGACATGTTTACCTTGAAAGACAGAATTCTGACAGAAACAATGCTGTTTTCTTGCAAACATTTCATGACCCAAACTAGATAACTATCTAGCACTGATGTAACCTACCCTAGTTTGGGTCTTGAAACATCTGCAAGAAAACAACCAAGCTCAGAGAGCACCAAGGAGCCATGGTGGCGCAGTGGTTAGAATGCGGTATTGCAGGCTGATTCAGCTCACTGCCAGGAGTTCGATCCTCACCAGCTCAAGGTTGACTCAGCCTTCCATCCTTCCAAGGTTGGTAAAATGAGGACCCAGATTTTTGGGGGCAATATGCAGTCTCTGGAAACTGCTTAGAGAGGGCAGTAAAGCCCTATAATGTGGTTGTGGTCAGTGGTAGGATTCAGCCGGTTCGTACTGGTTCAGTAGAACTGGTAGCTAACTTTTTGTGCACCAGCTGGCTCTGCCCCACCCTTCCCAGCCACTCCTTTTCTCACCTCACCTGCCTTGGCCGCTCGCCTAGTTTTTGGTAAATTGCTCTCACATGTACAGGGATTATGGGTAATTTACAACCACAATCAAGTCCAAACTAAAACATTTAAAAAAATTTTTGCAGTTGCCCTTAACAGGATGAAAAGGCGACAGAATTTTTCAGCAAGAATCAATAAGAAACCAAGATTGGAATCAGTTGTATCAGAATTGGCCTTGGATGGTATAAAGCAGTCACAAGCACAACCACTTCAACCACTCCAACTTGGAGAAAACAGCTCGTCAGTTATTGAGATAAATGATATCTCCAAAATTGAAAACAGTCTTCCTGAATGCTGGACAATGCAACAATATAACTATTTTAAAGAAAAACATGATGGACTGGAAATTGCTAACAAAAAGTTAGGTTGCAAGTATTGTGCAAAACATGACTTCCTAAAAATGAAAAGTGTTCATGTGTCAAAAGAATGGAAACATTTTCAGATTGAAGCAGCAGGGAGAAATAAAGATGTAAAGCAAGCTTCCCTAAGGAAAAAAATGAAAGAACATTTTTCATCAAAAGCTCATAATATTTGTAAAGAGAACATAAAACAAGGTGAGGAGGCTTCAACAGCAAAATATAAGATGAATGAGAAATATATACAAATTACTTGTAGAGTATTTAATACAGTTTACAGCCTGGCACAAAGATGTAAACCATTTTCAGACACAGAAGATGAAATAGAAATGCAAATTAAAAATGGATTAGATATGGGAATAGGATTACATTCACGTAAAACCGCAGTGAAAATAGTTGATTTCATTGCCAGAGAAATTAAAAAACAATTATTTACTAAAATTATTGAAAATAATCTGAAAATATGTTTGATTATTGACGAAGCCTCAACAGTATCTTGCAAACCAGTTGTGATACTTTTCTTAAAAGTTGAGGATTCAGATACATCACCAACGATTTTCCTTGAGCTAATTGAATTGGAAAAACAAGATGCAGAGACAATATATTCTTCAGTCATGCAAAGTTTAAATAATGTTGGGCTTACTAAGAACTACCTAAAAAAAAATTTGATAGGATTTTGCTCCGATGGCACCAGCGTTATGCTTGGGAGAAAATCTGGAGTGAGCACTAGGATAGCAAAAGAGTTTCCAAACATAGTAATCTGGCACTGTTTAAACCATCGCCTCCAACTTGTTTTAGATGATTCGATAAAGGAAATAAAGCAAGTAAATCATTTTAAAATATTTATTGATAAGATATATACTATTTTTCATCAATCCAATAAGAACCAAATTGAACTTACCAAAATATCCGAACAACTTGGAATTGAAATTATAAAAATTGGTAGTATTTTGGGACCACGATGGGCTGCTTGTAGTTTAAGGTCAACCCTAGCTGTGTGGCACGCTTATCCAGCGCTACATCACTGTTTTCATTCAAATGAAAAGTACTTAGGTATGGCTGCCCGCCTTGAAAATATCTATTTTATAACTGATTTGGCATTGATGATTGATATTCTAAATGAAATTTCTCTTCTTTCAAATGGACTGCAAGCAAAACATATAGACATAATAAAGGCTGAAGAACTTGTGATAAGATCTATTAAAGCATTTCAAATGCTTCGAAAGGAAAAGGGTCCATACGAAAAAAAAGTTGATGGATTAATTACTTCAGAAACCTTCAAAAATATAAAATTTGTAAAAAATCATCAATTTATTGGGCTTCCTCGGGAAAGACTTTTAGAAAACATCGTAACGAATTTGAAGAAAAGGCTAATGGATTGTGAACATTTAAAAACAGATTGTAACCAATTTCAAGACAGGAATAAATTACAATTTCTCAAATTTCTGGAGCCAGATTACTGGAATATTGAAGAAGTAGTAGTTCCATGGAAAGCAGGTGAAGAACAATTGCTCGTATTTAATGACGTTTTCAATTACCAAATTGATATTAATGATTATCGAGATTTTGTGGGAAACGTTTTTAAAAATTCCCAGAACTATGCAATTCCTAAAAGTGTTCAAAGAGCTAAAAATATTGTCAGAACAATTGCTGTAAGTTCAGCAGAAGCGGAAACGGGTTTTTCAAACATGAACACTATATGTTCAGAGAAGAGAAGTCACCTAAGTGTTTCTAATATATCAAATATAATGACTATTAGTCTAATCGGCCTACCGCTAAAGGAATGGGATCCTACTCCTACAGTGGAAAAATGGCTAAGGATAAATCACACGGCCGATGACGCTCAATTGAATATGAAGAAAATTGCAAGTGAGGACGCCAATCGAAAAGCAATATGGAAATATCTGACGTAACAGTTTTATTGGTTTTTCTCAGGTGTTATGTAATAGTTTTTCATTAATATTATAAAACAAAAGAAAAATCTAGTTTTGTGCACCTCTTTTATAGTTCATATTTAAGTGTCAACCCTGAAGTGAACATGGCTGAGCCCATTTTTGGAGGCTGAGTAGGAGGCCGAGTAGGCCATGGCCATGCCCCCCAGCAACCAGGCAGAGAACTGGTTGCTAAAATCCCACCCTGGAAATAACCAAGCAACTAGGCAACTCCTGGATTGGGCAACGTAACCAGTGACTTGTGGGGGGGGGGGACAAATGTTTACTTTTAATTAGGTGAAAGCTGTGGAAACTTTTAGAGTTGTCTTCCACCAGTTGTGCCAATATGATGTATCCAATAAAGCTGTTCTTTGAGGAACTTGCCTGCCGCGGAGTTCTCATTTCTATCGGTTATTTGGAATGCTGACATTAAGTATTAAATGTGTGAAGTAAAGCGAGAGGAGCAATGGCTGCGAGGGGAAGGATGAGGTGAGGAGAGACACCCCTGGATGCGAATGATATGGAATTGGCCACACCCACCCAGTCAACCACCCAGCCATGCCTACCCAGCCAGTCATTAGGGCAGAGAACCAGTTGTTAAATTATTCGAATTCCACCACTGTCTCGGTGGATGTGAAAGGATCTTCTCTTGGAGAGCCAGGAGTTGGGGGAGGGGGTGCGGTTTACATGGATGGAAAGAAACTCAGGCGCAGCTGAGCCCACTGAAGAAGACACAGCCGAGGTCGAGAGTTTTGCCTCAGGAAAGGCACCCTTTGAGGAAATCAAGAGGCCTGGAAAGCCTGATGAAAAAATAAAAGTACTTGAAGAAAAATCCAAACCAGAAAGCAAGATGCCCAACGGGACAGCCTGACTAGAAAGTAATGAACTGAAGCAAAATATGAGGAAAAAGTACATGTAGGTGAAGGGGGAAAAAAGCATTTTGGTTTGAGTAGAGAAGCACCTCCTTTCACAGCCTAGGAAGTGCTGGCTGATAAAAATCAGAATAAATAAATAAATGGCTGTATTTGACTAGGAAGTGCGATGCGAGAGGTGACCAAAACTGACGGACAGCAAACTGCAGGGTCCATTTAGTGTGATGAGTGTGGCACATGGGACCACAAAAGTTATTTCTCCATCTGAAGCTCTTTCTATGCAGCATCTATAAGGATTCTTTCCTGCACGGATCTCTTCATGGACAGAAAAAAGGGACAGCTGCCTCCATTCCAACTTTTGTGAAAGTCTGCTTCAACACACACACACACACACACACACACACACACACACACACACAAAGTCTGTGTTTTCTCTTTTTGATATAAGCAGGTTTCTGTGCAAAGGAATGTCTTATGAATGCATCATTATTATAAGAGCAATTAGTGAAGGTGTAAGAACGATAGGGAAAATAGATTGGTAAAAGTAATTTTTTAAAAACATGAGAAAAAATAAATTATTAAGGAGATGTGGTGGCTCAGTGGCTAAGACACTGAGCTTGTAGTAACTGTGAGAGGGATCTTGGGGTCCTGGTGGACAACCATTTAAATATGAGCCAGCTGTGTGCAGCAGCTGCCAAAACAGCCCACACAGTTCTACGGTGCATAAACAGAGGGATAGAATCAAGATCACGTGAAGTGTTAATACCACTTTATAATGCCTTGGTAAGGCCACACTTGGAATCCTGCATCCAGTTTTGGTCACCACGATGTAAAAAGGATGTTGAGACTCTAGAAAGAGTGCAGAGAAGAGCAACAAAGAGGATTAGGGGACTGGAGGCTAAAACACGAAGAACGGTTGCAGGAACTGGGTATGTGTAGTTTAATGAAAAGAAGGACTAGAGGAGACATGATAGAAGTCTTCCAATATCTCAGGGCTGCCACAAAAAAGAGGGAGTCAAGCTATTCTTCAAAGCACCAGAGGGCAGGACAAGAATCAATGGATGGAAACTAATCAAGGAGAGAAGCAACTTGGAACTAAGGATAAATTTCCTGGTAGAACAATTAATAAGTGGAACAACTTGCCTGCAGAAGTTGTGAATGCTCCATTAAGATGTTGGATAACCATTTCTCTGAAGTAGTATAGGGTTTCCTGCCTGGGCAGGGGGTTGGACTAGAAGACCTCCAAGGTCCCTTCCAACTCTGTAATTCTATTCTGTTCTTGTCAATAGAAAGGTTGGCAGTTCAGCGGTTCGAATCCCTAGTGCCATGTAACGGGGTGAGCTCCCATTCCTTGTCCCAGCTTCTGCCAGTTTGAAAGCGCACAAAAAATTGCAAGTAGAAAAATAGGGACCACCTTTGGTGGGAAGAAAATAGCGTTCTGTACGCCTTTGGCGTTTAGTCAAAGGAATATCGGAGATCTCATTGAATGCAAAAAAGAAACTGTTAGGAAATGACTATTACCTAACTTGTTGGGTTGGCAATATATAAACCGTCAATGTAGCTTTAAGACTGCTGTATTGCATCATACTGTGTCCTGATTGGTTAGCTCTGTAGCCAATGTCCTTAAGAGGGAGCTAGAAACATGGTTTGTTCTCTTTGCTGTTCTTGCTCTCTGATATCTCTGTATGCTACTGTTTGCAAATCCAGAAGAACTGTTTATTGTGAATGACTACAATGACTGGTAAGAAGACTTTGTTATTGGATTATCCCTGGACTGTCGTTCTGGCTATCTCCTGCTTTATATGTGTATGACCTGGACTGTTTATTGGACTGTGCCTTACTATTTCCTGAAAGTAAACACAACTCAGTGTATCTGTGTGTTGACTGTGTTTATTTGTAACTACTCTTAATCGCTTTCATGTGCACACCCTTGCTACTCAAGGGTTACTCTGCGAATTCCTTAACAGATACCTTGACCAAGCCTGTCCATTTTGAGTTCTGCACATTCCACAGGACTTCTTTAGTCATCCTTTTGAAAAACATTAATCCTTAAATTCTTGTGTTCGTTAGTTTTGTATCTTCCCCTTTTCATCGGGTGATCCAAGACGGTGATCTGTATTTCTCTCCTCTTCTAATAAATCTAACAGGACTCACCTAAACTCAAATGAAGTATAGGGATCACATTTATTAAACATTTTAACAATAATAACAATTTGGTCCACCTAGGATGATACAAATACTCTGATATGAATAATTACAGAACAAGCCCCATATAAATAATGTGCATTGGAACTTCTTAGGATAAGAATATTGGACCAAGGACGATGAGTCTTAATGCAAAGGAAACTTCAACAACACCAAAGCACAGAAGTTACAAGTTAGTAAAAAGGATTAATAGCAAAGGAAAATGTATATTTTTTATCCAGAGGTCTCCAACCTTGGCAACTTTAAGACTTGTGGACTTCAACTCCCAGAGTTCCTCAGCCAGCTATGCTTGGCTGGCTGGAGAATTCTGGGAATTGAAGTCCACAAGTCTTAAAGCTGCCAAGTTTGAAAACCTCTAATCTATGGAATTCTTACAGTAAAATGAATATAATCTAAAGGCCCAATCCTTAACAATTTTCTACATTAATACTGTGGCCCAGAGGTATTATGTTTGATTTATTTGATCAGACTTTGGGATATAGGATGGAAGTGGTAGTAGCTTTAGCTTTAGATATCAAAGTGTATTGAGAAATAATAAGTGTATTGAGAAATAAGCCAAAAAGATTCATGTGTAGAAAAAAAAAATTATGATCATGTTGGGAAGGATTAATAGGGCATCAAATACTCATTGTGCAGATGTGTTCTTGGCAAAATATTAAAATCCAACTTTCTAATAATTTCAATGGTAGAGTGTTAACCATCTAAAACAGGATCCGAAGTTTAATTCTAGGTGCCATCAATTGTTACATGGTTTGAAGTTTGGAAACTTAGTTTGAAGGTGTTGGAAACAGGTATTCTTGAGCTACAAAAACTGTAGTTGGACTACATAAAGTCAAGAGTGCTAGATGTTCATCCCAAAGCTAACCAAGAATTTATTACAACTGCTTTTCTTACCCAAATTCATGAATGATTTTGGCATCCAATAAAAGTATTGGAACAAGGACCTACCACAAAATGAAGGTCACCAGAACTGCTCAAAAGCTCATTTAAACAAAATGATGTTTGTGATATAAGAGCCGAGGTGGCGCAGTGGTTAGAGTGCAGTACTGCAGCTACTTCAGCTGACTGCTAGTTCAGCAGATCAGCGGATCAAATCTCACCGGCTCAAGGTTGACTCAGCCTTCCATCCTTCTGAGGTGGGTAAAATGAGGACCCAGATTGTTGGGGACAATATGCTATTTAGTATACTGTCTTTGGTGTAAGCCGCCCAGAGTCCTCGGAGAGTGGGCGGCATAGAAATATGACTAATAAATAAATAAATCTTGTAAAAGGCTAACCATAATGCGCAAGGTATCTGTGAGGAAACTTGTTCTATACAATTGTTCCTGCCTTTGGACCAGTGGTGAAATCCAAATTTTTTTACTACCGGTTCTGTGGGCATGGCTTGGTGGGCGTGGTGTGGTGTGGCTTGGTGGGCATGGCAGGGGAAGGATACTGCAAAATCTCCATTCCCACCCCACTCTGGGGCCAACCAGAAGCGGTATTTGCCGGTTCTCCAAACTGCTCAAAATTTCCGCTATTGGTTCTCCAGAATCTGTCAGAACCTGCTGGATTTTTCACCCCTGCTTTGGACCCAAGACCTCCTGAGTTCTCAGGTGGTTGACCCAGCTGAGCTTACAGAATGAAAAGAAACATACAAAGAACGGTTGCAGAAACTGGGCATGGCTAGTCTAGTGAAGAGAAGGACCAGGGGAGACATGATAACAATGTTCCAATATTTGAAGGGCTGTCACAGAGAGGAGGGGGGTCAAGCTATTTTCCAAAGCACCCGAAGGCCAGACAAGGAATAATGGATGGAAACTGATCAAGGAGAGATTCAACCTAGAAATAAGGAGAAAATTTCTGACAGTGAAAACAATCAACCAACAGAACAAAAATTGCCTTCAGAAATTGGGAGCTTCATCATTGGAAACTTTCAAGAAGAGCTTTTAAGGGCCTGCCATTTGTCAGAAATGGTGTAGGGTCTCCTGCTTGGGTGGGGGAGGGGGTTGGACTAAATGACCAATCTACCAAAAAAAAATTTCTCAGAGGTAGTTAACCCAACTCAGCTTACAGAGTGATAAAAATAATTTTGAAGGACGTGTCCTCTCAAATAACTCAGTGTAGGGTTATGTACATAAAACTGAGGAATGGAACTGGATTTGGAATATTATAGGTAGTGAGGGCAGGTTCCAAAGGTAAGCGCTACACTCCAAAAACAAGTTCTACACCAATTGCAGCTTCTGATTAATCATCAAAGCAGTCCTACAAATTGTGATTCTGTAGAAGTAGTCCAAGGAACATGTTGATTCTGGCCTGAATTGCTGTTGTCAGAGCTTCATGAGCCTGGTAGGATGGAAGCTGGGCAGATGCCCTGGGATATACCCTCCGTCTGCTACCGTAGGAGTAGGAGCAGTGACGTACATCTTCTCTACCAACCATTTCCTTTTAAAACCTTTCTGGGTAACACAAAAGATGCCAATCTGTTAACATTAAACATTACAAAAGAGAATTGAGATATTATTAATATTGTATGGAAACACTTTCCACACTTCATCCATTCATTGTGTGGGGAAAAAGATAGTGTTGTGGCTCCGTTGCCTGAGCCTGGGCTATCGACAGATGCAGACTCTGAGAGTGAGGAAGAGGAGTTGGCAAGGCCTCCCTCTCCAGGACCCTCCTCTCTGGCAATGCCTCCGGAGGACACCGAAGGCCAAAAGATAGGCTCAGAGCCAAGCACGTTCCCGCAGCCACAGGTGGACAGCGACGAAGGAGATAAGTGCTGGCTGGACCCTCGCCAGAGGCGCAGGGAGAAGCGTGCGCAGCAGAGGGGAAGGCGTGCCAGAGATTAGCTGAGTCACTGGACCACACCCCACAGGGTATAAATGTGGGTGTGGTGGCCGGTTCAGTTTGTGATGAGCAAAAACTAGAAATAATCCATGATCTCTGCGTTACTGGACTTTGCCTGCTTTATCGGACTGCCTTTGGATTAATCCTTATATTGTTAAAAACTCTGCCTGTTTTATCGGAATGCTTGCAGTCTAATCTTTGTTTTGTGTGAGTAAAGTCTGAATTGGCAGCTAGCCACTGGGTTGCTGCCAGCTTTATTTTCAAAGAATTTTGTCGTGTGGCTTATTAACTCCGGGCCGTCTGTGGAGGTGCGTGAGTGGAACGGGGACAGAACAGATAGTAGTTCTTTCAGCTGAAGCTCTTTCCACACAACTACGTATTTTCATTCCTATACGCAGCCATAATGGCAGAACGGTCTCCAGTGCTTCTGTTGAAGCCCTTCTCACATTCCCAGTATCTATATTCTTTCTCCCCATTGCTTCTCCTTAGTACTAGTAAAAGACCTATGTTAACAGGAGCTCTTTTACTATTCTGTGCAGTTGGGACATTTTTCTGCTCTCTATCGACTGAATGTGGCTAAGTAAGGTGAGAACATTAATTAAAGCTCTTTCCACAGTCCGTGCTCCGATAGTCTATCTTTCCTAAACAGATCCTCTTGTGAGAACATAAGTGTTTTCTTATATTCCAGTTTCACCTTCCAAGAATTTATAACGTTTCTCCACCGCATGAATCCTTTTATGGCAAATGAAAGTTGTGGTCCTCCTAAAGCTTTTCCCGCAGTCTGTGCACTTATACGGTTTCTCTCCGGTATGGATCCTTCTATGTTTGGAAATGCTGGTGCTTTTGTTAAAATGTATCTTCATCCATTTGTAGATTTTCTCCCTTGTGTGGGTCCTTTTATGGGAAGCACGGTTACTGCTGGTATTGAAGCTTTTGCCACACTCCATGCATTTGTATGGTTTCTCCCCGGTGTGGATCCTTTTATGGGATATGAGATCACTGCTCTGACTGAAGCTCTTTCCACACTCCCTGCATTTATAGGGTTTCTCCCCTGTGTGGATCCTTTTGTGCGAAGAAAAATTACTACTCTTCCTGAAGCTCTTCCCACAGTCCAGGCATGTATAGGGTTTCTCCCCCGAGTGGCTCCTTCTGTGGGAAGTGAGGCTGCTGCTGTTGCTGAAGCTTTTCCCGCACTCCGTGCATTTGTAGGGTTTCTCTCCCGTGTGGATCCTTTTGTGAGAAGTAAGGTAGCTGCTTGTACTAAAGCTCTTTCCACATTCCGGGCATTTATACGGTTTTTCTCCTGAGTGGCTCCTTTTATGGGACGTTAGGCTGCTGCTCGTGCTGAAGCTCTTTTCACACTCCGTGCATTTGTACGGTTTTTCTCCCGAGTGGCTCCTTTTATGGGATGTAAGACTGCTGCTTGTACTGAAGCTTTTCCCACACTCCAGACAATGATATGGTTTCTCTCCCGAGTGGCTCCTTTTATGAGCAGTGAGGTTGCTGCTGCTACTGAAACTCTTTCCGCACTCCGCGCATTTATAGGGTTTCTCTCCGGTGTGGATCCTTCTGTGGCACGTAAGGGAACTGCTATTGCTGAAGTGTTTCCCACATTCCGTGCATTTGTAGGGTTTTTCCCCCATGCTGACTCTTTCGCGCAGAGACAGGGCAAAAATACGTTGGCAACCTTTTTTGTTTTCCTTGAACTGATACTTCTGTTCTTTGACTAGGGTTTTGCAAGCTTTATTTACATCGGATACATCCTGCAATACTTCTCCGCCTTTCCCGAAACATTTCCCCTTACTTTTAAGATGGCTGTTTGGTTGGACAAACAAATCTTGAATTTGAGGCCACGGAAAGGAAGAGCCTCGTTTCCTTCCATTTTTGGAGTGACTTTCCCCGCGCGTTTTTGGTTCCGTTTGATTTGCAAACAGTTCCTTTCCCTCTTCCAGCATCAAAGTTTGGAGGATTTCTTTGCACTTTTTATTCCCTTGCTCATTACCCCCTGGAGGGAAAAAAAGAGAGAATGACAATTGTAATAAGTCCAGAGAAAGGAAATAAAGAACAACTATAGAAAGTGACTGTGAATTTCCTGCTGGAATTTTAACAAGGACTGTTTTGTTTCTAAACCCAGGTTGAAACATAATAGCTTGATTTAGTCTTGGTTATTTCTAAGTTTACATATAATAATGAAATGGACAATGTCTATTATATCAGTGGATAGAAACCTTCAAAAAACCTCTGCTTATTTTCATGATTTCTTCATAAAGAAAATTCCACTATTGTTGCATCTGTGTCAGGTTTCAAGGTCGTCTCAAATAAACTGCATTTCAAACAAAGTCTTTGATGAAAAACTCCCATTTATTAAGCACGACATTCTAACTCCGACTCCATCGCAGCCAACACTGACTTCCTGACCCCAAACCCTCCCTTTCCTTTCCCCACTCTTCTGCACTCATTGGCCATCTTCCAAGTCACTCTACCCCTAATCTACTTCTCCAGCTCAAAGGAATTTCCCCCTCCCATCCCATCTCCTAGGGGATATTATCTCCAGGGAAAATAAGTAGGTGAAAAGTCAAACGTCCCTTTCCAGATGCCTCCGCTTTTCCTTCTTATGTCAGCACTAGAGTAAATGCAGCTTGTATTTGAAGAGCTCCAACACTGGAAGTTTTTAAAAAGAGACTGGACAACCATTTGTCTGAAGTGGTGTAGGGTATCCTGCCTAAGCAGGGGGTTGGACTAGAAGACCTCCAAGGTCCCTTCCAGCTCTTTAGAATAGAATAGAATAGAATTTCTTATTGGCCAAGTGTGATTGGACACACAAGGAATTTGTCTTGGTGCATACGCTCTCAGTGTACATAAAAGAAAAGATACGTTCATAAAGAATCATAAGGTACAACACTTAATGATAGTTATAGAATAAATAGAATAGAATTCTTTATTGGCCAAGTGTGATTGGACACCCAAGGAATTTGTCTTGGTGCACACGCTCTCAGTGTACATAAAAGAAAAGGTACATTCATCAAGAATCATAAGATACAACACACAATGATAGTCATAGGGAAACAGTCAATATAAATCTTAAGGATACCAGCAACAAGGTTACAGCCATACAGTCGTAAGTGGGAGGAGATGGATGGTGGGAACAATGAGATTAATAGTAATGCAGACTTAGTAACTAGTTTGACAGTGTTGAGGGAATTATCTGTTTAGCAGAGTGATGGCGTTCGGGGAAAAACTGTTCTCGTGTCTAGTTGTTCTGGTGTGCAGTGCTCTATAGCGTATTTGAAATTATGAATTTATAATTTATTTTAATTTATGAGTTTATAGCGTCGTATCTGAATTCAATTCTAATTCTAATTCTATCCACAAGATCTACAAGTTGATACAAGGCAATATCCCAAAAGGTGCTTTTCAAAAGGCAACTGGACTTTGGGTTTTTTTTTCCCTTAAAAAACGTTTTGCTTTTCATCAAGCTCTGAAGAACTGAAGCAGCTTTTTGGAAAAGAAGCAAAAAGTTTTCAAGGGGAAAAAAAAATCAAGAAAGTCTAATTGCCTTTTGAAAAGCTCCTTTAGGACAACCATGACCTCGACGATGGAGAATCTCCATAAACATACAAGGCAATATTTAAGGACCGAGCAAGGTCCTTACCCAGGGAGGCCACATTCCGAGAATTCTCCAGCATGACTTCCTTGTGGAGGGCTTTTTGGTGGGCATCCAGACGAGACCACTCCTCTTTCGAGAAATACACAGCCACCTCCTTGAAGGACACAGAGCCCTGCTGAAGGAAAGAGTTTTCCATGATCTTACAGTCCTTTGTTGACAAATTACCAAACAAGAAATCTACAGTGGGGTCATGTGTTATTTTCTAGCGGGTATAAAAAAATTGTGCAAGGAAATGGACCGAACTTATAGCCTCTCACCAAAAGTACAGTTGGGGCAAGTTTTCATACAGTTGCCTGAATTCTTTCAGTCAATTCAGGGAAAGGAATTCCAATTTCCTTCTTACTCAAGCAGAGCTGTCAGCGGCTTCCATCCTGTCTGATAGTTGCACAATCGAATAGAAGCAGTGGGAGTTGTTCTGTGACATAACAGTAGATGGCCTGTGATGTCATCTCAGGGATCCATCCTGCCTGTGCCTAACACTTTTGTACCCAGCCAGAGCTTACAGCTGGCCATGCTAGCCCAAAGCCAACTATACCATAGAAGTCAACTACATAGGAAGGGAAGGGAAGGGGAGGGCAGGAAAGGGAAGGAAAGGAAGAAAGGAAAGGAAAGGAAAAAAGGAAAGGAAAGGAAAGGAAAAAAGGAAAGGAAAGGAAAAAAGGAAAGAAAAGGAAAGGAAAGGGAAGGGAAGGGAAGGAAAAAAGGAAAGAAAAAAAGGAAAGGAAAGGAAGAAAGGAAAGGAAAAAAGGAAAGGAAAGGAAAGGAAAGGAAAGGAAAGAAGGAAAGGAGGAAAGGAAAGGGAAGGGAAGGAAAAAAGGAAAGGAAAGGAAAGGAAAGGAAGAAAGAAAAGGAAAAAAGGAAAGGAAAGGAAAGGAAAAAGGAAAGGAAAGGAAAAAAGGAAAGGAATGGAAGGGAAGGGAAAGGAAAGGAAAGGAAAGGAAAGAAGGAAAGGAAAGGAAAGGAAAGAAGGAAAGGAAAGGAAAGAAAAAAGGAAAGGAAAGGAAAGGAAAGGAAGAAAGAAAAGGAAAAAAGGAAAGGAAAGGAAAGGAAAAAGGAAAGGAAAGGAAAAAAGGAAAGGAATGGAAGGGAAGGGAAAGGAAAGGAAAGGAAAGGAAAGAAGGAAAGGAAAGGAAAGGAAAGAAGGAAAGGAAAGGAAAGAAAAAAGGAAAGGAAAGGAAAAAAGGAAAGGAAAGGAAAGGAAAGGAAAGGAAAAAAGGAAAGGACAGTTATATCAGCTGAGCATAGTGAGGAAAAAAAGGCTGGGACACAGAGGCAGTAGGGTTAAGAACAGTGGTGGGTTTCAAAATTTTTTACTACCCTGTTTCCCCAAAAATAAGACATCCCCTGATAAGAAGCCCAATTGGGCTTTTGAGTGCATGGCAATAAGGCCAAGTGCTTATTTCGGGGTTCAAAAAAATATAAGACAGGGTCTTATTTTCAGGAAAACACGGTATCAGTTCTGTGGGTGTGGCTTGGTGGGCGTGGCATGGCATGGCTTGATGGGCATGGCATGGCATGGCTTGGTGGGCGTGGCAGGGGAAGGTTACTACAAAATCCCCATTTCCTCCTGATCAGCTGAGACTCGGGAGGCTGAGAATAGATGGGGGCGGGGCCAGTCAGAATTTTTACTACCGGTTCTCCAAACTACTCAAAAATTTCCACTACCGGTTCTCCAGAACTGGTCAGAAACTGCTGAAACCCACCTCTGGTCAAGAAGATATAGTGAGAGAAGCCCTGGAAGTCCTGAAGAACTTGGAAAGCAAGTTAAAGGAGCTCAAAAGTGTGGTTGTAGAAGCAAACCAGTACTGTCTGCTGTGAGAAAAGCAGGTGCAGTGAAAGGGTCATTCCAGAGCAATTCAAAGCTAGAATTAAGCCAGAGTGAGCAAAAAAAAATAAATGACACAAAGTGAACCCTATGCCTCAAGTAGAGAAGGACCAGGGGAGACATGATAGCCGTCTTCCAATACTTGAAGGGCTGCCACAGAGAGGAGGAAGGGGGTCATGCTATTTTCCAAAGCACCTGAAAGCCAGACAAGGAACAATGGATGGAAACTGACCAAGGGGAGATTCAACCTGGAAATAAGGAGACATTTTCTGACAGTGAGAACAGTCAACCAATGGAACAGAAGTTGCCTTCAGAAGTTGTGGGAGCTTCATCACTGGAGGCTTTCGAGAAGAGCCTGGACTGCCATCTGTCAGAAATGGTGTAGGGCAGTGATGGCTAACCTTTTTGCCATCGCGTGCCAGGAGGGGGGGGCGGGGGAGGGTCACACGCGCACGTGCCCACACGCATGTGTGCGCAACCCCCTCCCCCTCCCCCCCGCTCCTGGCACATGATGGCCTGGTAGGCCCGTTTTTCTTTCTTACCTGGCTCCAGATCCTTTCTGTGTATCTGGGAATGGCGAAAACAGCCCATTTCCCAACTCCCGGTGGGACAGGAAGTGACATTTTTTGCTGTCCCCAGCCTCCAGAACCTCTCTAGGAGTCTCTAGGAGCCTCTCTAGGAGTCTCTGGAGGCTGGGGACAGGAAAAAAAGTCACTTCCTGTCCCACCGGGAGTGGGGAAATGGGCCCTTTGAGCCTCCGTAGGGCCTCCAAGGAAGTGGGAAAGGCTGTTTTCGCCGTTCCCAGATACACAGAGAGGATCTGGAGCCAGGTAAGAAAGAAAAACGGGCCTTCCCCACCCACCCCCCCACCCCAGGCCCTCCAGAGGCAGGAAACAGCCTGTTTCCCTACTTCTGGTGGGCCCAGAAGGCCCGAAAATCAGCTGGCTGGCACACGCATGCACCCCAGAGCTGAGCTGGCGTGCCCACTAATATGGCTCCGCGTGCCACCTGTGGCACGCGTGCCATAGGTTCGCCATCACGGGTGTAGGGTCTCCTGCTTGGGTGGGGAGTTGGACTAGAATTAGATGACCTACAAGGTCCCTTCCAACATCTCCTCCTCCTCCTCCTCCTCCTCTTCTTCTTCTTCCTCCCCTTCCCCTCCTTCCTCTTCCTCCTCTATTCTATTCATTTTTGGGCAAGAAAGGAAAAGCTGCAAAGATACAGGTAGCCCGAGAGTTATGACCTATCGCTTAGCGACTGTTCAAAGTTCTGACAGATCTATCACGTCAGCCCATCACGTCATCTCTGACGTTTAACACCACACACACCCCTCAAATACCTGAGCTGAAGCTCCAGCTGCTGTTTTGGATCCACCAGAAAAAGGAGATGATTCTAAAAATTCTGGCAGCATTGATCCGTTCCCTGTGACAGAAACAAAAATTGGAAGCAGGCTTTTTAAATAGTAGTTAAATAAAAGATAAGGAGAAATTATAAACGAGAGGCGTAGAAGAATGAGAGGGAACTGAACTCTTTCCGACAACACCATACTGCAGTGGTGTCAAACTCAAGGCCCAGGGCCCGGATCTGGCCTGTGGGGTGCTTAGATCTGGCCCGTGGGGCCACCCTGGAAACAGCAAAGCAGAGGATTGCAGGAGACTGTCGTAGCCAAAAATGGAGCTTGCAAGGGCCATGTGTGACTCTCCTGAGCTCCGTTTTCAGTGGCAGAGGGTTGCAGGAGGCAGTCACAGCCAAAAACGGAGCTTACGAGGGCTGCGTGCAGCTCTCCAAAACTCCGTTTTCACTGGCAGAGGGTTGCAGGAGGCTGTCACAGCCGAAAACGGAGCATACGAGGGCCGCGGGAGGCTCTCCCAATCTCCGTTTTCACTGGCAGAGGGTTGCAGGAGGCTGTCACAGCTGAAAACGGAGCTTACGAGGGCCGCAGGAGGCTCTCCCAATCTCCGTTTTCACTGACAGAGGGTTGCAGGAGGCTGTCACAGCCGAAAACGGAGCTTGTGAGGGCTGCGTGCAGCTCTCCAAATCTCTGTTTTCACTGGCAGAGGGTTGTAGGAGGCTGTCACAGCTGAAAATGGAGCTTGTGAGGGCTGCGTGCAGCTCTCCAAATCTCCGTTTTCGCTGGCAGAGGTTTGCGGGAGGCTCAGGAGCCTGTTTTCACTGGCAGAGCGCTACGGCCACCACAGGCGCCCCCAACACATGTGGCGTCAAGCTGGCCATGCCCCCTGGCCATGCCCCCCTCCCCCCTCAAGGTCAAACACAACCCTGATGCAGCCCTCAATGAAATCGAATTTGACGGCCCTGCCTTAAAGGACCTTCCTTTTACCTTTTGAAGTGTCCTGACATAGATTTTTAGAGACGGCTCCCAAAAGCAGCTCCTGAGAAGGATTTGACAAATCCCTGCAATCCGTGTGATGTTCAATGACCTCTACAGATGTTGCCTGGACCTGAAATAAAAGGAAATGAAGGGATTCTTGCTTTCAGATCATAACGTTGAAGCTCTCATGGGGATGGAACAAGTAATTTATTTATTTATTTATTTTATTAAACTTGTATGCCGCCCTTTCTCCCAAAAGACTCCGGGCGGCTCACAACAATAAAAAACACATAAAATTCAGTGTTTAAATATAAAAATATAAAAACAATACAATCCCCTTTAAAAACCCCTTCAGTCCAATCCAGTCAGGCCAAATAGCCATGTTTTGAGGTCACGGCGGAAAGAGCGAAGGTCAGGGGCCATCGGGAGCTCCAGGGGGAGCTGATTCCACAGAGTAGGCACGCCCACAGAGAAGGCCCGCTCCCTGGGAGTCGCCAGCTGACACTGTCTGGCCCTCCCTGTGAGAGCGCACCGGGCGACGGGGAGCTGTCGCTGGCCGCAGATTGTCCGCCAGGTACCCCGGGCCTAAGCCATGTAGTAATAGAACGTTTCCCCCAAATGAGGTTCTCACCTCCAACTGTACATGTTCCTTCTGCTCCTCCACCTGACTAAGGATGAAACCTTCCGCCAGGGCCACCGCCTGGGAGCTGGTCTCTGCTCCACACTCCCGGATCCAACTCTGCATCTCTGCAGGCAGGACAGCCAGGAATTGCTCCAGAACCACCAGGTCCAGCATCTGCCATTTGGTGTTCCTCAACGGTTGCAGCCACTGATGGCAAAGTTTGTGAAGGTGGCTACAAATCTCACGGGGTCCCTTGGCCTCTTGGTAGTGGATGCTCCTGAAGAGCCTGCGCTGGACCTCTGAACTGATGGCATTCACCTCCAGGGTCTTCTGCTCAGCTCCTACCCAGGAGTCCTTACCCACTGAGTAATGTCCCTCCATTTCTTCTCCATTCTCCAACATTGTTGCCAACAGGGCCAATGGAGGTTGAGGAACTCCAACAATCTTTTCATTCATACGGTCTGGATCGTCAACAAAACCCTGGAGAAATTCTTCAAGCCCATTCAGCCTTTTTGATGAGGAGGTCTTTGGTCTCCCAGACGAGGAGGCCCAAGTGGCTTTCAGCTTCTAGATCTGGGGAGGGAGGAAAAAAAGGTTCCAGAATTACTAAAATCTGCTGAGGTTGATGTCAAACCATTAAGGTCAAAGAGATTTGGTTGGCTATTATCCTAGGCAAGTTAGTAGGCCTGTGGCTGGATGAAGGGGACTTCAAGCTCTGAATACAGATTAACAGAGTTGGAAGGGACCTTGGAGGTCATCTAGTCCAAACCCCCCCGACCCAAGCAGGAGACTGTACACCGTTTCTGACAGATGGCAGTCTTCTTGAAAGCTTCCAGTGATGAAGCTTCCACAACTTCCGAAGGCAACTTCTGTTCCATGGGTTAATTTATTTTTTTTTTAATTTGATTTATATGCCGTCCTTCTCCGAAGACTCAGGGCGGCTTACAATGTGCTAAGCAATAGCCTTCATCCTTTTGTATATTTATACAAAGTCAGCTTATTGCCCCAACTGGGTCCTCAATTTACCTACCTTAGAAAGGATGGAAGGCTGAGTCAACCTTGAGCCTGGCGAGATTTGAACCTGCAGTAATTGCAGGCAGCTGGTCTTAATAACAGGGTGCTTTAGACCACTGTACTACCAAGGCTCTTGGAGCCTTGCTCTCACCGTCATAAAATGTCTCCTTATTTCCAGGTTGAATCTCTCCTTGTTCAGTTTCCATCCATTATTCCTTGTCTGGCCTTCAGATGCTTTGGAGAATAGCTTGATCCCTTCTTCAGACCCTCAAATATTGGAAGATGCTCTCCTGTCTCCCCTGGTCCTTCTCTTCACTAGACTAGCCAGGCCCAGTTCATCGTATGTTTCAGCCTCCAGTCCCCTCATCATCCTGGTTGCTCTTCCCTGCACTCACTCTGCACTCTGCTTTTATTAATAACACAACCTTACAGGAAGTCCTCAACCGCAACGCAGCCCAGCATTTCTGTGGTTAAGAAAGGCAGTTGTTTGGTGACTTTTGCCACATATTACAACCTCTTATGCCGCAGTTGTTAAGCCCGTGTTTATGTTATAGTTCTTTTTCCTCGCATCAAGCCTAACACATGCGCCTTCAAGAAGCCGGGTTCCAGCTTAATGTGTCTTGGATCATGTGACTTCAATAGTCCCAACCTGCTGGAAGACGAGTAGCCTTGACGCCTCTTTAGTCCAATGCAGCCACATGGGAAAGAAGCTCGAAGTCCCACTGGCTTCAATGGATAACCATTTCTCTGAAATGGCATAGGGTTTCCTGCCTAAGCAGGGGGTTGGACTAGAAGACCTCCAAGGTCCCTTCCAACTATTCTATTCTATTCTATTCTATTCTATTCTATTCTATTCTATTCTATTCTATTCTATTCCTATTCTATTTCTATTCTATTCATAGTCTACTCTACTCTACTCTACTCTACTCTATTCTATTCTTTCTCTACACTACTCTCTACTCTAGTCTATTCTCTACCCTACTCTATTCCCTACCGTACTTAAAACTAAGCCTAGAACTAAGGAGAAATTTCCTGACAGTGAGAACAATGAATCAGTGGAACCGCTTGCCTTCCTTCCCTTCCCTTCCCTTCCCTTCCCTTCCCTTCTCTCCTCGCCTCTCCTCTCCTCTTCCTCTTCCTCTTCCTCTTCCTCTTCATACTCTACTCTACTCTACTCTACTCTACTCTACTCTACTCTACTCTACTCTACTCTACTCTATTCTTTCTATTCTTTCTCTACTCTACTCTCTACTCTAGTCGATTCTCTACCCTATTCCCTACCCTACTCAGAACTTAAGCTTAGAACTAAGGAGAAATTTCCTGACAGTGAGAACAATGAATCAGTGGAACGGCTTGCCTCCAGAAGTTGTGAATGCTCCAACATTGGAAGTTTTTAAGAAGAGGTTGGCTAACCATTTGTCCGAAGTGGTGTAGGGTTCCCTGCCTGAGCAGGGGGTTGGACTAGAAGACCTCCGAGGTACCTTCTCCTCTCCTCTCCTCTCCTCTCCTCTCCTCTCCTCTCCTCTCCTCCTCTCCTCTCCTCTCCTCTCCTCTCCTCTCCTCTCCTCTCCTCTCTCCTCTCCTCTCCTATTCTATTCTATTCTTTCTATTCTTTCTCTACTCTACTCTCTACTCTAGTCTATTCTCTACCCTACTCTATTCCCTACCCTCCTCAGAACTAAGCTTAGAACTAAGGAGAAATTTCCTGACAGTGAGAAAAATGAATCAGTGGAACAACGTGCCTCCAGAAGTTGTGAATGCTCCAACACTGGAAGTTTTTAAGAAGAGGTTGGCTAACCATTTGTCCGAAGTGGTGTAGGGTTCCCTGCCTGAGCAGGGGGTTGGACTAGAAGACCTCCGAGGTACCTTCTCTTCTCTTCTCTCTCTCCTCTCCTCCCCTCCTTCCTCCTCTTCTCTTCCTATTCATTCTCTACTCTACTCTACTCTACTCTACTCTATTCTTTCTATTCTTTCTCTACTCTACTCTCTACTCTAGTCTATTCTCTACCCTACTCTATTCCCTACCCTACCCTCTAGTCCAGTGTTTCTCAACCTTGGAAGCTTGAAGATGGGTGGACTTCAACTCCCAGAATCCCCCAGCCAGCGCTGCTGGCTGGGGGATTCTGGGAGTTGAAGTCCACCCATCTTCAAGCTTCCAAGGTTGAGAAACACTGCTCTATTCCTATCCCTGTTCCATTCCAGTCTCCATCCCTGGAAAGCTCCTTCTCTGCTTGAGTCCTGCCATTGCAAAAGCCTCCTCCTCCTCCTCCTCCTCCTCCTCCTCCTGCGGTCCTGTGGCACGTGCAGGGAAAGGGGGGGAGGCAGGGGAAGGTCGGAGCCCCCAGCCCCCACTCACCCGGGGAGGGGTCACGTCGGAATCTCTTTGCCCGCAAGAGTCTGTCCTGCAGCCTCTTTGCCTGCTGGCCGGGGCGAGGGAGTGCAAAGTCCTAGAGCGGCCAACCTCTCCTTGATGTCACTCAACTCCCCCCCCGCCCCCACGAAACACCTCTGTCCGCGCATGCTCGGTTTCCTTTTCTGAAGCCGGAGAGGGTCCATCTTCATGTTGGCAGAGAGGGAGCCCCCTGGTGGGCTCTCTGGGCAATGCAAAGGACCTCTTGCAATACGGGGAGGGGAGGGGGGTGCGTTTCCCGGGGGAGGGGGCCGCAGGGTGATGGGGATGGAGAATAAAAAGGAATTTGGTACCTTCATACAAAGATGCCAGCCCAAAATAATGGCATGGATTGTTTTGTGGTGGTGGGAGCATTCAGACACCCCCACCCGAAGAGGAGAGGAGGGAACAGGAAGGGAAGGGAAGGCAGGGCAGGGGAGGGCAGGAGAGAGGAGACTGAGGGGAGGGAAGGGAGGGGAGAGGAGAGGAGAAGAGATGGAGGGGAGGGGAGAGGAGAGAGGAGAGGAGATGAAGAGGAAGGAAGGGAGAGGAGATGAGGAGAGATGAAGAGGGGAGGGGAGAAGAGAAGAGATGGAGGGGACGGGAGAGGAGAGGAGAGGAGATGAAGAGGAGGGAAGGGAGAGGAGATTAGGAGAGATGAAGAGGGGAGGGGAGAAGAGAAGAGATGGAGGGGAGGGAGGGAAGGGAGGGGAGATGAGAAGAGATGAAGAGGAGAGGAGGGAGACGAGAAGAGAAGGGGTGAGGAAGAGGGGAGGGAGAGGAGATGAGGAGATGAAGAGGGGAGGAATGGGAGATGAGATGAGAAGAGAAGAGATGAAGATGAGGGGAGGGAAGGGAAGGGAAGGGAGAAGAGAAGAGATGAAGAGGGGAGGGAAGGGAGAGGAGATGAAAGATGAAGAGGGGAGGGGAGAAGAGAAGTGATGAAGACAAGGGAGGGAAGGGAAGGGACGGGAGATGAGAAGAGATGAAGAGGAGAGGAGGGAGAGGAGAAGGGGTGAAGAAGAGGGGAGGGAGAGGAGATGAAGAGGGGAGGAATGGGAGAGGAGATGAGAAGAGAAGAGATGAAGATGAGGGGAGGGGAGAGGAGAAGAGAGGAGATGAAGACGAGGGAGGGGAGGGAAGGGAGTGGAGATGAGAAGAGATGGAGAGGAGAGGAGGGAGAGGAGAAGGGGTGAAGAAGAGGGGAGGGAGAGGAGATGAGGAGATGAAGAGGGGAGGAATGGGAGAGGAGATGAGAAGAGAAGAGATGAAGATGGGAGGGAAGGGAGAAGAGATGAAGAGGGGAGAGAAGGGAGAGGAGATGAGGAGAGATGAAGAGGGGAGGGGAGAAGAGAAGAGATGAAGACGAGGGAGGGAAGGGAAGGGAGGGGAGATGAGAAGAGATGAAGAGGAGAGGAGAGAGAGGAGAAGGGGTGAAGAAGAGGGGAGGGAGAGGAGATGAGGAGATGAAGAGGGGAGGAATGGGAGAGGAGATGAGAAGAGAAGAGATGAAGATGAGGGGAGGGAAGGGAAGGGAAGGGAAGGGAGAAGAGATGAGAAGAGGAGAGATGAAGAGGGAAGGGATAGGAGATGAGGAGAGATGAAGAGGGGAGGAATGGGAGAGGATATGAGAAGAGAAGAAGAAGGGACGGGGAGGGGAGAGGAGAAGAGAAGAGATGAAGAGGGGAGGGGAGGGAAGGGAGTGGAGATGAGAAGAGATGAGGAGGAGGGGAGGGAGGGAGGAGAGGAGAGGAGAGATGAAGAGGGAAGGGAGAGGAGATGAGATGAGGAGAGATGAAGAGGGGAGGGGAGGAATGGGAGAGGAGAAGAGAAGAGATGGAGAGGGGAGGGAGAGGGAGGGGAGGGGAGAAGGGATGAAGAAGAGGGGAGAGAGGAGAGGAGAAGAGATGAAGAGAAGGGAGAAGAGATAAGAGATGAAGAGGGGAGGGGAGGAATGGGAGAGGAAATGAGGAGATGAAGAAGAGGGGAGGGGAGAGGAGAAGAGATGAAGAGGGAGGGGAGGGGAGAGGAGAAGAGATGAAGAGGGAGGGGAGGGGAGATGAGAAGAGATGAAGATGAAGATGAGGGGATGGAGGGGAGAAGAGAAGAGATGAAGAGGGAAGGGATAGGAGATGAGAGATGAAGAGGGGAGGAATGGGAGAGGATATGAGAAGAAGAAGAGGGGAGGGGAGGGAGGGGAGAAGAGATGAAGAGGGGATGGAAGGGAAGGGAAGGGAAGGGGAAGGAAGGGAGTGGAGATGAGGAGGGGAGGGAAGGGACAGGAGGGGAGAGAAGAAGAAATTAAGAAGAGGGGAGGGGAGAGCATATGAGAAAAGATGGAGAGGAGAGGAGCTCAGAGCTCTGAGCTGAAGAAGCTTCTTGGATGAGAAGCGAAACGTCTTAAGAGAAAAATCAGAAAGTCCAGTTTCTTCTTGAAAAAAGCACCTTTGGGATTTTTAAAAGTTGTTTTCTATTCTTCTCACCATGTGCTTTCTACCTAACCCTGTCATCCTGCCCCAGCCCCCAAAATGCGCTCCCCTATTGCAAGAGGTCCTTTCCGTTGCCCGGAGAGCCCACCAGGGGGCTCCTTCTGCGAACATCAAGGACTGGCTATCTCTTGCTTCAGAGAAGAAACTGAGCCTGTGCAGATCCTTCATGCCAGGTTGGAGGGGGTCTCTCTTCTGAATCCTGAGATGTGTCAGAACAAGGCAGGAAGTGAGTGCCATCAGGGAGAGTCTGGCCTCTCTAGGACTCCGCTCTCTCTCTCACCTTGGCCAAAGAGGCTGGATGCCAGCAGGGATGGACCAGCAGAAGTGACTCTGGGTGAGTGTGGTGGGAACTCTGCTTCTGGGGAGGAGATGGAGACACGCCAATTCTTCATCCATCTGCTGAACCTTGGGAGGGGAAGAGCCTAGAATTCCATGTTCCCCTGCCACACCTTTTCAGACAGGAGCCAGGCAGTGGGGAAACAGAAAAGCATCCCATCAGCTTTTCTCACCCGGAGGAAGAAATCCAGTTCTCCGGACATGGGGATGCAAATAGAGGCGAACCCTTTCATCACCACCCCGTTCCCCTATTTTCCGAGAAAAAGCCGCAAAGAGGGAGGAGTTCGCATGGCAACGCTCAACCTGGAAAAATGTCAGAATGATCTTTCGACTGCAGCGTATCGCAGGGACACTCACCGTTGGTGTCGTGGAAAGCTTCTTGACAACTTATTCTCACTTGGGCTTTGCATGTTACGGGAATGGGGCCCATTGCGGTGGGTGGCTAGGTTTTAGTCTATGGAGATTCTCAGTCATCCAGGTCGTGGTTGTCCCAAAGGTGCTTTTTCACAAGGCAACCGGACCTCCTTGATTTTTTCTTTGAAGTCGTTTCGCTTCTCATCCAAGAAGCTCCTTCAGCTCTGGCGAGATGGCGGCGAATGGAAGGATTTAAACTCCTCGCAGACAGCTGGTCGTTTGCAGCTTTTCAGAGAGTCAATAAAGTCACCTAGTGATTTATCTGTGTCCTCAGGGTCACCTGAGTGGTGCAAATGAGTGTAGAGCAGTGGTGGGTTCCGCCCGGTTCCGCCTAGCCGGTAGCAGTGACGATATGACATCACCGAACCGGTTCAGCCCCTCACCCCCCCACCCCCCCGCGTTATTCTTACCTTTTATTTGGCCCCACCCCCAATCTATTGCTGCCTCCTGAGTCCCAGCTGATGGCTAGAGGGAAAAAAACTGTTTAAACTCTTGCCGTGGGGATTCAAAGGGCCGCCGTACAGCTGATCAGTGTTAAAAGAAAACAAATCAGTGGACCGGTGCCTGCAAAAATAAATGGGTAGATCGGTACAGCTCTGCAAGCAGTTAAAAGCCTGACCAGTACCTCTGCTAAATCCTAAAGAATTGTCACATGACCATCAAGCCAAGCCCACAAAATAAGCCATGCCCACAGAACCGGTAGTAAAAAAATTGAGAACCCACCCCTGGCGTAGAGCCTTCTTGGAACTGTTGAAAGGAACTATTGAAACTGTATTATAAACTGGAGATAGAATAGAATAGATTTTTTTATTGGCCAAGTGTGTTTGGACACACAAGGAATTTCCCTTGGTGCCTATGCTCTCAGTGTACATAAAAGATACGTTCGTCAAGAATCATAAGGTACAATACTTAATGATAGTCATAGGGTACAAGTAAGCAATCAGGAAACAATATCAATATAAATCGTAAGGATACAAGCAACAAAGTTACAGTCATACAGTCATAAGAGGAAGGAGATGGGTGGTGGGAACGATGAGAAAATTAATAGTAGTGCAGACTTAGTAAATAGTTTGACACTCTTGAGGGAATTATTTTTTTAGCAGAGTGATGGCATTCGGGAAAAAAATGTTCTTGAGTCTAGCTGTTCTGGTGTGCAGTGCTCTATAGCATCGTTTTGAGGGTAGGAGTTGAAACAGTTTATGTCCAGGATGCGAGGGGTCTGTAAATATTTTCACAGCCCTCTTTTTTCTTCTCTTTCCTCTTCATAGGTGGTGTCTGTTGAGAGACGAACATCCATGTTCAATTTTGACATAGATGGCCTCTTTGACCTCTCTTTCAAACCAGCAGTCCTCTCTGTCTAAAATGTGGATTTTGTTGTCTTCAAAATAGTGGCCTGTGCAGATAGACTGCTGAATCTAGTCCTGATGTGTTTGTTCTCCTATATTATGCCATGCGTTTATGATGTGGTTGTTTTGTTTCCCCAATGTACAGATTTGCACAATCCGCTCACTGCATTGTCTATACTACATTGCTCAATTTTTGTCCGGATGTTTTATCTTTGGGGTAGACAAATTTCTGCCTTAGTGTATTCTTGGGTTTGAAGTGTGCGCATGTTATGTTGACTGGTATAAAGTCCTGCATGGAGAAAAGTCGAAGGAGGCTGTTAAAAAGCAAACTTTGATGCTTTCTTTACTGCAAGGAAAGAAAAATCCAAGATCTCCGCAATATGTTTCCTCCATATTTGACAGAGAAACACGAAAATCTGTTTCTTCCCCATACAGGCAGTTCTCGACGATGACCAAAATGTAAGCGGCTAAGTGAGATAGTTGTTAAATGAGTGTTGTCCCACTTTAAGACCTTTCTGGCCACAGTTGTTAGGTGAATCGCTACAGTTGCTAAGTTAGTAATACGGTTGCGTTGGCTTGACTTGGCTTGTCAGAAGGTTCCCAAAATGATCACATGATTTTGGGACACAGCAACCGTCATAATACATGTCAGTTGTCAAATATCTGAATTTTTGATTATGTAACCATCAAGATGCTGCAATGGTCGTAAACGTGAAAAATGGTCATGCCACATTTTTCAATGGTGTTGCAGCCTTGAATGGTCAGTAAATAGAATAGGATGGGATGGGATGGAACAGGAACAGGAACAGGCAGGGGTGAAATGCTGCCGGTTCGGACCGGATCACCCGATCCGGTAGCGATGGCGGTGGGTGGTTCGGAGAACCGGTAGCAAAAATCCCTGCGCCTCCCCCCCCCACCATGCCCAGCTGAGCCGCACAATCATCAGAGGCTGTTTTTTTTTTTACTTTTAAAAGCATTTTTTCTACAACCTCTTCCAAGGAAAAAATGCTTTTAAAAGTAAAAAAAAAAAGCCTCTGATGATCGCGCGGCTCAGCTGGGATCGTCAGGGGCTTTTCAAAGCATTTTTTTCTGCAACCTCTTGGCTGAAGAGGTGGTAAAAAAAATGCTTTGAAAAGTCTCTGACGATCCCAGCTGAGTTGCCTGATCGGCAGAGGCTTTTCAAAGCATTAGAAAAAAATGCTTTGAAAAGTTTTTTTTTTTTAAAGTTGGCCACGCCCACCCAGTCAAATTATACCCCCCCCCCACCAAGCCACGCAGAACCGGTAGTAACAAATTTTACATTTCACCCCTGCCACAGGTTTTTTTTTTTTTTAAATTTGATTTATATGCCGCCCTTCTCCGGAGACTCAAGGCGGCTTACAGTGCGTTAAGCAATAGCCTTCATACTTTTGTATATTTTATACAAAGTCAGCTTATTGCCCCCACAAACTGGGTCCTCAATTTACCTACCTTAGAAAGGATGGAAGGCTGAGTCAACCTTGAGCCTGGCAAGAGCTGTTAGGTGAATCACTACAGTTGTTAAGTTAGCAACACGGTTGTTAAATGAATCTGGCTTCCCCATTGACTTGGCTTGTCAGAAGGTTCCCAAAATGATCACATGATTTTGGGACACAGCAACCGTCATAATACATGTCAGTTGTCAAATATCTGAATTTTCGATTATGTGACCATCAAGATGCTGCAATGGTCGTAAACGTGAGAAATGGTTCTCACATTTAGCTGGCTGGAGAATTCTGGGAGTTGAAGTCCACAAGTCTTATAGCTGCCATGTTTTAAGACCTCTGCCCTATACCATTTCAGACAAATAGTTGTCCAATCTCTTCTAAAAAACTTCCAGTGTTGGAGCATTCACAATTTCGGGAGGCAAGTTGTTCCACTAATTAGTTGTCCTAACTGTCAGGAAGTTTCTTCTTAGTTCTAGGTTGCTTCTCTCCTTGATTAGTTTCCACCCGTTGCTTCAAGGACTACCTGTGATCTTTCCTGACTGACTCCAAATTATCTTTTTTTTTTCCTCATAATATTTCTGACGTTGCCTCCCTGGGTTTTTCAAGAGTCAACGTCCCAATCTGTGTGGGAATCAGGGGTGGGTTCTAAATTTTTTTACTACCGGTTCTGTGGGCGTGGCTTATTTTGCGGGTGTGGCTTGGAGGTCATGTGACTAGATGGGCGTGGCTAGCTGGTCAGTCATTTCTGGAAGGTCCTCGCACTTACGACCAGTCCTCGCACTTACGACCCGACTCATTCGTTTGCTTTTAATACTGATCAGCTGTAGGATGGCCCTTTGAATCCCCGTGGCAAGAGTTTAAACAGTTTTTTTCCCTCTAGTCATCAGCTGGGACTCAGGAGGCAGCAATAGATTGGGGGTGGGACCAAATAAAAGGTAAGAATAACGTGGGGGGTGGGAGGGCGGGGAGAACCGGTTCGGTGACGTCATATCGTCACCGCTACTGGCTCGGCCGAACCGGACTGAACCGGGAGGAACCCACCACTGGTGGGAATGTCTAGAAATGACTTTTGGGTTGCATTCAAGTATAGCAGCTGAAATATCTTGTGTTCTTTCTCTTCATATAATCCAGGTCGTAGGAAGGAAAAGGTCTTTGGAGAACCAAGAGATCTGTTGGCTGCATTTGGACCTGTGATAGAGGAAAAAAAAAATATGGAGGGACAACACCCAGAAGATCAAGGAGCTGAAAAAGTTGGGGAGACCTCGGCAAGAACCAGACAGAAGATCCTGGAGAAGGAAAGCATCAGTTCAGAGGTTCAGTGCTGGCACTTCAGGAGCATCCAGTACCAAGAGTCTAAGGGTCCCCGAGAGATTTGCAGCCATCTCCACCACCTTTGCCGTCGGTGGCTTCAGCCAGAAAGACGCACAAAGGCTCAGATGTTAGACCTAGTGATCCTGGGGCAACTCCTGGCCCTCCTGCCCCTGCAGATGGAGGGCTGGGTCTGGGAGTGTGGAGCAGAGACTAGTTCCCAAGCGGTGGCCCTGGCAGAAGGTTTCCTCTTAAGCCAGGCAGAGGAGGAGAAGCAGAAAGAATCACAGGTGAGAGGAGTTCATTTTTTCAGCTTTCAGAGATGTTCGGTTCATAGAATAGAATAGAATAGAATAGAATAGAATAGAATGGAATGGAATGGAATGGAATGGAATGGAATGGAATGGAATGGAATGGAATGGAATGGAATGAAGGGACCTTGGAGGTCTTCTAGTCTTACTTATGCAGGAAACCCTATAACCATCAAGGTTGACTCAGCCTTCCATCCTTTCTAAGGTAGGTAAAATGAGGACCCGGATTGTGGGAGCAATAAGCTGACTTTGTATAAATATACAAAAGTATGAAGGCTATTGCTTAACGCATTGTAAGCCGCCCTGAGTCTCCGGAGAAGGGCGACATATAAATCAAATTAAAAAAAAAAAAATCCATGATGGCGAACCTATGACATGCATGCCACAAGTGGCATGTGGAGCCATATCAGTGGTCACGCAAGCTCAGCTCCGTTCGGGCCTTCTGGGCCCACCGGAAGTAAGGAAACAGACTGTTTCCTGCCTCCGGAGGGCCGGTTGGGGAGTGAGGAAGGCCCGTTTTTTGCTCTCCCCAGACTCCAGAGCCTTTCTAGGAGCCTGAGGAGGGCGAAAACAGCCTTCCCCACCCCCTGGGATAACAGGCCATTTCTGGCCTCTGGAGGGCCTCCAGGGGGGTGGGGAACGCCGTTTTCGCCTTCCTCAGGCTCCTAGAAAGGCCCTGGAGCCTGGGGAAAGCAAAAAATGGGCCTACCGGGCCCACCATGCCATCACGTGCCAAAAGCGGGGGGAGCGCTGGGGGGTGGGGCCGGGGGGGGGTTCTCCTTACCTTTACTACTGGTTTGCAACGGAGCCACATGCACGCGAGAGTGAAGCGAGCGTGAACGCACGCTCCTCTGTGCAAGCACAGAAGCTTCTGAGCATGCGCAGAAGCGTTTTGATGACATCAGAGTCAGTGGGCGGAGCCTCCCACCAGTTTTACTACCAGTTTTATAGAAGCGGTACGAACCGGGGTCAACACACCACTGGGTGGGGCGCATAGAATTACACAACCCCCCCCCCTGCGCTCACCCCGCTTTTGGCACGCGATTGCAAAAAGGTTAGCCATCACTACCCTATACCATTTCAGACAAATGGTTATCCAACATCTTCTTTAAAACTTCCAGTGTTGGAGAATTCACAACTTCTGGAGGCAAGTTGTTCCACTGGTTAATTTTTCTGTCAGGAAATTTCTTCTTAGTTCTAGGTGGCTTCCCATAAGTGTACGATTATACCTCATGATTCTGAGCATGTAATATGAGATGTTTAATTCTTTAGGTAATGTATCTCCTTCCAGAAATATTTGGGATAATTCTTTCCTTCATCTTCACTGATGAATATAGAGAGATTAAGTTACAAAGCTGAGGACAGAGTATAAGGATCCGGTTCATTCTGTGTGTTGGTTCATTATTTTCCATTCTTTGTGTCATGGGATACAACAGGCCCAGGGAAGCTTCTTGGAGACTGTCATGGAAAATCCAGAGGAAGGGAGGGAGCTCCTTCTCAGAGGCAGCTCCAGGGAAGATCAGCGTTATGACATTTCAGCAGGTGAGGAAAGTCCTTTGGTGCAATATCTCTGTCAACCTTGAAGCTGGCCTGACTGAGGCCACTTTGAAACTTCAGTGCTGACACACTGGAGAAGAGGGAGAGGGAGGGGGAAGTTGGGGATAGTTGGGGTGTTGTAGTCAAAACAAAATACTTTCTCTTGGGAACCAAGGACATTCCTGCAGGTGCTCGGAAGGAGGAGACTGGAGTCACCTAGCAACTGGACAGCATCCTGATTGGACCATGTGACTAATTATTTTGAGAAATTTATTTTATTTATTTATTTATTTTATCAAATTTCTATACCGCCCTACTCCCAGAGGACTCAGGGGGGTGAACAGCCAAGATAAAATACAGATAATACAAACATTAAAAATCCATTAAAATTATTAAATATTTTGGCCGAAAACAAATTTAAAACACCCAATTTATAAAACAGATTTAAACGATTTAAAAATTTAAAAGGGAGAGTTAGGCCAGGCCAGCCTGCTGAAATAAAAATGTTTTGAGAGCACGACGAAACGTGCACAGATCCGGGATCCTCCGTATCTCCGGGGGGAGCTTGTTCCAGATGGTAGGTGCCCCCACAGAGAAGGCTCTCCCCCTGGGGGCCGCCAGTCAACACTGTTTGGCTGATGGCACCCTTAGAAGCCCCTCTCTATGGGAGCATACTGGTCGGTGAGAGGCTATTGGTAGCAGAAGGCGATCTCGTAAATACCCTGGTCCGATGCCATGGAGCACTCTAAAGGTGATAACCAAAACCTTGAAGCGCACCCGGAAGACCACCGGGAGCCAGTGCAGCTCGTGCAGGAGGGGGGTCACATGGGAGCGCCACGCCACTCCCATAATCACTCGCGCAGCCGCATTCTGGACCAGCTGGAGCCTCCGAGTGCTCCTCAAGGGGAGCCCCATGTAAAGAGCATTGCAGTAGTCCAGGTGGGAAGTAACGAGAGCATGAGTGACCGTATTTAACGAGTCCCGATCCAGAAAGGGACGCAACTGGCGAATCAGGCGGACCTGATAAAAGAAAGTGACAAACTTTTACTTTTAATTGGGTGAAAACCGTGGGAATAGTCAGAGTCGGTTTTCACCAGCCTGTGCCAATATGGCATATCTAATAAACCTATTCTTTGAGGTAATTGCCTGCCTCAGAGTTTTGTTTGCTGTGGGTATGTTACTTGGAACCCTGACAATCTCCCTATATTTTATTAACGATATTATTTGAAGTCTACATTGCTTTTGTCTCCCTTACAGACAGTGGGATGATGTCCATGGTGTTTGTAGGATCTGCTCCTTCTTCTACCGTCTTTGAAAGAGCAAGTGAACCTCCAAGTCAGGTAGGAAGAGAAAGAGCAGAGAGTTGCAGGGGACCATTCGAAGGCCATCTGCTCTAGTTATGAGCCTCTATCCTTGGTCTGTCCTTTAATGGGGACATTTCATTTCCATTTTCAGGGTCTCGTATCTTTTGAGGAGGTGGCTGTGTATTTCTCTGAGGAGGAATGGTCCCATCTGGATGCTGATCAGAAAGCCCTCCATGGGGAGGTGATGCTGGAGAATTCAAAGAATGTTGCCTCTCTGGGTAAGGACCTTTTGCTCCATATCCTTATCCCCACAACTCATTATTTCCGGATACCATCTATTGAGCCAACATGCCTCTTATGGGCCCCCTGATCTTCTGGAACTAGAGTGGTATTAGTACCTCACTTAATCTTGATGGAATCCCTCTGTTGATGCAACTTAGAATCGCATTGGCTTTTTTGGCTGCCACCCGCACTGGAGGAGGGTGCATTATATGACTCATACACACACACCAAACTAATTGAGTTTTGAGATTCTGTATGAAACTGTCCAGATTTTCTCTATGGAAGCATAGAATGGGGGCTTAAAAAAAACCCCCACAATTCAATTTTTCGTCTCTGCAACCATGGGATTGTAGCATGAATTGGGAACGGCTGGCCATAAGAGTCTCTCACTGTTGTGGCTCCGTTACCTGAGCCTGTGTCATCGGCAGGAGAGTACTCCGAGAGTGAAGAAGAGGAGTTGGCAAGGCCTCCCTCTCCAGGACCCTCCTCTCTGGCAATGCCTTCGGTGTCTGCCGAAGGGCAAGAGATAGGGCCGGGGCCAAGCACGTCCACGCAGCCACAGATAGACAGTGATGAGGGTAATGAGTCTTGGCTGGATCCACGCCAGCGTTGCAGAGATAAGTGCGTGCAACAGAAGAAAAGGCGTGCCCGAGATTAGGCTGAGTCACTGGACCACACCCCACAGGATATAGAAGGGAGTGTGGTGGCCAGTCAAACCTTGTGACGAACAAAGCTGAAAGCTTCCACGCCATTCTGCATTGCTGGACTTTTGCTATAAGACTTAGCTGGATTATCTCTGGACTTGATTACCTCCATAATTATTGAGCTGTTCTTTTGATATATCAGAAGTGGGGAGAAATTATCTCTCCTCTTCGTAAATAATAAACTCTTGGCAGGCAGCCACTAGGTTGTTGCCAAGTTCCGTTATCTTAAGGAAAAGGATTTTGCCAGCTGGTTTGGTCTTTAACCCTTGAACGTCTGTTGGTGTGTGTGCGTGTGGTTGGGGACAGAACATTTCCTGTAAAGCCAAAGAATCTGAAAGAAAACAGCGAACCTTGTTAATATAAATGGCGATAGTTTATAAAGATTATTAGGTGCAAATAGAAATACATATTTCCGCAGCAAGGAAGATAAAGCAGAAATGGTTAAATTGATTATTTTATTCAAAGAGGAGAATATATTTAAGTACGTTTTCCATTTGGATATCACTGTCTGGATTTTGTGCTTGTGACAGGGAAAAAATTGAAACTTTGACACTGGTTTTGTCGACTAGATAGATTTGTCATTACAGAAACGGCTAGTTACATACTAATGTAGAAAAGCAAAAAGTTGAGGCTGGAGTGTTTCTACGTTGTACTGTGCTAAAAAGAGTCGGAAGTTAACACATTTTTTTTCTTTTTTTCCCTTGTCCCTTACATTTTCTTTCCCCCTCTCTTTTTCCTTCCCCTAATTTCCCATTTCTATTTTTCTTCGCATTTTATATATAGATAAAACAATAAAAGCCAGTCCGCCATAGGTGTAAAAGAAGAGCTGCAAATTATATTTAGTTTAACCAATTTAACCGTTTCTGCTTTATCTTCCTAGCTGTGGAAATAATATGTATTATTATTTTATTATTTATTATTTCTATTGCACCTAATAATCTTTATAAACTATCACCATTTATACCATGTTTCTCCGAAAACACGACCCACCCCAATAATTTATTTTATTTATTTATTTTATTAAATTTCTATACCGCCCTACTTCCGAAGGACTCAGGGTAGTGAACAGCCACAGGATAAAACACATAAATACAAAAATTTAAAATAGAATAAAAACGAATTAAATAATTTGGCTGAACAAATTTAAAATACCCCATAATTTAGAAACAAATTAAAACTTACATTTAAAAAGGGGAGAAGATTTAGGCCAGGCCAGCTTGATGAAATAAAAAAATCTTAAGCGCGCGACGGAAGGTGCGCAGATCCTGGATCCTCCGTATCTCCGGGGGGAGCTCGTTCCAGATGGTAGGTGCCCCCACAGAGAAGGCTCTCCCCCTAGGGGCCGCCAGTTGACATTGTTTGGCCAACGGCACCCGGAGGAGCCCCTCTCTATGGGGCTTGCCGGTGGGAGGCTATTGGTGGTAGCAGGCGGTCCCGTAGATAGCCAGGTCCTAAGCCATGGAGCGCTTTAAAGGTGATAACCAGAACCTTGAAGCACACTCAGAAGACCACCAATAAGCCCAACCCTAATTTTTTGGGGGTGGGCCTAATATTATCCCTACCTCAAAAATAAGCCTGGGAATGGCATGAGTGTCGGCACGGGGAGGGGGCAACTGTCCAGCTGCAGCTGCAGCCCGCTGGCCCCTTGGGATAGCGCAAATACCGCTGTTGCCCTTCTCTTTCTGGGTGCAGTGCTTCTGCATGTTGGGCTGCTTCTCTGAAGTTGGCAGCTCTGCGGCCAGCTGCTTTGCCTTATCCCTCTTTTTGGGAGGCTCGCGGGAAGCTTTTTGACGAATAGGAAGAAAATGGGGAGGGGGATTTTCCTGCCTGTCATCCATTCCTCAAGCTCAGCACAGACTGAGGGAAGAATAAGCAAAATCCTCCTCCCCAGTTTCCTCCCGCTCGCCAAAAAGCCTCCATTCCGAACGCTGAGGGTTCGGAATGTAAGCGACAGTGCAACCAAGTCTGGCCTGCTGCACCTCAAAAAAAGTAAGACCGCCATGAAAATAAGCTGAAGTGCTTATTTTCAAGTCTAAAAGAAAATAAGACTCGGTCTTATTTTCTGAGAAACACGGTATTAACGAGGTTCGCTGTATTCTTTCAGATTCTTTGACCTTATAGGGCAGTGATGGCTAACCTTTTTGCCATCGCGTGCCAGGAGACGGGGGGGTGAGGGAGGTCCGTGCGTGCGGGTGCCCACACCCATAATTCTATATGCCCTGCCCTGCGCATGCATGTGCAAACCCCCCCCCTCTCCTGGCACGTGATGGCCCAGTAGGCCCGTTTTTCTTTCTTACCTGGCTCCACATCCTCTCTATGCATCTGGGAAGGGCGAAAAGAGCCTTTCCCAGTCCCTCAGAGGCCTGAAAGGGATCATTTCCTCTCTAGGAGGCTGGGGACAGCAAAAAAGTCACTTCTTGTCCCACCAGGAGTTGGGAAATGGGCCCTTTCAGGTCTTTGGAGGGCCTCCGAGGGAGTGGGCTGTTTTCGCCCTCCGCAGATACATAGGGAGTGAGCCTTCCTCACTCCCCCCAGCCCCTCCGGGGGCAGGAAACAGCCTGTTTCCCTACTCCTGGTGGGCCCAGAAGGCCCGAAAATCAGCTGGCCGGCGCCCGCATGTGCACCAGAGTTGAGCTGGTGTGCCCACTGATATGGACACACGTGCCACCTGTGGCACGCGTGCCATAGGTTCGCCATCACGGTTATAGGGAAAGATATTCTTTTTAACAGACGTTCCCTATTCATGCGACCATCCCGTAGTTGCAGAGATGAAAAATGTATTTATGTATAAACTTGATAGATACCCTGGCTCCCAGAACTCTGAATGGCTTAAATTGAAAAAGATAAAGTACAAAAAAACCCCATGAAGACTACATGAGGAGCTCAAAACAAACATATAACACCCCCTTCCAACAGGGATTCATTTATCCTCCTGCCCCAAAGTCTGGGGGAATAGCCAGGTTTTCAACACTTTTGTGAAGATCATTGAGGGGATCCTTGGTGGAGCAGTGGACTAAAGCGCTGTTAAATAGCACTTAGCTGCCATCACGCCTGCAATTACTGCAAGTTCGAATCTCACCAGGCTCAAGGTTGACTCAGCCTTCCATCCTTAGGAGGTAGGTAAAATGAGGACCCGGTTTGTGGGGGCAATAAGCTGACTTTGTATAAAAAAGAACACCGCTGGGGGGGGCAAAAGCCCTACTAAGCAGGTATATACAAAAGTATGAAGGCTATCGATTAATGCATTGTAAGCTACCCTGAGTCTCCGGAGAAGAGCGGCATATAAAAAAATCGAACAAAAAAAAATCGAACCAATAAGGGGAGCCATCAGAATAGAGCCTGGATAGCTCAACAGACAGAAGCGCTGTAATTTAACACCAGCTGTCTGCAATTAAAGTAAGTTCGAATCTCGCCAGGCTCAAGGTTGACTCAGCCTTCCATCCTTTCTAAGGTAGGTAAATTGAGGACTCAGTTTGTGGGGGCAATAAGCTGACTTCGTATAAATATACAAAAGTATGAAGGCTATTGCTTAACGCACTGTAAGCCGCCCTGAGTCTCCGGAGAAGGGCGGCATAGAAATCAAAATTAAAAAAAAAAAAAAAGAATTCAGGGGAGGGGGAAAATCTCATCCCAGAGGGCCCATTAGATCCCACTTCTTGAGGTAGTCCTCAAATTATGACTGTAATGGAGCCTTGATGTTCGTAAAGCAGGTTATCATGGAAGCGAGTCAACTTAAGACCTTTTTTTTGTGGTGGCCAATAAATGAACCATTGCCATAGTCATTAAGTGAACCATTGCCATGGTTGTTAAGTGAATTGTCAAGGAACCCAAACAAATCAGAACTCCAAGGCCACTTGCTTCCTCAAAGAACTTCTTTATTGGGTACATCATATCGACACACTTAGTGGAAAACCAACTCTGGATCTTTTCCACAGTTTCAGCATAATTATAAAAAAACAAGGAATAAACCCTTCCTCGAGTGTCGCTGGTCACATTGGCCAATTAGGTTAATTGGCTGGCTCCTCAGGCATCTTTCTCCTCCTTCCTCCATCACCTGGGTTGATGACCTTGGTTCCCAGGAGAAAAATCTATGTTGTGTCTAGTAAGATATTCCACCTTCCTCCCCCACTTCCGTATTGGGTGGCAATGATGTACTAGGAAAATGGCTTCTGCCATGTTCAGTTTGATGTTGACATAAATCCACAGTCTGTCAGCGTCCCAGCCCTGACATATAAATAAAGGGAGGAGAAGCCTGAACTTTTGCCTGCTAAATCCCTTTGAAGATCTGTCTCCTCAGAGACGGGGAGGGGGGAGACATTCCTGTGATCTGACGAAGAAGGAATCAGGAAAGTGACTTGGAAGATAGCCAATGAGAAGCAGAGAATTGGGGATCGGAAAGGGAGGGATTGGGGGGCAAAGGTCAGTACTGACCGTCTGTCAGGTTTCGATGCTATCTCAAAATAAATGAATTTCCAAACTGCTGATCTTTAAGGAAATTTTCTCTTTATTCAAGCACAGCAATCTGATCCTGACTCTTTTCGCAGTCAGTACTGACCTTTGCCCCCCAATCCCTCCCTTTCTGATCCCAAAGGGAGAGATCTTCAAAGGGATTTAGCAGGCAAAAGTTCAGGCTTCTCCTCCCTTTATTTATATGTCAGTGCTGGGACACTGACACAGTCATTAAGCAAATGCAGCATTCACTGAAGCCATTGTTTACTATGGGGCATTTTTGCCCAAAACCGGAAATTTGTTTTTCAGCAAAATTGTAAATTGCAGTCATGTGACTGCAGGATACCAGAAATGGCCATAAATCTGGACTGGTTACTAAGCTCCCAAAAAGCATTCATATGACCTTGAGGGGAGAGCCTGGCTATTGGAACTTTGACACTAGGTCATAAGTACCTTTTGGGGTCCGTCGTAACTTCAAACAGTTCTAAATGGTCTTAAGGTGAGGACTACCTGTACTTTATACTTATACTTGCTGAGATTCATATACAGGGTTACGTATCATTAATTTATTGAGATGAGAACTGGGCAAGGACACATAGCTATGTTTATATGAGATTCCAATTTTTAAAAAGTTTTCTGCTACTGTACTCAAAAATAGAAATTATTCATGTCCCTGCTGTGCAATTTTATACACAAAATCCTGTGCGTATTTGGTTTTCCTTCGTGTTGTTCCGTGGAATAGCCTTGAAAAATGCTAAACAGTAGTTTGCAGATTTAATCTTTATAACTTTTCCTTAGCCTTACTATATTTTCATTCTTTCTTCTCTGCAGAAAGAGCGCATGGGGAAGAGGGGAGAAATTACATCCAACAATTCCACGCACATCATCCTGAAGAAGAAGATAAAAAGAAGTTGGCCAACGAAAGGGGATCAAAAGGTTTGGAGAGGAAGCAACTCACCCAAGGAATAAACAAAAAATCCATTTCCCCATGTGCTCCCGTTCAAGACTTTCTCGCCGAGCAAAAGCATCGAGAAAAAAAGAAGAGAAAATGTGCGGGGAAAAACTTGAAAGCATGCAAAGACAGATTTGATGTAAGCAAACCTTACAGGAGCTGCCCGATGGGAGAGGTGAAAAAATATTCAAATCGGACTTTCTCTACACGCGGAAGCATCAATGTGGAAGAAAAGCTACATAGGTGCAGGGAATGTGGAGAAAGCTTCGGCTGCAACCGTTCCCTCATTTCCCACCAAATAACCCACGCAGGAGTGAAACCCTATAAATGCACGGAGTGTGGAAAGAGCTTCAGAAAAAGCAGTTACCTTACTTGTCACCGAAGGATCCACACAGGGGAGAAACCCTTTAAATGCACGGACTGCGGGAAGAGCTTCAGCAAGAACAGTTCGCTTACTTACCATAGAAGGATCCACACGGGGGAGAAGCCCTTTAAATGTGTTGAGTGTGGAAAGACCTTCAGCAAGAACAGCTCTCTGACTTCCCATACCAGGAGCCATTCGGGGGAGAAGCCGTATCGATGCCTGGAGTGTGGAAAGAGCTTCCGGTGGCACAGTCAGCTGACTTCCCATAAAAGGATTCACACAGGGGAAAAACCCTATGAATGCATGGAGTGCGGGAAGAGCTTCAGCACGAGCAGCAGCCTCACTTCCCATAAAAGGCGCCACTCCGGCGAGAAACCGTACGAATGCCTGGAGTGTGGAAAGAGCTTCCGGGGTAGCAGTGCCTTTGCTTCTCATAAAAGGATCCACACCGGGGAGAAGCCGTACAAGTGCACGGAGTGTGGAAAAATATTCCGAAAGAGCAGTTCCCTTGCTTCCCATAGAAGCATCCACACAGGGGAGAAACCCTACAAATGCTTGGAGTGTGGTAAGAACTTCCGGGAAAATGGATCGCTGACTTCTCACAAAAGGATTCACCGAGGGGAGAAACCCTATAAATGTACGGAGTGTGGGAAGAGCTTTAGCCAAAGTGGGAATCTGATTTCCCACAAAAGGAGCCATTCGGGCGAGAAACCGTATAAGTGTATGGAATGCGGGAAGAGCTTTATGTGGAACAGTCAGCTTACATCGCACAGAAGTCTCCACACGGGGCAGAAACCGTATAAATGCGCAGACTGTGGGAAGAGCTTCAGCGATATCAGTCACCTGACTTCTCACAAAAGGATCCATACAGGGGAGAAACCATATAAATGTGCGGCGTGTGGAAAGAGTTTCAGCCAAAACAGTTCCCTGACTCTCCACGAGAGGATTCACACTGGGGAGAAACCATATAAATGCACAGAGTGTGGAAAGAGCTTCCGTGAAAAGAGATCTCTTCATTCCCACAAACTGATTCACACTGGGGAGAAACCGCATAAATGTACGGAGTGTGGAAAGCACTTCCGTGAAAAGAGATCCCTTCGTTCTCATAAACTGATCCACACAGGAGAAAAACCGTATAATTCCTTGGACCGACTTTAGAAATAGCAATTCCCTTATTTCTCATCAAAGTATCCACTCAGGTGAGAACTTATAGAAATATTAGCTTTACTTGGTTCCATCCTTATGTCTGTTCTTGGCCTGAACTATGCAAAGTTCTTCCTCTAACTCCTGAATTCAATTTGTACACCGCCCAACTCAATGATTCGGCAAGAAAACAAAATGATAAAACTATAAAAACATCCATAAAACAAAACTGCAACCATAACAGAAGAATACATTCATCCAAACGCTTCTAAACTTGGTAGTAGCCGATATAGAAATATATATTCTATATTCTATATATTAATTTCTTGAAGAAAACCTTAGCATCCTGCTCATTTATTCAAATTTTGAATATTTCACCCTGTTCAGGACCAGTCCAGTTGCAGAATAAGAAAAGAGGGTGTCGTAACTCTCACCCCACTAGTGTTTCAAAAGGCCCTAAGATCTGGCTATTTGTCCAAGTGTTGAGTAGCAAGGGTGTGCACATGAAAACGATTGAGAGTAGTTACGAATAAACACAGCCAACACACAGATACACTGAGTTGTGTTTACTTTCAGGAAATAGTAAGGCACAATCCAATAAACAGTCCAGGTCATCCACATATAAAGCAGGAGATAGCAAAATGACATTCCAGGGATAACCCAATAACAAAGTCTTCTTACCAGTCGTCATAGTCATTCACAATAAACAGTTCTTCTGGATTTGCAAACTGTAGCATACAGAGATATCAGAGAGCAAGAATAGCAAAGGGAAAAAACAAACCATGTTTCTAGCTCCCTCTTAAGGAGATTGGCTACAGAGCTAACCAGTCAGGACATAGTATGATGCAATACAGCAGTCTTAAAGCTATATTGAGGTTTTATATATTGCCAACCCAACAAGGTAAGTAATAATCATTTCCTAACAGTTGCCTTGTTTTTATTGTTCTTAATTTTATGTTTTCTTGCAATCCCAGCAGAATCCTTGGGTGACGTACAAATTGAATGAAATAAAGAGAAACTTCTTTGATTTCACTTAATATGAGATGCTCACAATTTCCTCTTGTGGCTTAAAAGAACAAAGGAATTGCCTTTTTAAGCCTCTCAAATTCTGGAGTATTTTGTTCTTTGTGTTCAGACTTGTCGTATTATGATTTTACAAGTGTGCTATAGGATGCCCGATTTTGTTTTATCTAATCTGAGTTTGGAAGCACAGTGTTCTGCCCCAGCTACAGACCTCAAAGAACGCAGCACACACCAAGTCTGTACAAAACTTAATTTACTAAAATAACTCAGTCTTTTTCAAACAAAGGCTGTTAATAAACTTCCTTAACAGCCTACAAGAATCCTAAAATAAGGTAATCACAATCTTACTAGGGTTGGCAGAAAGCCCAGAAGCAATGTTGCAAAGAATCCAGACGCGAAGGTGAGTGAACTAAAAGTTGTTCCCTACAGCTTGCTTCAATCGGCGTTCCTCTTTAAATAGGTTAAAGGAGTGGCCAATTAGCCCCAAGCCTTACTCTCGAGGAGACCTCCTCCTGAGGAGCCACTCCTGCCTTTGGCAACTCTGCGTGCCTGTGCATTGAGAAGAGGCTCCACCTCTTTGTCCCCTTCATTTAAAGGAGCTTCTGGGGGTTCTGAAGGCCCTGGCTGAATCCCTGCCTCTGGCACCACATCTTCTCCAGCCTCCTCACTGTCCGACTCAAGTGCCAGCTGCACAGGCTGCTGGCGCAGCACCACACCAGCCTCCTCGTTGTCAGAAACAGCTACAATCCGCACAGGCCACTGACGGGTGACAACACACAGCATCCAGACAGACATTTAACAGGTTCAGCTTCTCCAATCACTTGAGCAGCAACATCGAATGAATGTAGCTCTGATTAATCCCTATAACATTGAGTTATGTCAAGATTTCTACTAATGCACTAACCATGCAAGGAAACATTCCATAGATCCAGAGTCACTTTCAACAATTTGATCTTAGAATAGGATAGAATGAGCTGGAAGGGACCTTGGAGGTCTTTGTAGTCCAGTCCCCTGCTCAAGCAGGAGAACCGATACCATTTTAAATAAGTGACTGTCTAAACCAGGGGTGTCAAACTCAATTTCTTCGAGGGCTGGATCAGCATTGTAGTTCTTTGCGGGCCAGCAGGGGATGGGGGCAGGGAACGGGGGGGGGGGTAGTTGGGACAGACACCTCCTGCAGCACCCTGCCAGCCAAAATGGACCATGGGGGGATGCATGGCCCCCTCTGTCCCATTTTTGGCCTGAACGGCCTCCTGCAGCACTTCACCGGCCAAAACGGGGTGCACTATGCCAGCCTAAAATAGGCTTGTTTTCGGCCTCCCGGCCTCTAGCAGCACTCTACATTGCAACACTCTGCATCGCGCTGGTGCCACCGCTTGTGACAGGACTTCACGTGGCACGTAGATAATAAGAATAAAACACAGAGGTAGCAACATTTATGTTGTCACACTAGACCGTGTACTAGATTTGATAGATTTAGTGAAAAGCAGGATGTTTTCTACAGACAGTAAAAAAAAATAGTTTATTTTAGAATGCTTCACCGTTTGAAAATAACACAGAATAATATACTTGGAAGTCTAGTAGTCCAACCTCCTGCCCATGCATGAGAACCTATACCATTCTGGACAAATGGTTGTTCAATTTCTTCTTGAAGACCTCCAGTGTTGGAGCAAGCCGGTCCACTGATTGATGATTCTCCCTGTCAGGAAATATGTTCTTGAGGGTGAACATTCGTTCTCCGAGCTTGTGGGTTGGTTTCCAAACATTTCATTACCAGGCTAGGTAACATCTTCAGCGGAATTAGGGGATGTATTTGTTTATTTATTAATTTGAGTTATATGCCGCCCTCCTCCGAAGACTCAGGGCGGCTTATAATGCACTTATAGCAATAGCCTTCATTCTTTTGTATATACCTGCTTATTACGGCTTTTGGCCCCCCCATAAGCGGTGTTTCTACAAAGGTGTTTCTACAAAGTCAGCTTATTGCCCCCACAATCCGGGTCCTCAATTTACCTACCTCGGAAAGATGGAAGGCTGAGTCAACCTTGAGCCTGGTGAGATTTGAACTCGCACTAATTGCAGGTAGCTGGCAGCTAAGTACTACATAACAGCACTTAGTCCGCTACACCACCAAGGCTCTTGGTACAAGGCTCTTGTCAGTGTACATTGTTTCTTTCATCCTTCTGTATCTGTATCTTCTGTATCTTGTAATCTACAAAATCAACTGTAAACATTGCAAGTAATTCTACGTGGGACAAACTAAACAAGTTTAGTTTAGTTTAGTTTAGTTTAGTTTAGTTTAGTTTAGTTTAGTTTAGTTTAGTTTAGTTTAGTTTAGTTTAGTTTAGTTTAGTTTAGTTTAGTTTAGTTTGACAATTAAAAACCAGGATCCATGAACATCGGGTGGCAGTCAGAAGCCACGATCCCAAATCCTTAATCTCTACCCACACTGACACCAAACAGCCAGTGGTGGGTTCCTCCTGGTTCGGCCCGGTTCGGCTGAGCTGGTAGCGGTGACGATATGACGTCACCGAACCAGTTCTCTTTGTTCTGGAGCCGCCCCGCGTTATTCCTACCTTTTATTTCTTCTTTTTCAGCCCAGCTGATAGGTGCGGCAGAGTGGATTGCCGCACCTCAGCTGGGCAGATTCGTAACGTGCTTGCGCATAGTTTAGCGTTCATGCGAGCAAAGCGATCATGCACGCGGCGATCGCGCATGAAGCGCATGCAAGAAGAGGCGATCGCACGCGAAGCACGTGCACGAAGAGAACTGGTAGTAAAGCCAGTTAGAACCCATCACTGCAAACAGCATCGGCTCAATTGGACAACACAAAAATTATCGGCCACGCTACCACCCACCACGGTCGTGAGTTCATTGAAGCCTGGCACTCTACAAGCAATTCCATCAACACATTGACCTACAACCAGCCTATAAACCCCTCAGAATCCAAATCAATCGTACCAGCGATAGCACCAACCCTCAACCAACCCACACAAGGGCCTGGTGGCTCAGCAGACTGATAGCATTGTGATTAAGACCAGCTGCCTGCAATTACTGCAGGTTCGAATCTCACCAGGCTCAAGGTTGACTCAGCCTTCCATCCTTTCTAAGGTAGGTAAATTGAGGACCCAGATTGTGGGGGCAATAAGCTGACTTTGTATAAAATATACAAAAGGATGAAGGCTATTGCTTAACGCATTGTAAGCCACCCTGAGTCTCCAGAGAAGGGCGGCATATAAATCAATTAAAAAAAAAAAAAACTCCCACCAGCAATTCACCTCCCAATGACCCTCACCTGATGTAACTTCCCTATCACAAGACCCTCACTTGACACACCCACTCCTGAACAGAAGAATACCGACATCCCCTAAACTCCGCTAAAGATGTTACGTAGCGTAGTAACAAAACATTTGGAAACCAACCCACAAACTTGGAGAACAAACATTTACCCTCCTCCTACACCCGAGCCACAGATATTCGCCACTGTTGCAAATTTCTCCTTATTTCTAGGTAGGTTCTCTCCTTGATAAGTTTTTTCTCTGCCCCCCCCCCCCGCTCCCCGCTCTTTAATCAGACAATTAGATAGAAGGAAGCCAGAACATGGCTACTAACTCTAAATAATCTTGCAAAGGAATGGTGGCAATAGCAGAATCCTGCTGTGTGAATAAAACTACTACAAAAATTCATGAGTTGTGTCTAATACCAAATTCTTTGGATCCACGAAAGCAGGTCTGAAAGTAAAAACAAAGTGAATATTGGAAAATACCTTGGAGATTGTGTGGAGGAAATCTTTTGGTTTTTCATGGGCTACAGACCAGGGTCCCTCTGGACCGGTGGTGGAATTCAATTTTTTTTACTACTGGGTCTGTGAGCGTGGCTTGGTGGGCGTAGCAGGGGAAGGATACTGCAAAATCCCCATTCCCACCCCACTTCTGGGGGAAGGATATTGCAAAATCTCCATTCCCACCCCACTCCAGGGGGAAGGATATTGCAAAATCTCCATTCCCACCCTACTCTGGGGCCAGCCAGAAGTGGTGTTTGCCGGTTCTCCGAACTACTCAAAATTTCCACTACCGGTTCTCCAGAACCTGTCAGAACCTGCTAAATTTCACCCCTGCTCTGGACCAAACAAGATCAGAAATGAATGAGAATCAGAATTGCCTATGACAGTGATGGCTAACCTTTTTGCCATCGTGTGCCAAAAGCGAGGGAGTGCAGGGGGGGTCACGCATGCGCATGCCCACATCCATAATTCAATGCGCCCTGCCCCCCACTTGTGCGTGTGACCCCCTCCTCCGTGCTCCCCCCACTTTTGGAACACGATGGGACGGTGGGCCTAGGGAGGGCGAAAACAACCTTTCCCCCCCCCCGGAAACCCTCCAGAGGCCAGAAACTGCCCATTTTGTAACTTCCGGTGGAACCGGAAGGCCTGATTTTTGCCTTCCCAGGCTCCAGACCCTTTCTAGGAGCCTGGGGAGGGCAAAAACGGCCTTTCCCACCTCCCCGGAGGCCCTCTAGAGGCCAGAAACAGCCCATTTTCTGACTTCCAGTGGGCCCGGAAGGCCTGAAAATTAGTTGGCCGGCGTGTGCATGCACGCTGGAGCTTAGTTAGGGCAACGCTCGCGTGCCCACAGATATGGCTCTGCGTGCCATCTCTGGCACGCGTGCCATAGGTTCACCATCACGGGCCTATGACATCCCAGTATTGTTACTGTGAAGTTCCTATACACACTTTATGTTGATTTGAAGGTTTGGGTTCCTTTATATAGTATGTCCTCTATGCCCAGTAGGAATAGATGTCAGTGTTCCAAGTAATGATGCACCTATAAAAGCAAAACTCCGAGGCATGTAGGTTCCTCAAAGAACAATTTATTGGATATATCATATTGGCACAACTGGTGAAAATCGACTGAAAGTTCCCGTGGTTTTCACCTAATTAAAAAAGTGAAAGTTCCCCCTACCCCCAAGTCATCAGTCACATTGTCCAATAGGCCAGTTGCTTGGTTACTTCACTCCTCCTCTTCCTAGTATCTGGTGGAATGTCCTTGGTTCCTACAGGAAAACATTTTGTTTTGACTACAAAGCCCCTCTTATCTATTTTTCCCCCCACTCTATCCCGTCTTCTGCCTTGTGGCAACCCTGAAGCCTCAAAGATGGCCTCAACCAGGTTCACTTCAAGGTTGATAATAGGTATGTATTAAACCATGAGTAAGACACCCCTCCCCCGCCCACCACCCATTGCAAGTCCTAAATGTAGAGTGTGGAAGGTTAACAGATCCCTGGGATCCCTGAGAAGACCTTGCAAAAGATGGCACTGAAAACAAGAGGCTGTCCTCACATGAACTGTGTATCGTGAAGGTGTTCGATCAGACAAGTGCCAGGAGTTGTGATAAAAGGACATGCTGGTGTGGGCAGACTTTGTTCAGTGTTATTTAAAGGGACTGGGAATTGTAATACAGTAGTTCAGTCATCACGGAGAATGAGGTACCATATATGGTAGGCGTCTTGGTTATTATGGTGGGTGTGATGCCTCCCTTGGCAACTGTCTCATATTTATGACCTTTGCTGTGTCCCAGGCTCATGTTTCGCGACCTTCTGATAAGCAAAGTCAGTGGGGAAGCCAGATTCATTTAACAACATATTACTAACTTTACAAGCCGTGATTCACTTAACAACTCTGGCAAGAAAAGTCACAAAATGGGACAAAGGTCACTTAACAAATGTCCCACTTAGCAACAGGAATTTGGGGCTCAATTGTGGTTTAAGTCGAAGATTGCCAATAAACTGCATTTCTCTAAATCAAGTGTCAGCAACCTGTGGCTCCGGAGCCACATGCAGCTCTTTGGGCCCTCTGCTTTGGCTCCATGTCAAGTGAACCCACCACTGGCTAACCCTGCCCCTCTCCCTCCCCTCCCAGTCACTCCTTGCCTGGCCTGAGAAGGGTAAGGGTAATGGCGGGGGTTGGAGAAGTGGCCAGAGCAGACAGAGAGATACAGAGGGGAGGGGAGAGGGGGGAGGGAGGGAGAGAGAGAGAGAGAGATATCAAAAGGGTTTTGTGATTCCCGGTGTTTTTTAACAACTGATTCTCTGTCCTAATGACTGGCTGGGTAGGCATGGCTAGGGGGTCATGTGACTGGTGGAAGTGAGTGACATCGAGTTGGCCACACCCACCCAGGTTTTGGGGCTCCCGGTGTTTTCTTTTCTGTGGGAAATGGCTCTTTTGAGTTTTTAAGCTTGCAAATCCCTGCTTTAAATGTATAGAAATCTCTTTCCTATTCTCTAATTTATTCCCATAAAATTCATTTTCCAAAGTAGATACACATCACACCTGGTTAAGAAAACTGGTTTGCAGGAAACTATAAAGAGAAGGAGTTAGGATTAAGAAAATTTGATTTCTTTTATAAAAATGTAACTTTGTCACATTTTATAATCCACCTTCAAGAGCTCAAGGATTGGACACAAAGACATACTACCGATCACTAGCTTTAATAATATAACTTATGGTCAAACTGTGACGACAAAATAATTATAGACCAAAGACATCAAGACCAAACACACTGAGATGACTCCTTCACAAGAATCCTGGAGAAGATGGAAACAGACGCTGTTACATATCTCAACGTAATTCATCAGTGGTGCACAACTTTAGAACATGTTCAAATAAGGGTTGCAGCTCTCTTGTTTACATGTGTTGTACATACATACATTTCTACCAGTGATGAGTTTCAAAAAAAAATTACTACCAGTTCTGTGGGTGTGGCTTGGTGGGCATGGCAGGGGAAGGATACTGTATAATCTCCATTTCTTGTCTCTTTGATCCAAAGAGAGAGATCTCTCTCTTTGGAGAGAGAAGCAATGAGAAAAGCAAGCACGGATCTCTTCACTCACTAGCGCCTCATTAGGGCTGAAAAACAGCTTCTAACGCACATCTGAGACGGAGCAGCAATGAGAAAAGCAGGCAAAGCATGGAAGATCTGCTTCACTCACTAGCACCTAGTAAAAGCTACATTCGGAGTATAAGACACAATATTCAGCCTCTTTTGGGTGGGGAACTGCGTCTTATACTCTGAAAAACACGGTAATTGTTCTCACTGACAGGAAATTTCTCTTTAGGTCTAGGTTGCTTCTCTCCTTGATTAGTTTCCATAGATTGCATCCATCCTTTCATCGTGTCTTCAGAGATCTTCATTGTCCACATGCTCCATGACCCAAAATCTTCCAGACTACCGCTTCTTATGGATTGCTCTGCATGGGTCTCACACACTCCATCTTTCATACATATCCATTCCTTATTTCGGACAAATATATTTCAGAAGCGATATGATCTAAATCAGGGGTGTCAAACTCAAGGCGCGCGGTCTGGATCCAGCCCACAGGGTGCTTAGATTTGGCCCACGGGGCCATCCGGGAAACAGCAAAGGACCAGTCCATGGTACTTCTGCCGGTGAAAACGGAGCTCCGTTTTTGGCTGCGACAGCCTCCTGCAACCTTCGGCCAGTGAAAACGGACCTCGGGAGGGCCGCATCCATTTTCGTTGGCAGAGTACTCAGGCCACCAGAGGTGCCCCGACACAAGTGGTGTCAAGCTGGCCATGCCCCCCTCAGATCAAACATAACCCTGATGCGGCTCTCAATGAACTCAAGTTTGACACTCCTGATCTAAATATTAGAATGAAAAATTCCAAATCAATTTAGTTTGTACGATAACTATAACACTATGATGATGTGAGGGGTCCCTAGTGCTCTCTGAGCTTGCTTGTTTTCTTGCAGATATTTCATTACCCAAACTAGGTAATATCATCAATGCTATTACAATTACAGTACAACTATTACAACTACAGTACAACTATTCTACTTCAATGGCGTTATGGCCATTGGCCTAACTCTCCTTTTTTAAATTTTTAATTTGTGATTTTATAAATTGGGTGTTTTAATCTGTGTTTCGGCCAAAATATTTAATAATTTTAAGGGATTTTTTAAATATTTGTATTATTTGTATTTTATCTTGGCTGTTCACCGCCCCGAGTCCTTCGGGAGTAGGGCGGTATAGAAATTTGATTAATAATAATAATGATGATGATGATGATGATGATGATGATGTACTGAGCAATTGTGATTCTCCTTTCCTAATTCTGTCCACCATTCAGGGTTCCAGGACTGTAGCAGGTTAGAAAACGACCCCGAAGGATTTCTTCTACACGTTGTTGGAATTTTCCTAATTTTACTTCAGGGTCCGCACTGATTTCCTAAATGTCTCTTTTCTCAGTTCATTCTTGAGCATTTGTGATGCCGGCACAACAGCCTCCTGATCAGGTTCATTTTCTTGGAGATCCTCTGCTTGGGACAAAAAAAGAGGAAATTATTGGAAATTTAAGGCACAAACCCGCCGAGTTAAACCTCTCTTTTAATTAGCAGATCAACTGAGAAATAAACACTCTCCATAGACACCCGGGATCCATGGGCTGTCAGACTCCTGAATGCGAAATAACATCATAACTACGTAGTACGATGGACTTGCAGGGCCGGCGCAATGTGTAACATGCTCGCACTAGTGCAATAGGACTGGATGTTTGTTAATATGATTTATTGGGTTAGGGATTTTCTGTCTTCACTGTGAGTTGTATTGTGTTGGAGGTGTGTGCACTGAGGGAGCTCCACCAATCTCATTGTGCGTATGTTGTACACTGACAATAAAGCTTTGAATTTGAATCAATGTATTTCATGGTTCAAACATACATAACACCCCTCCTGCGTGAGCTGCACTGGCTCCCAGTGGTCTTCCGGGTGCGCTTTAAGGTGTTGGTTCTCACCTTTAAAGCGCTCCATGGCATAGGGCCAGGGTATTTACGGAGACCGCCTGCTGCCACCAACAACCTCCCACCGACCAGTGCGCTCCCACAGAGAGGGCCTCCTCAGGGTGCCATCAGTCAAGCAATGTAGACTTACGGCCCCCAGGGGGAGGGCCTTCTCTGTGGGGGCACCCGCCCTCTGGAATGAGCTACCTCCCGGAATACGGCTGATTCCGGATCTCCGCACTTTCCGTAAGGCCCTGGAGACGTTTTTATTTCAGCAAGCCGGCCTGGCCTGAATAGGTTTTATGGGTTAGTTTTTTAATTGTATAGCTAGGGGTTTTAAATTGGGAGGCCATTTAATTTAATTTATTTTTAATTATCTTAACTTTTATATTGTATGTTATTTTAATTCTCAGCTGTTCACCGCCCTGAGTCCCTTCGGGGAGAAGGGCGGGATATAAATTAAATAAATAAATAAATAAATAAATAAATAAATAAATAAATAAATAAACAAATAAATAAATAAATAAATAAATAAATCTGCCCCCAGAATTCAAAACCTCGGTGCCTTCCGCTGTGCCCTGAAGACCTTCCTTTTTCAGCAAGCCGGGCTGGCTTAATGCTTTTTAAATATTTTAATATGTCTTGTTATTGTTTTTTTTAACTTTGGGGCCAAATTTATATATTTCTTTTTAAACTGTTTTTAATGTTTGTATTCATGTTTTTTACTTTGGCTGTACACCGCCCTGAGTCCTTCGGGAGAAGGGCGGTCTATAAATTTAATAATAAATAAATAAATAGAAGGAATACTGTGAATTTAGTATTTTTATATTCTCACCTGAGTGGATCCTTACGTGGGATGTAAGGTTACTGCTCTTTCGGAAGCCTTTCCCACACTCGGTGCATTTATAGGGTTTCTCCCCTGTGTGGATCCTTTTATGAACCGTGAGGGACCCATTTTCTCGGAAGCTCTTTCCACAATCCCTGCATTTATATGGTTTCTCCCCAGTATGGATCCGTTTGTGGGAAGTTAGGGAACTGCTGATCCGGAATATTTTCCCACATTCCCGGCACTTATATGGCTTCTCCCCTGTGTGGATCCTTTTATGGGAAGTAAGGTGACTGCTCCATCTAAAACTTTTCCCACACTCCACACATTTATACGGTTTCTGCCCTCGGTGGATTCTTTTGTGAGAAATAAGGCAAGCACTCTGAGTAAAGCTCTTTCCACACTCCATGCATTTATACTGTTTCTCCTTGGAGTGGATCCTTCTATGGGAGTTAAGATTACTGCTTGTATTGAATCCCTTTCCACACTCTGGGCACTTGTAAGGTTTCTCCCCTGTGTGGATCCTTTTATGGGACGTAAGTGATCCATTTTCACGGAAGCTTTTTCCACACTCGGTGCATTTGTAAGGCTTTTCCCCCGTGTGGATTCTTCTGTGCGAACAAAGTGAACTGCTCCTCCAGAAGCATTTCCCACACTCCGTGCATTTATAGGGCTTCTTGCCCGAGTGGATTCTTTTATGGGAAGCCAGAGATCCATTTTCGCGGAAGCTCTTTCCACACTCGAGACATTTAAATGGTTTCTCCCCCGTGTGGATTCTTTTATGGGAAATAAGGAAACTGCTTTTTCGGAATATTTTCCCACAGTCCAGACATTTATAGGGTTTCTCTTCGGTACGGGTACATTTATGAGAAACAAAGGAACTTTTCCTTTGAAATATTTTCCCGCATCCCACACATTGATATGGCTTTTCTTCTATGTGGATCCTTTTGTGGGAAGTCAGAGACCCATTTTCACGGAAGCTCTTTCCACACTGCAGACATTGATATGGTTTCTCCCCCGAATGGATCCTTTTGTGGGAAGTCAGGTGACTGCTGTTGCTGAAGCTTTTCCCACAGTCTACACATTTATAGGGTTTTTCCCCTGTATGGACGCTCTTATGTGATGTAAGCTGACTGTTCCACATGAAACTCTTCCCACATTCCATACATTTATAGGGTTTTTCCCCTGAATGGCTCCTTTTATGTGAAATAAGGTTACTGCTTTGACTAAAGCTCTTTCCACAATCTGTACATTTGTAGGGTTTTTCTCCTGTGTGGATCCTTTGGTGGGAAGTAAGCGAACTGCTTTTCCGAAATATTTTCCCACATTCTGTGCACTTATATGGCTTCTCCCCTGTGTGGATTCTCTTGTGTGAAGTAAGGGATCCGTTTTCCTGGAAGCTCTTTCCGCACTCGGTGCATTTGTAGGGTATCACACCAGAATGGACCTTTTTATGAGAAGTCAGCTGACTGTTCCACCTGAAGCTCTTTCCACAGTCAGTACATTTATAGGGTTTTTCCCCTGTGTGGATCCTTTTATGAGAAAGAAGGTGATTGCTCTTGCTGAAGCTCTTCCCACAGTCCATGCATTTATAGGGTTTCTCCCCTGTGTGGATCCTTTTGTGGCAAGTGAGAGAACTACTCTCGCTGAAACTTTTTCCACACTCCATGCATTTATACGGCTTCTCTCCCATTTTGATTCTCCAGTTAAAACTTTTTTCATTCTCCCTGTATCCATTTTGCTCTCCTCTAACGTTGGTTCTGTTGCGCATATCTAAATTTAAATGGTCTTTTGGTACTTTCACACTTTTCCCTAGATCCTTTGTCCTTATTTTTCCTTTGGGATTTTGGTGGGCAAGAGTATTTTCATTCTGCACACACTTGGATGTTGGTTTCTTATTCCTATATATTGACTTGTTCTTCTCTGAAATTCTGGATTCTGTCCAATTTCTAAACTCCTCTTTCCCTTTTCCGTCCTGAATCACTTCATCCTGGCCATCACTTCCTTGAGAGGAAAATAAAGAATTAGAATTAGGGAAGACTGTGGAAAGGAAATAAAACCAAAGTAAGGTTGTGATTATGACTTGCTTGCTGAAATTGGATGGATTCTCTGGGTTTCTGAAGAGTTACAGTTTGACTAATGTAAAATAACCTGAGCAAAGATTGATCAAACCTGGACTTCTGATGGAGGCTATAACCCAACCTCTATGGACATAAACCACGCCATATTGTTTATTGGTTTGATTTATATGCCGCCCTTCTCCGGAGACTCAGGGCGTCTTACAATGTGTTAAGCAATAGCCTTCATACTTTTGTATATACCTGCTTAGTAGGGCTTTCGGGCCCTCCCTAAGCGGTGTTCTTTTTTATACAAAGTCAGCTTATTGCCCTAAAAATCCAGGTCCTCATTTTACCTACCTCGAAAGGATGGAAGGTTGAATCAACCTTGAACCTGGCGAGATTCGAACTTGCAGTAATTGCAGGCAGCTGGTGCTACTTTAACAGCACTTAGTCAGCTGCGCCACCAAGGCTCTTCGTTAGTTTCTATTTTAGGACCAAAAGGAAACTTGAAATAATTTTGAAATAAAGGAACTGTCAACTTCGAACCGAACAGGGCTGACCTCATTTTCGTGGTTCTCAATTGCCACACCATATGGGAAGGAAGGGGGAAGATGGAATGCATTTCCAGACACAACACTGATCTATCTCGTGGGAACTAAGGTCATCTCTGCAGGTGTCAGATGATGAAAGAGAGGAGTTTATTTACGGGACCGCCTGCTGCCACAAACGGCCTCCCACTGGCCGGTACGCTCTCACAGAGAGGGACTCCTCCGGGTGCCGTCGGCCAAACAATGTCGGCTGGCGGCCCCCAGGGCGAGAGCCTTCTCTGTGGGGGCACCTACTATCTGGAATGAGCTCCCCCCGGAGATACGGAGAATCCTGGATCTACGCACCTTCCGCCGCGCTCTCAAGACCTTTTTATTTCACCAGGCTGGTCTGGCCTAATCTCTCCCATTCTCTTTTTAATGTAAATTTTAATTTGTTCTTAACCTGGGGTTTTAAATTTGTCTTAGGCTAAATTGATTTAATTCAATTTTACTTCTGCTCTTAAATTTTTGTATTCTATGTGTTTTATCTTGTGCCTGTTCACCGCCCTGAGTCCCTCGGGAGTAGGGCGGTATATAAATCAAATAAAATGAAATGAAAAAATGAAAATGAAATGAGTGCCTAAGGAGCCTGCCAATTAACTCAATTGGACAATGTGACCAGTGACACTTGGGGAGGGGATCATTTGCTATTTTAATTATAATGAAACCCCAGGGAATATTTAGAGTTGATTTTGCATTTACGTGTGCCGATATGATGTACCCAATAAAGAAGTTCTTTAAGGAAGATTCCCGCCTTGGTGTTCTGATTTGCTTGGGCTCCTTAATTGGAACCTTGACAGGAACATACTTGTGACCAATATTTCAATTTATTGATTTTTCTTATCCATTCTTATCAAAGGATCCCGGATCTGCGCTCCTTCCGCCGTGCTGTGAAGACCTTTTTATTCCATCAAGCGGGCTTGGCCTGATCTCTTCCCTTTTTAAAATATGTAAATTTTAATCTGTTTTTAAATTATTGGGGTATTTTAATTTGTCTGGGCCAAAAAGTTTAATTTGATTTTATCGGGTTTTTAAATTTTGTGTATTTATGTATTTTATTGTTGGCTGTTCACCGCCCTGAGTCCTTCGGGAGTAGGGCGGTATACAAATCAAATAAATAAATAAAATAAACTGAGCAAGGGTCAGGGGGATAAAAGAAAAATGAAAGGAAAGAAGCTTTTAATATTAACAAGCTAACTCAGCTCATTGCCAGGAGTTTGATCCTCATTGGATCAAGGTTGACTCAGCCTTCCATCATTCCGAGGTCAGTAAAATGAGGAGCCAGATTGTTTGGGATAGTATGATAACTCTGTAAACTACTTAGGGCTGTAAAGCACTATGAAGCAGTATGTAAGTCCTGTTGCTATTGCTATTCCGGGATGCTCAATGAGAAAATGGGAGAGGTCAAAGCCAATTAGGTCTAATTTGCAAGCCATTCTTTTTATCACATCTTGAACCATGTACTGTTTGGTGTTCATTCTCTTCTTGTTTTAACCACGTCTCTGCTGAAGAAACAGCATGTAACAGTTGATCTATTAATTCAAAATACAGAAAAGTGGTCCAGGGTGCCTGAGGAACCTTCTCACCCCAACGGGACTAGCCCACTTCACTTACACCAGCAGAAGAGGCCTGCTACGGATTCCATCAGCTAAAGAATCTGGGAGGCATGGTTGAGAGGAACCTTTTCCATTATAACCTTGTCTCTGTGGAATACTTTACCACTGGATGTGAGAACTACCGTATTCTTCGGCGTATAAGATACACTCCCCCCCCCCAAAAGAGGGTGAAAATCTGGGTGCGTCTTATACACCGAATGTAGCCTCCACCCACCCACCGGCACCCACCCTTCGATCTCCGTGCGTCGCGTTTTATACCTGTTCCAAGCTGCATGGATTGCCACAGATCATTGCCCCCTCCTTGGCTTGCATTTTTGGCCTCTGCGCTTCGTGGAGCTTTTGGAGGCTGCAAACGTAGCCACTCAAACAGAGCTTTTGGAGGGTGAAAAACCAAGGCGCAGAAGCCAAAATGGCAACCCGGAAGAGCTGCTGTCTTGTTGGACCAGTTCTGCGCTTCCCCTGCTGTACTCCCTGGAGTGCCCTGCGATGATCAGCTGCATTTTTGAAGCTGCGTATCTGCTCCAATGCGCGCTTACAATCAGCAAACCTGTTGCTAAAGTTCACCTTTGGGAACAGCTGATTGGGGATATTACGGGAAGCCGACCTACCTGCCAATCAGCTGCTCGTGCTGAATCAAGCTAATGTGCTGAAGCTGACCAGGCTGTTTGCTAAGAATGCTAGCCAGATGAATACCAATGGATACTGATAGGCAGAGGCACAATTTTATTTTTCTTAGTTTCCTCCCCAAAAACTAAGGTGTGTCTTATACTCCGGAGGTCTTATACTCTGAAAAATACGGTAATCCCATCCTTTTGGCCTTCTAGAAAGATATTAAAACATTGTTTTGCTGGTTGACTTGGGTCCTGAAGGCACTCACTGTTGGAGGTGGTTGACGAGGAAAGAAGACCCCATCCTCATGCAGTCCATCTCTTTGGTTCTGATTTTTTGCATAGTTTCAAATTTGTAATTGTTTTTCTGTTTAACCTTTTATGATCTGTAATTGGCCCAGAGTCGCCCTATTTGGGAGATGGGCAGCATATAAGTAAAGAAATATAGTAAATATAAAATTTCTCCAGAATGCTGAGATTCTGTTTTTAAAAATGCAAAAGAGTAGCAAGGAGTTCAACTAAGTATCACCAATGTTTGGCATTGGTGATGTTCAACAGGAACTAAAATACTTGTTAAGGAGAATGCTCACCACCCATCAGAAGAGACATCATAACTAGGGAGAGAGCTATTTAACTCTTCCTTTATCTGGAACAGGTTCCCTTTCACCCACAGGAGAGGTGACGTGTGATTGAGTATCAGTAAGTTATAGTCCACCACAAAATGGCTCCTCGAAGTATTTGATGGTCCAGCAGAGGTTCTTACCCAGAGAAGCTATGTTCCTGGAATTCTCCAGCATCACTTCCCCATGTAGGGCTTTCTGGTGAGAATCCAGTTGAGACCACTCCTCCTTGGAGAAATAGACAGCCACCTCCTCAAAGGACACACGACCCTGAAGAAACAAAAATAACAAGAGAACCTTAGGAAGGACTTGCACATTCTCCTTCTTAATTAGTAAGTTCCCAAAGCAGGAAATCACAATGAACTAAGCTTTTAGGTGAGAAGATAGACATAGTTTACAGCCATTGGCAGATGAAATGTTTGGGGTGATTCTGTACTGATCATCTGTACTGATTCTGCAGAACTTTGAAAACTATTCAGAGAAAGCAACATGGTATTTTCTAGGGCAGTGAGGGCTAACCTTTTTGCCATCGCGTGCCAAGAGATGGGGGGGCGGGGGAGGTTCACGCAGGCACGTGCCCACACCCATAATTCTATGCGCCCTGCCCTGCACATGCACGCGCAACCCCTCTCCCACCCCCGCTCCTGGCAAGTGATGGCCCGGTAGGCCCGTTTTTCTTTCTCTCCTGGCTCCAGATCCTCTCTATGCATCTGGGAAGGGCGAAAACAGCCTTTTCCACTCCCTCGGAGGCCCTCCAAAGGCCTGAAAACGGCCCATTTCCCAACTCCCGGTGGGATAGGAAGTGATGTTTTTTGTTGTCCCCAGCCTCCAGAGCCATTTTTCACATGTACGATCATTGCAACCTCTCCATTGTCATGTGATCACCTTTTGTGACAAGCAAAGTCAATGGGAAAGCCAGATTCACTTAACAACCATGTTGCTAATTTAACCATTGCAGTGATTCACTTAACAACTGTGGAAAGAAACATTGTAAAATGGGGCAACAACATTGACTGAACAAATGTCTCACTTAGCAACAAAAATCTGGGGCTCAATTGTGGTCATAAGTCGAGGACTACTGGTAGTCACTTTGTGTTGGGCAGTGTGACACACCTCAAATGAATTTGGAAAGACAAACTGTAATCTTCAAGTGTATAAAGACAAAAAAAAAAAGCTTAAAACAAGAAGCAATGTT